AAATATTTGCTTTACACTCTGCTTCACACTTTGTTTCTTTAAGACCGTTCTCTGCCATTTGTTTTTGATTGAAATTTAATGAAATAGAAGTGATACTTGATTGGCCAAAAAAAAAAAGTGATATACTTGAAACATTGAATCCATCCTGGGGTCTTTGGTTAATGGTGCCAAATCTTATTGGGGTTTGAAGTAAATCACCTCCACAAAGACAACAAAGTGAAACATGAAAATAACCAATTTTGGCATACAGTTAGACATAAGCTTGTCTTACGAAGTTGCTAATTGAAGCTCTTCCTCTTTGTCTGTGTTTGTTCCTTGCTGGTTGTCAAGTTTTTTTTTTTTTCCTCAAAAAATAATTTGGAATCATTCAGTACTTGCCCTCGGCCATTCCATCCCCAGGTCCTATAGTCTCTTCATCTACCAAATAGCTCTTGCATTGCCGTTTCATTTCTATCCTCAAATCAGGTGGGCTGTGTGTTTATAGTGGCTATTCATAAATTACTACAAGATTCTCGTTTTATTGGAAAGATAAGTAGTTACTTTTGCTGTGTCCAATTCCAGTGACACGATAAGAATGAGATGGTCTTTTGATAATGTTAGATGCTACTCAAAGAATTCAGTGGAAAAAAACAAAATGACAGGGAAATATGCTTCCCCCCAATGGGAGAAAAACTTCAAAAAAGAGAATCCATTTTTTCAAAAAGAGGTTCTGTACTTGCTTATTTGATGTCCCAATGCGATGGAATACATTTAACTTAATCATTTCAATTATGTTTGTTTGTTGCAGAAGCCTATTCCACAAATGTCTAGTGGTGTTGACCATCGCCATGAACGTCTCTGGCACCGATCAGATAGGTCCTCACCAGAACGCTCCCTGCGGGACCATGAAGCACCTCCCCGCCCTTCAAAAAGAAAAGCTGACCAGCATCATGACCGTGAACGTGGTCGTGATTATGACTATGATGATCGTGACCATGATCGTCATCATCACCATGGATCTGAGTCTTCCAAGCTTGCCCCTGAAACAACAACGAAAGCCACTTCCACGACTATGACAACAGCAATGGATAAGAAGCAAAAGGCAATCGTGTTCTCTCGCATTGGCTTTCCGGTAGAAGAACTCAGCAAGAAACGCAAGCTATCTTCTGCTGCTGCATCTTCTGGCCATCACAAGCCGTCTTCCAATGGATACCATGATGACTACAAGACTTCTTCAGCAGCCGTTGAGACAGTTTCTGCTACTAATGTTGGTGGGAGGAAGAGCACTAGTAGCAATGCTGTAGATTACGAATCTAGTGATGATGATAGACATTTCAAAAGGAAGCCCTCAAGGTATGAACCATCGCCGCCACCATCAGCTGAGTGGGAAGAAGAATCGCGGCATTCAAGGGGATCCAGGGCACGAGAGCGTAGCTACAGCTGCAGTAAACATAGGTAGAATATCATACAAGAGGGTTGTATTGCTGCTTGCTATTGCACCATTTTACATCTAATGGGAGAAATTGTGGAGATCAGATGATACAAAATGTTTTTGCTACTATCATAAAATCATTCTCTCTTTTCTCACAAGTACATAATATACCACAAATGCTTTATGATTACATAGTTTTTATGATAAAGCAATTGCTTCTCATATTTCATCTTTCTATAATTTGAAAACCTAGGTTTTATGAAAAAAATGTATTATTTTTTCCATTTTGTTGCAGTTAGCTGTCAGCCTGATCTTTTCACGTTTTCCCAATTCCCAAGGACCCAAATCATGTATACATTTAGAAGAGCAAAACGAAATCATTATCAATAATCAACAAACTAACATATAATAACGACATTAAATTCACATTTAATGGGATGTAGACTTAGGATTTTTTTTTCTTTACCATCAAGACAAGATCTTATTGGGTTTTGTGTATTTTTAATAATTAAAAGCTAAAAAAAAAAGATTATTAAGTGACAGATTCTACTAATATATCTTTAATTTTTTAAATTTGACCAATAAATTCATCGAATTAATTGTAGAAATGACACATATGATTATATGAAATAGATAAAAATATTTGGATATAATTTCTTATGTGGAATTCGCCAAATTCCCTAATAAAAACAATTCCTAGATATGTATGGGTCCAATATTAATTAACTTACCTAATGAACTTAACCTAAACCTTACTCCAAGATCAAAATGAAAATTTTCATGATCATGTAGAAAGGGTTGTGTACAAAATGTACTTCTCAGTAATTGCCTCATAATTTTGTATCTATTTGTATGAAGAAAAAAATCATTTAACTGAGAGGATTTTTATTTGTAAAATGAAATTTGGAGAACTTAAAAAAAAAAAAAAAGACTTATCAATTAGTTAAATATTATATCTAAAATATATAATAAGAACAAATTTAAACTATGTTCTCTTATATAATACATATATAAAAGCACAAATATGTGTTAAACTTTTGATAGATGAAAAATGATATTTTGTGTTCATTTTTATTTTTAAATTGATATTTTAAATAATTTTTATTAATTAATTATAATATTAATTTCTAATTTCATTAAATCACATTTATTAAAAAATAATTTACTTGATTCATAACTCATTGTTTTCATATATTTCTAAATTAATTATATGATCATATTAAATAGTTACATTTATCTATAATTATTATTTAAAATAAACAAAAATATAATTATTCTAGTGCAAAAATACTTGCCAACAAATACTAATAACTTGAAATGAAGGGATAAATAAAAAGCAATAACCACAGGACTACTTTCTTAAATAATATATATCTTTAAATATAAGAATGAGTTGATTTATATAATTATCTTTAAAATATGATATCTCATCGGTTAAAAATTTAAATTTCAACACTTATAATTTATTCTTTATCAACTTACCTAATATATTTTTTAAAACTTAAGTTTAGGTTAATTCATGTAATTACTTAAATATGATATGTGTTGGCCATAAATCTCTTCTCCATTGTCTTATATACGATATATATATATATATATATTTTAAATTGAAATCACAAACCTGGCCCAAGAACATATGGAAATCGCAACTGAGGAATGGTAATCCTTATCAAACAAGGAAAAGGAGTCGCCTGAGTCGGTGAAGTTGCACTATGTAAACCAAGTCATGGCTATCATCGCCTCATATCATAACTTTCTCCTTCAAATTATTGACGAATCCTACAGTTTCCTTGGAGAATTCTCCATCGGGAAAACATGTCGTATCATCAGAGAAGATCGTATGGTCAAGAAAGTTATAGGTATGGAGCTCCAAAGATGAGTCATCCAAAGCTTAGGCATAGAGTACCCTATGGTAATGGTACGTTTCCCTCTCGATCATCGATTGTTTCTTTCTTGTATCTTGAAGAATACCATACTTTAATTGCTTTAAAAACAAAAAGAATTTTATAGAAACCCCAAAGAAAACATAGAACTGATTCAATTTCTTTTTTATTTATTTTTCAGGTTCAGGGCAACCGTTGCCTGCATGGGAGAAAAGATTCTGCGTAGAAGTGGGTGGAATACCCTGGCAAAGAAAACAAAGAATAATTTATATAAAACTGATAAAGTATATGATTGGAATGATTCGGCTGGGTTAACGGCTTTCAACGAAGCCAAACAAAGATTCTGGGCAGAATTCCATGGCTTTCCATGCAAGATAGGCTTGCCAAGTGCAGATATGTATATTGATAAAGATATTGATTGGAATCCGAAGATTGATCCAGTCCTTTCCGCAGAAATCAAGGCACCTTCTGATGATGAAAAGGAAGTAGTTGTTAATAGAATTGACTGGATTTCAATTCCCTTGGATCAGATTAAGCCAACCGGGTGGGACGACTTGGACTATGGTCCACAGTTGCCTAAGTTTGTTGGAACGATGAAGCATACACCAAATTAAAGTGCCAAAATTGGTTATGACTTCTTACAACTATTTGATAACGTCTCAAACTATCAGTATTGTTGTCTGTTATTTTTTTATATGAATTCTTATAAAAAAGGGTTTCCTCTATCCTCAATTATCTGGTTCTATGAAAAGGGTTTCGTTTGTGTTCTTTTTATCTTCAACCAAAACCATGAACGACGAACAAAGGCACGTTAATGCATCGATGGCGCCTCCGGTTGACGGTGATGATTCAATTTGCACTGCTTGTCTTTGATTCCACTAACTCACTCTGAGCAGCCAACAATACGATGACGATTCTAGAAATTTTTGACAATCTAATAATACACATGAAATAAGATAAAAAAAAAAGAAAAAAAATAACAAATTTAAAATTTTAATAATAATTATATATAAATTTAATAAAATAAAAAAATATTTTTTATTTTTGTATTAGCATATTATATTATGAAACTTTCAAATAAAAAATATATAAATACATAAATTTTAATATTTTATATAATATGAATACTCAAATTATAAACCTATAAAAGATGAGCCTATTTGGTTTTCCTCTTTTTATTTTTACTTGGGAAGGTTTTGGGTTTCTTGTTGCGATTGTCTTCTTCATTATTGTTTTATGTTCCTTGCGATGATGCTTTTTCTCTTCATGGTTTGGTTCACCTTCAAGGCTGCACGTTCTCTGTTTCGCGGATGGTTGTTTTCAGTCGCTGATATACCCAACACTCACTCGGTTTATGGAAGGGAACATAAGTATTCACAAGCTGATATTGTATTTTTTAATTAATCTGGGAAAATATTTTAGAGCATTTTCAGGATATTTTCAAAATATTTAGTGATTAATGTAATTATAGTTTATTGTCTGACCTAAAGTGATGATTGGGCGTGAAAAAAAAAATCCAATTGAGCTCAAAAAAGAACGTAGGCTTTCACTTTGGGCCAATTAGGGTTCTAAAGCAGCCCATAATTTATTTATTGGGCCCAATAATGATTTAATCTCTCAGACTCCGAACAAAACGAAGAAAATCGACGGCCCAGATTTAGAGAGTCCAATCAGGCTCGCCCTTTATAAAAGGTTTAACCCTCTTCTTCAGTAATTGAAAACCCTAGCCACCTCTGGCAACTCGCTAATGGGTACTTTCTATCTGTCTTTACTGATTTTGCCTTAAGATCGTTTCTTTCACTTTTTCTCAAGTATTTTCCTTGTGGGTATCACTTAAGTCTTTTACATTTCTACTAAAGGCTGGATCTTTGTTCTTGTTTTTAGGGTTTAGAATTTTCATTTTTGTCAATTTAATTATCTTTGGTTGAGCTCTTTTTACGAGATTTATGTCTTTATGTTTGTTTTTGCAGATTTTCAAGCTTTGCTCTAATGTCACTGTTATGCTGTGGAACAAAGTGTTCAGCTTTTTGTTGTTCTAGAATTTGCTGAAATTCTTTTTTTTTCCTTTGTCAATTTGAAAATTTTTGGGGTTTTTTATGGCTTAAAAATGGGAATTTATTTATAATGTAAAACATGGTTTGTCTTGTTGAACTGCTGCTTTCAATTATACTGGAGTTTTTGTTTATGGGGATGATTAAATGTAGGGGCTTATAAGTACGTGTCGGAGCTATGGAGGAAGAAGCAGTCCGATGTAATGAGGTTTTTGCAGAGGGTGAGGTGCTGGGAATACCGTCAGCATCCATCAATTGTTAGGGTCAACCACCCAACTCGTCCTGACAAGGCACGCCGCTTGGGTTACAAGGCCAAGCAGGTAATGTCCAATTCAACAGTTTCTGAAAGCTTTCCTTTTCACTCTAAAGAACTTAGCAAGAACGTTAGCTTTAACACTTGATTTGTTCAGGTCAAGCAGTCGTCCACAAGGGATGCTTCCTGAGACCACTTAGATTAAATTAAACAATTCATTTTTTGTAGTGTCATCTGTTATTTATAGGTGTTTTTTATTCTGAAATGAAAAGGGTATGGGATGTGGGATTTTCAGACTCATGGTTTAAGGAGATAGTAACATTATCATTTCATAATCTGCTCATGTTCTTTTCAAATGTTTGCATATGACAAGTTGTGCAATCCTTACCCAGGGTTATGTGGTTTATCGTGTCCGTGTTAGGAGGGGTGGTCGAAAGAGGCCTGTTCCCAAGGGTATTGTCTATGGTAAGCCAACGAACCAGGGTGTCACCCAATTGAAGTTCCAGCGCAGCAAGCGATCTGTTGCCGAGGAGCGTGCTGGTCGAAAATTGGGAGGTCTCAGGGTTGTTAATTCATACTGGATCAATGAGGTTTGTAGTGCCTGCTAAAAGTTCTGGTTTGCCACCTTAATATGTATTTTGTTGACCTGATTCCTAAATGGCTCAAATATCTGTTCCATTTCACCTTGAAGGATTCTACTTACAAGTACTTTGAGGTTATCCTGGTTGATGTTGCTCACAATGCTATCCGCAATGACCCAAGAATTAACTGGATCTGCAATCCTGTTCACAAGCACAGGGAGCTTCGAGGACTGACATCTGCTGGTAAAAAAAACAGGGGCCAGCAAGGAAAGGGTCACTTGCACCACAAGAATCGCCCTTCTCGCAGGGCAACCTGGAAGAGAAACAACACTCTCTCCCTGCGTCGCTACCGCTGAGTTTAGTGGGTTGCTTAGACTTTTTGATTCTGCTCCTGTTGATTTTAGAATTCATCAACTTGAGTTTGAAATTTTGGAGATACCACTTAAGTTTACATCTTTTTTTTTTTTGTGTTTGATATCTGATTTCAGAACAATTTAAGTAGTTGGTGATTGTACATCCGTATTTCAGTTTTCGTGCATTTTCTCAGAAACCAAACAGAGTTACATTTAGCTCTTTTACAATTGGACCTATCGCGAAGCATGACCTCTCTCTCCCGTCGTCTTCCATGTCGATTATTAAGCACCAAAATACGGGATCGACGCCCTGGCTACATTGAGCATGGTGTGCAAACATGCGCACCCCAAACTGGCAGGAAAACTGATTTATTTAACAATAAAAAGAAGGCTTTGGGTTATACCATAAAGCATTTTGTTTGTAAATGTCATAAAACAAAGTAGAAAATAACAATAACAATAATTGTGATTTTGGCTACATTGAGCATGGTGATTTAAGCTGGATTTAAAGGAAAAATTTGCGTTCATTCTTCATCTAAGACTTCTTCAATGCTAACAAACCGGCCTTTCTCGATGGAAAGTTGTGCTGCAACTCCCATGGCAACTGAGATCAACCCATCTTGTAAATCCACAGCTGGAGTCTTTGCACCTGTTTCTCTAATTGCAGACAAGAAATTAAGGTGCTCCAAATAGCTAGAACCATGATGCAGTCCTTCATACCTGGAAAACAATGCAGTCCTGGATCAAATTGCGAAGCTAGCCATAAACAAGAAGTTTTTATATCCAACATGATCATGCTGGAGAATTCATAAATAGCACATTCATGTCATGACTAAGAAACTAAAGGAGAGTGACCGACTTTATTCGTTCATCTTCAGCTATCAGTGACTGGACCCCATCTCTACCATCCAGTCTAGAGCCGAAACGCACTATACTTTCAGGAACAAAGGCTTCTCCCTATTGCAGTATCATAGAACCAAAGTTAGAGAAACCACAAAGAAAGATGCATACAAGGTAACATTGTGCTGCAAATGGATGTACCAGGAATATCTCTTAGGTGATCAATGATCTGAATGAATTTAAAAGTTAATACTTGAGATCATTAATTATTACAAAGGAAGAATGACAAAGACACATAAGAGACAGAGAGAGGACCTTGCCAGTGTGACCGACAACAGATATTTCTTGCTCATTTTTACTCCCTTCGGCAAACATGCAGAGGTCAAGCATCCCTCGAGCACCATTGTCAAATTCAATAATAACATATGCATTGTCAATAATGTCAGGTACCTGGACACAAATCAAAAAAATGAAATTCAGGAAAGGTGAGCATGATATCAAGTCTATATAATGCAAAAAAAAATCACACAATGACCTTTCCATCATATATTTCATCTTTGTGATTAACATCCATGGCACCAGAAGCCATCACACGAACAGGGTTTGCACCTGCAAACAGCCTCATCAAATCAAAGAAGTGGCAGCACTTCTCTACGAGGGTCCCTCCAGTGTTAGCATTGAACCGGTTCCAGTCGTTAACCTATTCCAAGCAAAAAGTCAATTAACCATACGGCCACAATGAGAGCAAAAGTTGAGTAGCTAACTTTACCTTAACCAGAAAGGGGAATCGATGTTCCCGAATTGCCACCATCTTGACCAGCCCAAGAGTTCCACTCTTGACTATTTCTATCAATTTAGCAACTGGGGGCATATATCTATACTCCAATCCAACTTGTACCAGCATATCAGGCCTTTTTCTAGCAGCATTTACAACCTGATTTCATGTTAAAGTATATTTACCAGATTAATTAACAGAGGAGGAACATAGAATAGGAACGAATCAAAATGCATAAAGACTGCTACACACAACCAGATTCAGAGGAATTATAATTAAGATAACAAGTAAATACCAGAGATTACTGAGATAATAACAAAAGACATTTTACAAACTAAACAATGCTCATAATAGCGCAAAAGCTTACTCCAGGAAACAAATTTATACAGTTTCAAACAAAGAACTTCCTTTTTTTATCCTTTCCAACACTCACTCCGTAGATTGCCTTGATGTTTATTTTTTATAGGAGGACACCTTCAAACACAATTTTTACCATTCAAATTGCCACCTAACCAAAAAGGTAAGACATGGATGGACTAGTGATAACAGGGATGGATCAGCAAACATATACGTACATTGTTTTCCTAGAATGTGCCATAATTATAATACAACTGTTAGAGCAAAAATAAATGTCAGGGCTCCTTTAATACTGAAATTTAACACTACGATATTAAATATCAGCAATCAAGATATAGAAGATGGCAAAGCCAATTACACGAAAGAATAACCATTGATTCACACAACAATAAAGGTTTTTCACTGATGAAAATTCTGCAGTCTTTACTTTCTTCCTTTACTTCCTCGATGCCATAGTTTAGAAACTAGAGTTGGATGTCGCATTATCGTTCAATCTCATCAGGTTGTTTATAAAACTCCATACAAATAGAAGCTGTAAATAAAAACTTCATAGAAAACCAGATGGCCGACCTTTCTGCAGTCAGCGACCGTAGTACACAATGGCTTCTCAACTAGCACATGATGGGGTTTAGGATGGTTCAAAATATCCAACAGAATCTGGTAGTGAGTCATATTAGGACTTGACACAACCACCACATCGCATATCCCACTGTCCAATAGCTCCTGATGCCCTGAGAAAACCTTTGTATATAAAGTATAAATTACATCCCAAGTCACAACACTTCATATCAGAGTCTTACAAATTCTTTTCAGCTGCTTGGGAATTTAGTAATAATCGGGACTTAGACAAAACCCATACCTTAAGTGGCCAATCAAAGGATTGAGCCAGTTCCAGGGCAAGTTGTTGAGAGGGGATGTGAGGATCAGCTACGCAAACAACAGCAACACCTTGGCTTCTAAGATGATGGAGATTAATGAGATGTTCTCTTCCCATCATTCCTACTCCTATGATTCCATACTTCACAGGTTCACTATCTGCCATGCTTGGGAGTTGGGAGAGTTGAACATCCACTTAGGGATGTTTTCTTTCTCTTTATTTGAGTCTCGCTTCAGTTGTTTAATGCTGGTTTTCTACTTTATCTTCTTGTAGTTGCTGAAGTTGAGTTCAAGAATTGGATTCGACGAACAAGTAAAACGATGTCGTTTCTTTGATACATGACACGAGGCCGAGGGTCTCTCGCTCGGCTATTTGACTGGGCCGGACTGAATCGTAAAGGCTAGGCGAACCTGAAAGCATGAGTTTAGCCTCCTGTATTTATACTGAAATTGTTAGTATAAGAATTCAATTTCATTTCCAAATCACCAAAAAAAAATTTAAAAATATTAAAATATTTTATATTGCTTTCATCAATGAAGAATTATCATTATTTTATTAAAATAAATTTAAATAATTAATAATTTAATTTAATAAATAAAAATATATATAATTAAATTTTAATCTTACTTATAAAATTTAAAAACTACAAAAAAATGTATATATTTTATAATTTATAATAATAGTCTAAAAATAAATACCAAAACTATATGAAATTGGGTAGAATTGAGCAATTGGCAAAACCGTTTATACACAAAGCGACAGCGCATAAGTTACCGCTTCATCGCAGTGAAGGAAGAACGCCTAAACGGCGTCAACAGACACCGTTTTAGGGCATTTCATAGATAATAATTAACAATTGCTGGAACTCGCTGGTAACCCTAACGGGTAACAAGAAAACGCGTCTCCGTTACTCGAGCGCGAAGGCAACAATGAAATTTCGGTTTTCCCAAGATGTCCCTATGTTCCCTCACTATTCACAACTCGGCCATGTCGTCAACGACCGTCGATTCGTCTCCTGGTACGTCAAGCAGTTCCGAACGACGTCGCAAGCCGGCGCCTCTGTCAGTGGCGGCAGTAGCAATTCTCAAGGTTAATTATTGATTTATTTTTTTAAATTTAGAGCAGTAGTTTTTGTTTGGTTTCTGAGAAAATCGACGATAAAATCAAGTTTATGTTCTCCATCTTGAGAAGCATGTGAAGCCCATTGCTATGTGTCTATAGGTAATGCTTTTCTGGTACCTGGCGCGACAGTGGCTACGCTACTCATGCTCGGGGTTCTTCATGCTCGACGGCTCTACGATGACAAGAAGGTATAAATTTGCTTATTATCTGATTTTGTATTTCTGATTCTTAGTCCGTACTTGTTAGAAAAGTGGTTGGAAACATTTGTTTAACCCTTTAAGCATTGACGATTAGGTTACTTGTAGATTTTTTTACTCATGAATCACGATTGATAAATTCCTTGTTGATATACTTCGAAATCTCTTTCAAAGAACCTTAAAGTTCTGAACCTATTTCGATTTAGTTGGATGTGTTTCCATGTATATTTATCATAAATGGAACTCCTTGCTGCCTTCCACACCGCTATTTGTCCTTGTTTCAATTTATCTATAATCCAAACAGTTTGTCAAACTGAAACTCATGTTTTGTTTGTGTATTGCCTGCTCTTGAATCTTACATGTCAGTGTTATTACCATGCTGATTGTGGAGTTTAGAGTTTTTTTTATTTACTGATATACGTTTGTTGCTAGTAGGTTGAAGAAGCACGGGAGAAAGGGATCGAATTTGAGTTCCAACCGGATGCAAAAGTCGTATATAAATATCTATATTTATTTATTTGGTTTTGATTTCACTGTTTGGCCTTTTTGTTGCTAAGATGCCTATACCGTGATCTTCACATCTAATATTTGTACATATATCTTCTCGAACCTTTCCAACTTTTAGGCTACATTTATGAGGATGTTACCTTTGCGATCCATTTCTAGAGTTTGGGGCTTCTTGACAAATTTGGTGAGTAATTTTCTTAATTTAGAAAATAAGATCATTTACTCTTTTAAGAAATCTTTTTCTTAATTTATTGCGATTTGCCATGCTCTTATTTTTAAGTTAAATCTCTTTTCTTCCCTTCAGTGTCTCTTTGTACTTTTAAGGGAAATACTCTTAGTGTCAGGCTGATGATGCTTCTCATGCTTTCTTTTCTTTCTTGCTTTTTTTTTTGTTATGTTGTTTTTTATCCCTTTACCTGCCTAAAGAACATTTTTTTAGGAAGTTCCAGTTTGGCTGCGTCCACATGTTTATAGAGCATGGGCGCGTGCTTTTCACTCAAGTATGTTTACCTCTTATATCTTTTCTGCCCTCATTTTGTATTTGTTATCTATTTTCTGCAGTAGATCATTTTTATGAATTGATGAAATGCACATATGGTTAACAAGAAATGAAGAATAAATTGTGATGTGGTTTGCATTTCAGACCTAGAAGAAGCAGCTCTGCCTCTCAACGATTATGCTTCTTTAAGGGATTTCTTTGTTCGCACATTGAGAGAAGGTTGCAGGCCTGTTGACCCTGATCCATATAGTCTGGTAACTGGTAACGAGCATCTTGGACATGTTAATTTTTTCATTTGTTTCACTCTGAAGTATAGCTAACAGTGTGCTCTGTGATATAATAGGTTAGTCCTGTGGATGGTACTATTCTTAGATTTGGGGAGTTGAAGGGTGCAGGGGCTATGATTGAGCAAGTCAAAGGATTTTCCTATTCTGTTTCGTCTCTTCTTGGTGCTAGTCCTTTGCTCCAAATGATAGCTGAGAAAAATACCCAAGACGAGAGCATTAATAGCGAGCAGGAAAGCACTCAGAGAGAAAAGAGTAAGAAGTCATGGTGGCGGATTTCATTGGCTTATCCTAAAGTCCGGGAAACAGTTTCTGAGTGGTAATCTTGTATTCATACTTGGTTTGTGCACTATTTGCCTGGTTATTTGTTTGTACCAGTGATTTGGTTTTGTTTAGATCCATTTGTCCAAACTTTTATTTGAATGATTGAGCATATATTGTTGACAGAATCAGCGTGGTCAGCTTTTTCTTTCAGTATTTTCCTTAGATGTGCTTTTGAATTTGTTACACAGTTGTATGTGTTCATCATGGGTCTCTAGATTGCTGTATCATCCAAGATATTTATTGTGTTCTATTCCTATATATGAAAGTAGTTTCCATGATTTAACTGCTATAAAATGTTTATGAGTTAAAGTACTTTAAACATAAAATCTTTTATTGCAGTCCAATGAAAGGCCTTTATTACTGTGTAATTTACTTGAAGCCAGGAGACTATCATCGCATACACTCACCAGTAGATTGGAATGTTCTTGTTCGACGGCATTTTTCAGGTAACTTGATTGTCTGGTTGCGTATAGTTAAAGGTTTCTTTGTACAGTGATAATATTGATCATATGATTTCATCTGCTGCTTATCTGGCAGGCCGCCTGTTTCCTTTGAATGAACGTGCTACAAGAACAATCAGGAATCTTTATGTAGAGAATGAAAGGGTAAATCTGATTTGTCAGCTCTTAAAACCCCCTCGCCCTTTAAATTTTCAAATTTTGTTGAATAGTTCTGCAGTCTTGATGTATTGCAAAAAATTTTCAAATTTTCTTGAATGGTTCTACAGTCTTTATGTATTGCAATTGGTTGAATTAAAATATAGTGTAACTTGGAAAAGGATAAAACAATATAGTATAAGTCATCTTGAAGATAGAGTGATTCATTTAGAACATTATTGCAGGTTGTAAGTTGTTTTAAGTCAGGTGTATCCTACCATAGAAACCTAAAAACTTAGGACTTAGGAGTTCTGTAGACTCTGTTTTAATGCATAGAAATAAGCGGGTATTCTTGTTGATTTTGAGCCTTAGGAAAGGGCTTCACTTTCTCATACACACAAAGCATTTGAAAAACACTTTTGTTTCTAATCCCAAAACAACTCCCTTTTTCAAAGGGTTCTTTAACCATCAGATGGTAGGTAGAGATAACAGCTCAACGTGATTATTGCAGCCTAACCAGTAACCAAGGGAGGTAATTTTGGACTTAAATTGCCAATAGAATCATGATATTTGCAGACTTTGGAGCTTACATTCATGTCAAGTGCTAAATACTTCTGGTTACTTACATAAATCTATAGATGCATTTTTAGTGAATTTCATTAAATTGTGGTTGCAAATCTCATGTCATCAGGTTGTCCTTGAAGGTCTATGGCAACAAGGATTTATGGCCATTGCAGCAATTGGTGCAACCAATATTGGATCTATTGAGGTTAGGTGGCAATGAGAAAAGTCAGATAAGAAATCTTATTTAGATGAGGCATGCATGCATAGACAAATAAATGTTCTTCAATGGATATGTGTTTTAACTCTATAAATATGTGCATGACAGCTTTTCATAGAACCAGAACTTCAAACAAACAGGCCAAGAAAAAAGTTGTTACACTCAGAGCCTCCAGAAGAACGTGTATACGAACCCGAAGGGGTTGGTGTGATGCTAAATAAAGGAGATGAGGTTAGATACACAGAAAATTCCTTTCAGAGCCTGATGCCTTCTATCGTGCAAGAATTTTGCTTTGATCTTCTGATGCTTATTCTCTAAAATTAGTTCCATTTTGAGAAGTAGTTTGAATGTTAATAAGCTAATTTGAATACTCTGTTTTATACTTTGGCTTGCCTTTAATTAGGTTTTGATTGCATTTTCCATTGCACTTTGATCCTTCCAGGTGGCTGCTTTCAACATGGGATCTACAGTGGTGCTTGTCTTCCAGGCCCCTCCGTCAAAACCATCGAAGAACAATGATGCTTCAGAGTTTAGGTTTTCTATTAGACGTGGAGACAGAATTCGTGTTGGGGAAGCACTGGGAAGATGGCATGATTCATGAGAGTGTCACAAGTGTATTAGTTGTTGGAACTAGCGGATGGACTGCCATTGCTGGCATCAGAGCAGCACTGAAAAGGTGGCATGATTAGTTCCAATTAGGTGACATTGCTGGTGCTGCTGCTTTATCTGTTAGTTGTGCAGCGCTAATGTTATCATTGAGGAACCATAGATTGAACTCACAAACAGAAATCGTAGGAAAGTTTCACCGTAGGAACTAAAAATATTATTGAGACCCACACAACAGTGCGCTTATTTCGTTCAGATATGCTGATTGTGGAGCAACCATGCCATGCTATTCTAATTTCAATGCTATAATCTTTCATTTCATTGTTCAGACCTGTAAATCTACAAACTTCAGTTCAGATGAACGAACCACTACAAAGGTGCTAGCATGACCTACCAGTAGGACAATACTACAAACTAGTGAAGTATGGGATCATGTTCCTCCATATAAGGGCCAACTCAATCATTCAAACAATCTCTTATAAATGCATCCTATCAGAACTGAGTTTATCATCAAGAAAATGAATTGGAACAAAGGGTCTTTTAAATTGCTTTAGTGGCAGTTCTTTCCTAACCTGTTGTGCCTAAAACATGTTATCATTTGGTTAAAAAAGCGAGCAAATCGAACTAGTGATACAAGAAGCCTACGCATATAAACCACTACAACCAAAGCACAAATATGATGTAGGCCATTTTCCACCATGAAACAAACAACAAAGAGTCGTTCAAAATACCATTTTCATCACACACCACATGAAAGAAAGAAACTATGGGGAGCAAAAATGATAGCTATTCCCAATCAAACACATGAAAGAAGTAAAGAACTGAGTTTCATAAACTCAAATCAGTATCAAAACAACCAGAATCATAGAATGGATACATTATGATGCTAATTGGTGACCTAAGGCAAACTCATGAATTGAACAAAACAACACATTTCATCTTTTATAAACCTTAATAGATATCCAAACAACTAAAATAAAACAGAGTTGAGAGTTTTATAAATCATTTACATTTTTGTCTCTGCTGCTCAATCAATGCCTTCTTCCAATCCTTCCTAATCTTCCTTCAAAAAACCTCTTCTTGCACCAAAATCACTATATCAAAACCTTGTTCCTGAAATGCCAACACCAGGCAGAAATATAAGTTTGTCAAATAACTAAATTGTTCTTCAATCCAAACAAAGTAAACATTTTGTATAAATTCAGTTAATTCAAAAAATAAATGATAAGTTTCCCTCTAATATGGCAATATGCAATTGAAATTCAAGGGAACAAAGCTATACTTTTTAAAGGAAATGGACATAGAGCATTTAAGTAAACGCACGCCTACGTTTGTTTGGAGTAAGAGAAAGTAGAAGGGACGCGTTTGTTACAGAACATCATGCATTCGACAGATAATACTACTCCGATCATCATGATTACTGCTCTGATGATATTTTAACGGGCTCGATGGTTCAACTACTATCATTATTTTGAATTGTACCACACAAGATCATAACCCAACGTTAACCATCAATTTGGTAATTTATAATTTGAAAACATAATTCTAATTATTAGAATTTTGAGACCTGGATCAAATCGCAGAAGAAAACTTTTAGTCATTTTTGGGGGGTTTTATTTTGAGCGTAACTGTGGTTCCAGTAGGGGATTTAGATCCCAGGTGAAGAAAGGAATTTGGAAGATAAGATTTTGGGTTTAATTTGAAAATTTTGAATCTCTTTGTGATTGGTCCGGTAAGTTTCTGACAATAAATTAAAAATCTAAAAATCGAAGAATCCACGTCAGTTAGAGTTCATTAATAGTACCGAAGGATTGGATTTGATTTGATTGAATTTAATTTATTTTTTAATAATATATAAAATTATTAAATTTTAAAATTTATTTGAATAAAAATAAATTTTTAAATAATTTAATTTAATCTAAATCAAATCAAATTTTATCTATATTTTTTTAATTTAATTTTTTATATTATTTTAATATATTTTAATATATTAAAATAAATTTAAATAAAAAATAATTATTTTATTTTATAAAAATTTAATATATATAAGTTAAAATATATATAATTTAATTTTTTTATTTTTAAATTTAAAATTTCAATTTCAATCTAATGTATATTAATATTTAAATTTTATATTTCAACCGAATATAAAAAATTAATTTAAATTAATCTAAATACTATGATTTGGAATAATTTTTTATTTTTCTATTTTTTTTTCACTACTAAGATTAAGATTATCTGCGGTTAATTGCGTGGTTTTGTGATTTAAACCGGGGTGCAATACGAAAATTCAGGTGTCACTTTGGCAAAAATAATTTATTAAATAAATATTTTTAAGATAAAAATTAAATTAATTTTAACAAATGTTTGTAATTAATAAGTATCTTCAATTAGATGTTTAAAAATTTAAGAAAAGAAATTAAATTAAAGATAACTACTCTTTAATTTAATTTCTTAGCCTTTGAGCAGTTATCTAGTTCTCGCTACGTTGATGGCCATATTTAGTAGGTAGAGAACTAGATAACTGCTCAAGGGCTAAGATTCGTCCAGTGACAGTCTAAAGCCTTTGTACTAGTTGTCGTATTACTTTCCATCTGCGAGCTTCAACAGCCAAAAGAGAAGGCCGCCAAGCCAGCTTTTGGTGAAATTCTAAGAAATGACTTTCACAAGACGAGTCTCATCAAGCTTCCCCCAATTTGTTGGATTTGCAAAGAGGTCCTTCAAATCCTATAAATTACCCGGAGATCCCTCTTCCTCTCCTTCTCTAGCCCATGGCATCCACGTCTTCCATTGCCCGGTATGTTCGCTCTCTCTCTCTCTCTCTCTATTCTTTACCCATTTCCATGTTGCCAATGTTGAACTGGATTGCCACTTAAAGTTCTCATTTTCTTCACAAAAAAATGAACTTTTTTCGTTCAAAATGATGATTTTGTGAATTTAATTTTAATTGAATATGGTGGTTTTGTTTGTGGGTTGATAGGATGAAGTTGGAATAGTTGCAAAGCTATCAGAATGTATAGCTTCAAGAGGAGGAAATATACTTGGGGCTGATGTTTTTGTCCCTGAGAATAAGAATGTCTTCTATTCCAGAAGGTAAGGCTATTTAATTATCTAAAATTTTCTAATTCAGTGCTAATTGTCTTTAATTGATGAATGCAAGCGACAAATTTTGATTCTTGGTAGCCATCATTTTTTGCAAAGGTGATAAAGCTTAGTGCTTTATCCTAAGGAAACATGCTCGAAAAGAATCAATACTGAATCAATGGAGCATGTACACGTTGCAATTAAGAATTTGGTTCTGTTGGACAATGGTGTTGTTAATGTTGGATAGTTTTTCTTTTGGCTGAAGTTTGAACTAGCAAACGAAGCTTAGTACATTTATAAAAGAGAATTATAGCAATCCAGAAGAGAGAGCATTATCTTAATTGTTTTCTAAATTGCTTCTTGCTAATCTATACCAGCATGTTGGCCAAAAAAAATCTACACCAGCACCGACTAGAAGTAGGTTTGATTTTGGTCAGAGCTTCCTTGCTAGTTTATGAATGTCCAATAATAATGTTTGGACTGGGCAAAGAGTTATATGTCCAATCACCAATGTTGACTGTACTTCTTAGTAACAAGGTGGTTTATGAGCCATAATTAGACGTGGATTTTATTGTGTGCTAAATTGCAGTGAGTTTGTTTTCGACCCTGTTAAATGGCCTCGGGAGCAAATGGATGAAGATTTCCTAAAGCTCTCAAAAATGTTCAGTGCTACAAGGTCTGTTGTCAGGGTCCCTGATCTAGACCCCAAGTTTAAAATCGGTGTCCTTGCTTCAAAACAGGTATAACTTGTTTCTTTTCTCCTAGTTTTGTTTTATGTTTTGCATGATTGAACCATATTTCTCTTGCTACAGGACCATTGCCTCATAGAGTTGCTTTATGGATGGCAGGAGGGAAGACTTCCAGTTGATATTACTTGTGTTATAAGGTGATTGTTTAAACTGTCATCCCATTTGGTGATCTTTGTCTTTATCGTTTTTCTTCAAAACTCTTTTTAGTCCTATTTGTATTTTGTTTCAAAATACTGATTCTGGTTTTCATCAATTGTTTGGCAGTAATCACAATAGATGTCCAAACACACATGTGATGCGCTTTCTTGAAAGGAATAATGTTCCATATCATTATTTGCACACAACCAAAGAGAATAAAAGAGAAGGGGAGATCTTAGAGTTGGTTCTGAATACTGATTTTTTGGTACTTGCCAGGTACATGCAGGTAAATCAGGTTATCAGATTCTCTTTACAATTTTATTTCAATGCAAAGCAATTTTATTTTTTATTGAAAATATTTTAATATGGGAGTCCACAATATTAACTAGAAGAATAGGCTTAACTTTTTTCTTTCACAAATGATGCAAGCAAGTGTTTATGTATATTTAACATTTAGCAAAATCTTGTAGTGTCTGTTCTTGTTGGTATTATCCTTATGTTTAGTTAAACAATTATGTATCTTATAATGATTTCAGGTGTACTGGAATGGTTGAATCAACTAATGCTATATCTGGAAGCTAAGTTATAATTTTATTTTATTTTATTTTATTTTGCAGATATTATCAGGTCATTTTTTGCGGACATATGGGAAGGATGTAATTAACATTCACCATGGCCTTTTGCCATCATTTAAGGGTGGGAATCCGTCTAAACAGGTGAGTATTCTTGCTTATCCATGAGTAATTGAATTTATTGACTATTTCATGCTTCCGCCCTAACTCTATATGCATGTTAAATTTTCTAGATTATGTTGGCAGGCTTTTGATGCGGGTGTGAAATTAATTGGGGCAACAAGTCATTTCGTGACTGAAGAACTTGATTCAGGGCCTATTATTGAACAGATGGTATTATTCTATTTGTTTACTGCTGCTCTGAACAGTGTTTCATCCAGTCATTGTTTACCATGTAAAACTCTGCTAGGTTCTCCTTAGGTTGATTACAGTTAATGGTGATTATTCTCCTCTACTATTTTCCATTCAAGGAAGTAGTCAGCTTGAATTAACTTAGCTTTGTTTTTTGAATTTTGAATAATAACTTAGAATGCAATTGCTTACTGTCTATCCCATGGATATCATCATTCTTGAAAAATTCTGGTTGTGAGTGACTAAAGTTAACTTCTCTCAACTTAGATGAAGGCTGTTTTGATGGTTGTAATTCCTCACTAATTCTTCAATTTATTTGGCTAATTAATTCTGAATTGATGCTAATGCTATAATAAAATTTGTCGCAAGCCATAACAACTTAATGTGATCTCTGAAACTTTATTAATGATAGAAGGAGCTGAAAACAGAGTTCCAAAGAAATGAACTCTAAGTGCCAACTTCTATAGCTATTTTTGCAGCAACATTCAAGTTTAACTAAATATAGGTGCCTATCATCTATATATTTTCACGTCTAACGGTTCTCTGATGACGTTTGTTCCATTATTTGATGCTGATAACAAATAAATAAATTTGGTATATACATTATTGTTTTGTCATGCTCCTTAATGATCAATCCTCAATGTGTCATTTTTGACAGGTTGAAAGAGTTTCTCACAAAGACAATTTGCAGAGTTTTGTGCAAAAGTCAGAGAATCTTGAGAGGCAATGCCTCGCAAAGGCTATGAGATCATACTGTGAACTGCGACTGTTACCGTACGAGGAAAACAGGACTGTTGTATTTTGAGAGGGAAAATTAGAAGATAAAGCAGTGTAAAAGAGGACGTTGGGGTGTCATGCACGTTGAACTTGTCATATAGATTGCCTAGCAAAAGTAATTTCACTCCATACATCTCTAATTGCTTTGCCTTACTCCTTTGCCTTTGTCCACAGAAGAAAACGGAAATTGGTAGCATGCAGTTTTTCAAATGGTTCAAAATGCTTCTGATACCATACCCCAGGGCCCCCCTCTTCTTTGTTTCCCTAATCTCCTTATATGCTTAAGAGAAGTTTATTTGAAAATAAAACAAGCAAATTTTTTATTTGGAGGTTTGCCTGATATTTTTGCACTCTCAAATATCAAGCTAAACGAGTGGTTGGTTGAGCAGGGACCACTTTACTGTACTTGCAGTTTTTTTTTTTTTGGATAAAAAAATGAAAACTACCAAGGTGCATCATTGCTGTCAGGCAGCAATGATTGTGAAGAGAATGGGAGTGGGATGTTATATTTTTGTTGTATTTCCGGGGTTCTCTTGGGTAATTTCATTCTTGTCGTTTATCTTTCCTAGGCTATCCTCCTCTCAACAACTGGGAAAAAAGGGAAGCTTCAATTTTTTTCTTCTCCCTTTTAAGATTATCAATATCAAATGTCTTTAGTCAATTTCTTCGGGATCATTGTTATTGTTATCTTTTGCGAGCATGAAAATAGTGGAAGGGTCTCTAAAAAACTGTATTTTATTCTCCCTACAGATAGGGGCCAAATTGACCATGTATGCACAGCTATACTATGAACTACATACTGTCGCTGATACTCAAAGATTCGAGAGAAAGCTCAACTGCTTCGGCATAGCTGACTTGACGGAGAAGATTTTGAATCCCATCGACCCATTTCTGCTTATGAATCTTGCTTTTACACTTAAACTCTAGAAGACCTTGTCCAGTCTTGAGACCGAAATAGAGTTCCTCAGACGAAGTTTCCCTTTCTTTTCTATATGGCCATGCTGAAGTCTCATCGCAAACTCCATAAACAATACCTGGAATGGTATATGTAAGAGGACATTTAAATATTAGAGAAAACAAAAAGCTAGTTATACTGTTTTGTGGCAAAAAGTTGCTTTTGCTGCTCTGGCAGTCAAAACAAAGGAAAGAGCTATAGAAAAAGGTAGTGCAAAGGAACTGACTTGATTAATCAGAAATAATACAATGCTTACATTTATTCTTCTTGGAGAATGCCCCTCCAACGTGCTTGCTTTTAAGCTGAATCATGACCTGACAATGGAGCGTTTGTAAGAGCTTATAAACATTGCAATTGATCAATATGCTTTCTTGTTTTTCCATCAAGCTAGTTTTTGTACCTGAGATTTCTTGTTAATGTAGACATAGACGCGCTTCCATCGCAACACACCTGAGAATAGCAGTAACAAGTGATTCAGATGTAATACTCCAATGTAGCTGAATCAGTAATTTCTATCAAAGTTCCAAAACCTGTTTCTAGTTGAGTTTTAAGACATCTTGAGCGTTGAACAGGAATTACCTTTTCGTGTGTGTTGCAATAGTTCACCCTCGCAAGGAGGATTCTGCTCCTTCATTTGAGTTTGAAAAACAGTAGACCAATAAGCTTCTCTCATGCTCCTCTCATAAGGACTTATAGCTGCATTTTTCTTTGCTTCTTTTGGCAATCTTGCTTTCGAAGTTGCTTCTCCTCTCAAGGCTAATTTTGCAAAATTATGATTCGGATCAAAGCCCATTTCATAATATTGAGATTGGAAAAGATTAGAGTATTAATAATTTGGGATGAATAAAAATTGTGTAGAAATTCAGGTACAACTGCTTCTGAATTTCTTCAAAAACTGCAGATAGCAAATACCTGTTGCAGCTACTGCTGTGAGAGTCATCAGATCACCTGCACTTTGAATATCCACTGCTGATTTGACAACAGAAGCAACGCGGTCATGATCAGCCCCGGTTAGTTCAGCTAATTCAATGCAATGCGATGCCAGAAGTTCAGTAGCGGATGCCAATGCCAGGCTCATTTTTGAGCCTGTGCCATTGGAGTTTCCAGCTGCGGCTACTGCTGCCAAACCTGCAGCTAGTCCCGCCACCGAAACAGCTGAGTGCACCCGAGCATTTTCTGCACGAATCTTATCTTTCTTCTTCATTGTGTTAGTCCCCAACTCCTTGTGGTGATGAAACCATTTTCCAATTAATCCACTTCTTAGGGCATTAATTGAATCTATGACTTTCCCTGCCTAAAAAATATATTCAAGCACGAAAGAAAAAATAGACCAGAGATATCTATGAAGTTAGTTGGGATTCTTAATTTCGTCAGCCAACCATTAAAAGAAATTGCCAGATTCTTCACAGTTGAAAAGTACTAGTACTTGCAGAGACAACACATCAAAGGCAGCGTTAACCAAAGGCCAGGAAACAGAAAGCCAAAATATGCAATGCAATCTATCAAGAAAGATCAAATTTTGGTTTTGATCCAACGAAATTCAAGGATCCTGAGGATTTGAGATTAAAAAGAAAAAAAACAAATAAAAAGGGTATAACATGAACTTTTAGGAAGGAAAAAAAACGATGCTAAGAATATATAAGATCACTTACAATTTGTGGTGCAACAAAGGCGTCTGGAAATGAACTTGGATTAATACCAAATTCAAACTGTTTTTGTTTCTGAGCAAGAGCTTTTGCAATTTCTGATGCAGATAGACTCCATGATCTAGACAAAAATTCCATAGGCTCATTTGGTGTTTGTGGCTGAGGGATAGATGGCAACGACGATGCTGATTTCAGCTCTCCATCCTCTTCTACATTCTCTAGCCCAAACAAAGAACCACTCTTCCAAGCTGAATAAAACCCACTTTCCATTGCTATCTGAGGATTCTTTCAGCTGACAGGAAAACGCTTTGAAAACTTTTGTGACGAATTTAAAAGCTAAATCCTCCTATAATAACCCGTAGTAATAGTAGCCCTACAAAACTTATGGTATAAAAGTTGAGAAAAAAAAATTATTGCCTTTTGAAACAGAAAAGGGTCTGTACTAAGAACAAAACTTACTGTATTGTCCGAGCACCCTTGAAACAATGAGTGACAAAATAGTAGAAACAGGAACTGATATCAAAATTTAGTGCTTTGAACCCCCATGAATTCAGGTGTGGTTTACTGAAAGAGACTGGGAGTAGTCCAAACAGAATTCACGAAACCCAAAAAAATATCAATCAAGTATTAGATTAAGGAACATAAAGAAAGCATATATCCTGGGAAAGGGGGGAGCTGTTTCTCACGACATGCAATAACTAAAATCACTGAAATTTAAATTAGCTTTTTTTTGCCGAGGATAAGAGAAAAGATTGCAGGAATTGGGATTTGAAATCTAAACCTGATAGATGTTACTTCTTAAGATGACTGCATGAATCATGGGCTAAGTTCTGAGTTCAATCATGGGTTAACTTTTATGAATGTTCAGTAACTTGTATTGTATGAAACAGCTTTGATAAACCTATCTGATTAACATTACAAACAAATTAGGCCATTAGGGCCTATTTAATTAATTAAAACAAGCTTTAATTAGTCGCTTGCGAATAGTTTGGCCTCAACTCCTTTAATTTGATTATTCCCCAGCCAGCCAGCCTGGTGCCCCAGACATATAAACGATGTTCACGTGAATTTTACATGGGTAGTTTCACGTCTATTTCTCTTCCTAAAACCTGCTCCAATTATTAAACCTCAGCTCTGGTCCCAAAACTTTGTCTTTGTACAGCTACATCGATCTGCTTTCCTTTTGATTGCGATTTGTAGCGGAAAATGTTTTCAATCGACGTATTGGACACCAGGGTTCTACCAAAATAAGTATTTATACCAAAGTTTTTCTTTCCTTTTTGAATTTTTAGGATAGTGAAGATGATCATCTGATGGCATCTTATGTTTTTTATGTTTTTGCTCAGTCTTTTGGAACTGAAAAAAAGGCATGGAAGGACCCCAGGATTTCATGATAATGAACATGACAGTCTATCCTGATAGCATGATTTGAGTAAGCCAGACTGTACAAATTCCTCCCAATTTCAAAACCATAACAACGGCGAGATTTGATTGTAAAAATCACTTTTTAAACTTTAAGTATATCCGAATTAAAGTGAATCAATGAAAAGAAAATGGGGACATGAAGTTGAAAAGTAGTTGGCTGCAAAAAATGTGTCATCTTCCACCACTTGCTTGCCTTTCAAAAAGAGATCCACTAGCAAAAACCTTTTGTCAGTTTTTTTGCCCCCATCTATGGCTTAACCAATGACCAGCTCAACTTTGTTCTAAAGCAATCTAACTCCATCACTTCACATTATCAAAGGAATCAATGCCGAAACCATAGGAAAATAAAAATAAAAGAAAAAAATATGTGATAGAAAGTTATTCTCCCACATTTGGGATCATATAAAGTTCGTAAGAACTCAGAACTAAGGACCATGTCTCCTATCTGGAATTACAGTGCTTCCATCTGGTCTTGGTATCGACTATTTGATTTCTGCGGATGTTCATATCCACGATTGCTGATCAAACAGGTCACAATTGCATTGTTGGAATTAAATGCCCTGTCTCTGCCCAACTTGAGTGCATCTAAACACATGATATATGCCTAACAAGTCAGGTTAGCTCCTGGGAAGTTCACAGATAACTCTAGTTCAGGCTCATACGCGTTAAGGGGAGAAAAAAAGGTTAGTATGCATATAAACCTGTGAAGAACACTTAACGAATTTGGACATCTGGGATCACTATATCTAGCCAAAAAAGTCTTTTGAAGCTAATGTACTGAGTTGCTTTTCAATTACAGGAAGCTTATCTTGACATATTACAAGACTAGGTTAGACGGTTGATACTTATCGACAAGGTAAAAGCATCAAAGATAATGCAATTAAAATCCTGGCAGACATGAGAGATAATAAGAAGCCTGCATTTACCTATCGTAAGACAAATTTTATTAACAAAAAAAAACAAGCTGATGAAAAGGTAATTGAAACTCAGATAAATGCAGAGACAATAGCCTTGATATTAACCAGGAGAAAGACTACTTAACAAATTTGATAGGAAAGAGATTATAATTGAATCAAATTCTAATGAAGGACTAATGATTTTTAAGGCCTCTTCAAGTCTAGTCAAGTGGGAAATTAAAGTGATTGTGGATGCTATCAGAATCTAGTTAAAGGCAAAACAACATTGTAAAATCAGTTGGATCAGAAGATCTGGTAACCAAGTTGCCAGTTGAACTGCTAATTCTACATGGAAACTCATAAAAAAAATTGAATTCTTAGCATCCCAATCATAGTCTCTTAAAACTTGAAAATGGGTTTCATTCAGTTCACAAATTGTATATCTAGAGTACATATGGTCTTTACCTGTCGCAGCACGGTATGAACGATGAACTGAAATCCCTGCACCTCCTCCCATTGTAATGCCATCCACCTATTTGCACCAAACAAGAATTAAACGGAAACATTCAGGGTAACTGTAGTCACTGAAACAGTTGTATACAGGAGATTCAACCTCAATCTCTGAAAAACAAACAGAAGGGTGAGAGAGTCACCAAATTTGTAAAATCAATGACATTTTACCTGCCAAAATCCAGTAACAAAATCAGGCAATTGAAAGTACAGATTTTATATTTTATTTACTTGTTGAATAAGGAGACTTGCATTCTGCTTCAAATATGTGGCTCGTACATGAAACTGTAAAATGTTTTGAAACATTCTTTACATGCTTTCATTCTCTCTAAATTATACAATAAAAATAGTGTTAGAAGATTGTTAACAGCAGGAATCAAATCTATCCGAATTTCAATTAGTACATAAAATTTCTATAGCCTATGACTTTGCTTCATGTATTGTATGCCAAAATGTAAGTACAAATTAAAACGAAATACAAACAAAAAAAAAAGCGTAAAAATTAAAATGGACATAGCAGATCTAAGCTGACCCAGTTTTGCTAGGCTTAATTCCATGCATTAGCCCACTGATTTGGATTAAGTCCAACAGACTTTTGTAACACTATATTTTTTAATTCATTTTTATATTTTTATTTATGTACATTTAAAAAGTTGGTGAAATTGTTTAAAAAATGATCAGGATGATGCCCTCATTTTGCTACAGTTTTTTTAATAAATAAATAATATCATAAAATATAATTAATAAAAAATAATCTGTAAAAAAAATTATAAAAAATCATCTCAAGTTGAATTATGATTCCAATTAGGGCTGTAAACGAGCCGAGCCGAGTCGAGCCGAGTAGTGAGAAGTTCGAGCTCGAGCTCGACTCATAACTCGGGGTTCGATACTCGGTTCAAGCTCGATCGAGTTTTTTTTTCAAGCTCGAGCTCGATTCGTGATCGAATTCGAGCTACTCGAGCTTGCTCGATTAAGCTCGATTAATATATAAAAATAAGCTCGATTCGTATACTCGACAAGAGTTCGATTATTCATGCTCGAACTCGAACTCGAACTCGAACTCGGATTCAAAATATTTTATTAATTAAAAAAAATAAAAATATATTTAAATATAAAAGCTCGATTAGGCTCGCGAGTTACTCGAGTCAGATATAAAAATACTCGAATTCGGCTCAATCGATAAGTCGAGCTACTCGAGCTCAAGCTCGACTCGACAATAATCGAACCGAATTCGAGTTTTTTTCGAATCGAATCCGAATAGCTTACAAGTACTAATTAATCATTTACACCCCTAATTCCAATGACATGCTTTTAGTTGAGAACCTATCAAACTCCATTTAATTGACTATATAAAATTTATTATGGTGATTTAATTAACTTACTTGGCAAACAAGGGATTGTTTAAAGAGAATACTTTAAGAGCACTTATTAAATGTTGAATTAAATGTAAAGGCTTTTCTAAAGATATTAAGTTCACAGCTGAACCGTGGGCCATGGATTACGGCCGTTAAGCTATTTTGGACAAGGGCTTTCGTTCTATTATTTTAAAATTTGATTTGAGAATGGCAGTGTTAAAACTTAGAGATGAGAAGAATAACAAACAAAATTGAAAATTAATTTGAAATTATAATGTTTAGTTTGATTTGGATTTTTTTGTATTTATTTTGGATTATATATTGTATATATATATATATTAGGTTTAGAATGAATTTTAAATAAAAAAATATAATAGAACTAAAATATATTTTTTTATTATATTTTTTAAATTTTAATAAAATAAAATAATTATTTTATATCTAAATCTATTTAAATATATTAAAATAATATATACAAATAAAAAATGGATTAATCAAATTGAATCGTATAAAAATTAGATTTCAACTCAAATATAATTTTAAAATTTCATAATTTTATACATTATAAAAAAAATTAAATCAAATCAAATCTTAATCATTATCATCCCCGTTAACACTTTAAAAATTATTTTTCATTCTAATACAATCATGCATGTTGAGGTTATATTCAAAGAGATTAAATTTGGTAAGTTCATCATCTTTATTGTGAAATTTGTGAGGATTGAATTGATTTTTATGCAATTCAAAAATCACTATATTTCTATGAAATTACTATTCTCCATAATAAAATTAAAATCCTTTTGTTTAATGATGTTAAAATTATGTTACCATCAACAAATACATTGCATGTTGATAATCTTTCATGTGAAAATTTTGATTACAATAACCAACGTTGGAAAATTTACAATAATGCAACTTTAGTCAATTTCAGATTCATTTCATAAGATATAATAAAAATGTTATTTGATTTTGTTTCATATTTTTTTTCTTTTAAATTGTTATTAGTATTTATTAGAGTTATAAATGATATATTAGTACTCGTAAACTATTTAGATTTTACTCGAATAAAACTTAAATTCGATACGATTATTATCGAGTCGAGCTTGAATAGTTTGATTTATTTATTGAACTGAATTTGAATATTTTTATATTCTATTTGAATAACTCGTGAATTTAATCGAATTTTTATATTTTAATATATTTTAATTATTTTAATTAATAAAATATTTTAAATTCGAGTTCAAACATAAATAATAAATATTTTATCAAATATAAAAATTAAATTTATTTTTATATATTAATTAAATTTAATCAAATAAATTTAAATAATTTAATTTTTATCTCAAATTAAACTCAAATTAAAAAAATTAAATTTAATTAAATTTAAAATTAAATTTAAAATTTAAAATTTAAAATCGAGTTTGACTCTGAACTTTATATATCAAGTCCAAATTGATCGACTATACCTAATATTCACTAACCGGTTTTTACTTTTTACCATTTGTGAAAGATCCTTTCGGCAACATACGTATTGCTTTTATAACCTAAAGTAACAACCCAATTAACAAGTGTTGGACTGATTATTCTGATCGAACGGTCAACACTATCGCTAACAAAATATAGATAAAATTTCGGACCGTAGATAAATCATAGATATACGTATCTAACCTGACCTAACCTTCTTTGGCCACGTGTTATTCACTGGATATGATTTTGGATTTGCCTACTTTTTAAATGAAGAACAGTCTCACATTCCTCCGTCAAATTTAACGGGTCACAATTCCCATCTTCACCGTCAATTCTCACACCCATGCCGTAACTTGAACCGCAAGGAACTCGTATGTCGCAAAAAGAAACGAAGACTGACGGTATCATTAACATTGTTATTGTCGGTTTATTGGACGTAAACAACAAGCCACGTTTCATATTAGAAGCATCGAGGACCATCCACTGACCGCCACGTTTTGAGTTCACTGAACCCCACTTTTTCAAAATACGATCAACATCACTCGTTTTTATCGTTTTCTCGCTAGGAAAACGAGAAAACGAAGCCAAAGGCTTCTCCTTGTTACACATCAGAAAAATCTCCCCTCTCTCTCGCTCTCTTGCCTCTCTTTCTTTCACTGACTTCTTTTTACTTCAATTCACCGGAACCCTAACTCGATCCGCCGGACAATTCAAGATTCCGGTGAGTCGCAGTTACTATTCAATTTTTCAACTCATTTGCTCTTCCGTTAGTTTAGGTTTTATTCAAACAATTTTACTTTTTCCTTTTCTTTTATCTTTTACTTTTTTTTTGGTTTTCTCTTTATTCGTAGTTTGGTTCCTCTTTGTTGCTGTTGTTGTTATTATTTTTGTTGTTATAGCGTGGTTAAGGTCATGTTGTTTTGAATTTGAGTTTTGTGTAGATGACCGTACGATTAGGGAGGAGTTGAGATCAAACGGCCAGAGATTTCGTCACCGGATGGAGGGAGGTAGCGTCTCTAGACTTACTTGCTCTGGTAACTGTTCATATTCCTACTTTTTTTTTAGTGAACAAATTGTGTTTTAGGGTTTTTGTTTTTCATGTTTAATTACAGCTTGGAAACAGTTATCTTTCTGAAATGGTGAGTTTAGTGTTATTTAAAGTTTAGAATTAAATTTTTGTGCTTTTCAGCTTAAATATGTTGGAACTAAGACTGTAGCTTAGTCAATTATGCTTGACAAGTTTCTTCTCTTTTATAATTTTTTAATAGTTAATGTGTTTGAGCCAGAGGTTTTGTTTAATTGAATTGGCAGTTGAGTAGCTAGTGGTTTGAGCGAGAGTTTGTTTGAAATTAGTTAGTGGTATACTGGTTTGATATCTGAGTGCAACCAACTGATAAGTTCAGGAAGTAAGATTCTTATTTATTTTTCTCCTTAAGGATTATTATCTTTTTCCCTGTAGCAGAGTTTGAAACACCACAGGTGGGTTTATGTTTGCCGCGATTTCATTTAACTAAAATATGTTAACCTAATAATTTAGTGTTGACTTCCTTACCTTGGAGATGCGAAAAGTATGTACATCTGCTTGTGGAACTTTCAAACTCCATCTTGAGTGTTTAGGATAATAATCGTTATTGTTAATGTTGACATAGCAGAAACACACCATCGGGTTGTCAGAAGATTTCAGTTTTAAACATGATCTAGTGTTGATTTAAATTGATATACGTTAGAAACATCACATTAAGTTTGCATTGAATTGACCAAGTTGACATTTTTCTGGCTTCTTTAGTTCATAAAGGCTTCCTCCAAGCCTTATTTGCCAATATATATATTTCTATGATCTGTTGCCTGGACTTCTTCATACTAAATTGTTTTTAAAGAAACCATGTTGATTGTTAGACAAAACTATAAGATCAAGGTGTTGGCATTTTCTAAGTGCAGCTTAACCTCTTACTGGGGCCTAGGAAGTGAATTATGGAAATGCATAAGTTTTCTTTCCCCATATATCTCTGTAATTGTAGTTCTATACCACTTAGCTAATCACAGATGGGCATTTTCTCTTTAATTGATGTGATATGAAGTTTTTTAACTGTTAAATTTACTTGTTTTGTGCATGCCCTTTTTATTAAATTGACTTTATATGCATCATAAGTTCATAAATGTAGTTTATCCATGCTATACCAGGAAAAGAGAAAATAACTCATACCCACCATTTATACATTTTGTATATCAACTAAGTTGCATATTTACTCTCATTTTCATATTTTTATGATGAGTTCAGGGCATGCAATATGAAGATTCTAGCATCTTTTCCATGCTTCCTATTAATTAATTAATTTGTTTGAACTGTAAATTAGTATTCAACTCTACAGGTAGTAGTAGTTAGCTATATAATGTGGATTGTTCTGTTTGAAGAAAGTTTCTAAAATTTGCAGCTATCCTACGCAATTCTTACTGTAACAATATACTCTTAAAACTCAGAGGCCTGATCACTTTTTCTGTATTTTGGTTGAACTGCAATTTAACGATCAATTTTCTTCTAAACTTTTTCTGTTGTAGGGATAAACTCATGGATTATGATGACACTGATTTCCAAAGCCAGAATCTTCATTTAGCTGGTGAAGGAAACAGTAAATTTCCTCCTGTTTTACGGCCATACGCTCTCCCGAGATTTGATTTTGATGATAACCTTCATGGGCATTTAAGATTTGATAGTTTGGTAGAATCTGAAGTTTTTCTTGGCATTGAAAGTGGTGAGGATAATCAGTGGATTGAAGATTTTTCACGAGGGAGTACTGGGATTACATTTAGTTCAAGTGCAGCGGAACCTTGTTCGATTTCTAGGCACAACAATGTCTGGTCTGAGGCAGCCTCCTCAGAATCTGTTGAAATGCTATTAAAATCTGTAGGACAGGAAGAAACTATTCTCGGTCAAACTATAAGTAAGGATTCAGATGCCTGTGATGAACTGGGCTGCATAATAAAGCAGATGGAACCTAGTTTGAAACACGGAGATAGTGGTCTTTCTAGAGTAGGGGATGACTTAAAGCCTCCCTTACGTATAGATGAGATTCCAGGGATATATTCTGGGTTGAAAGGTGATGTAGGGGCAGATCATTGGCTGGTTGAAGATGTTTCTCAAAAATGTGAAGGTGAGCCATCTGTTGATGGGGCATTCAAAGATTCGAATACCACAAATGCAAACATAACTGCAATTGAGAGAGATGAATCTAAAGATGGTAAACAAATTGTTAATGAAAATCAAGTGGAGGCTTTGGTTGATCAATCTGTGGATGACAGGGGACAGGAAGATAAATTTGCTTCTGGGTCAAAAATTGATAATGTAATTGCCTCTGTGCAAAACACCTGTACAAGTAGTGTTTTGATAGATGGTCAAGAAACCACCCATTTAAAAAATGATATCATTGATGAAGATGTGGACAGTTTAGAGAGGGAAAATGTTGATTTGAGCCAAGAAGTTCACATTGATTGTGAGCACTTGATTGAAAATGCAGTTCCAAGTGTTACCTCACATGTGCAGAAGCATTCATCCTTGAACATGCAATCTATAAAAGATGGAAATGCTATTGGAAACAGCACAGCTAATGTGGGTGAGCCTTTTGATAGGATATTACAAGGGAATTCTGACGTCCATATGGTGGAAGGGTGCAGCGACTGCTTGGGTGTAGAAATTCCTCTGCAGACCGGCAAATCCAAAGACTTTGTCTTGTCTGAAGGAAAAGTACAGGACATGTCAACAAAGCCCTCTGTTGATGATGCTACCCTCAAGGAGCATGAAGATGAGGTCAGCAATGCTGATACTAGAGCTTGTACGAGTCTAGAGTCAAAGATGGATTCAAAGTTGCAGATAGCATGTGATGCTGTAGAGAAGAAGGATTTGTTAGAAAGTGATTGCCACCTAGATGCAAAAATCTTGATTAGCAAGTCTGAGAAACCTTTTTTGTTAGTAGAAGATGGTAAAGGTGCTAAGGGTGAAGGTGAAGGTGCTGCTGATACCTTGGGAGCAGAACCCATTAGAGTATGTGAAAAATATACAGTCACTGAACATAGTGGTGATTATAAACGTGATCAAAGTGTTTCAGCTGCTGCAAAGCTGAACACCAATTTGCCTTCTGATTGTAGTAACACAGATTGTGGTGATGGTGGATCTCCACTTGTAATAAAGGGTGTTGATTCCTCCTCCTTTGGCTTAGGTGGCACATCAAATGAATTAGCTTCTAATTTGCAATCTGATGTCGCTGTCAGCAGCAAATCAGGTATGTGTATTCTGAAGATTAAGTCTGAAAATTGAGCTCTTTCTTTTACCCATGCTGCATCATGTGCTAACATGGTGTTCCTATTGTACAGTGGATTATGTTCTTTTGTCTTCTGGTAAGGGTCTTCCTGCTGATGCTGTTCTTGATCAGAAAGAGGTTCAAGTGCCATCTTCAGAAGCAAGTTTCTCAATCATAAAAACTTCTGGAATGACAACTAAAAAAGTTGCACCTTCTGAGACCGGTGAACAGTTCTCTTGTAAGAAAGTTGATCAGTCCTTGTCAATGGAGGATACCTCTAAAGTTGATGGCGAAAGTGGAGACCAGACACTTCGCAAAGTCACACCGGAGGTTGGAAAGGATATGCATGCATCATCTGTTGTCTCTGATTCAACAGTGAGACAGACTGATGGTGCTGAAGCTCAAGTTATCTCTAAAAGGGGTTCTTCAGTAGCTACAGGTGACCTATAATTTTAAGGATATCTTAGTTTACCTAGTGACCATCTCAACTTGGATTTGAATGTAATAGAGTAAATTCTGATTAGCAATTTCTTACATAATAATCCTGTAGGGTGTGCATGTAAATTATATTTGGTACTCTGCCATAGCTGGAGCAATTATTTAAATGGCTTTTTTATTGTTGCCCATACCTTGTGATATGGTGCTGTTTCCTTAAGTCATTGTAGTTCTTTCTGAAATATTTTATTTTTGTGATGATGGTTGGTTGGTTATGAGCTACTGTTTACTTTATGAAGCATATTTTCCTGCATTTATGATGCTGGAAACTCCATAAGATTAATGTCAGCAAACAAAAAATTTTCCTCAGGTGATGTATCAATTCAACAGAATGACAAGACGTTGATGAATTCAGTGTCTTCAACTTCAAAGGAACCTTCCTGTAATACTGACCAAAATCATCCCAATGATAGTGACCCCAAATTGGTTTCTGAAGAGATCGGTGGACATGCTGCTGTGCATCATGTTGATGGTGACTTTCTTTATCATTTTATTTTTATGAAGTAATTATAATTTTGATATTTTAAGTCTGTCATGGTGGAATCCTTTCTTTATCCTCCCCAGTCTTGTCCTGTGGGTCTATTCGGTGTTGTGTAGGTAAAAAGTATGTTTTGTTCTGTTTTTGCCACCCTTCTCCCAGGTTCTTGGGATGTATCTCCTTTTGCTTGTAATTTCTGTCATGTGAAGTTATGTCTTGTTTAAGGGAAATTTTTGAACAGTCTACTTGTTTTAATAGATGTACGGTCCATAAATCAATTGCATGCCTAGCCTCTTTTATGGCTTTGTATTCTTTTGAGACCATTTCATCAGTTTTCCTGTTTTTCTCCTACATTATTTCATGTTATTTTTCTGATGGATTAATTTGATGTTGCAGGTGATGTTGCAAAGACTCATAATTGTTCCTTTACTTCTGCTCCTTCATCTGAATCTCAAACTAAGTTTCACATGATGGAAGGCAGGAGTAGTAGTGCTGATCTTGACAATCCTTCCTGTGGTTCTCCAATTGTCATTAGAACTTCTGAGCAGTCTCAAAGTAAAATTGAAAAGGAAAGTGTGAAAGGATCCAAAGATCAGACTGCTTCAGCATCTGGGGTCATTAATGGGGGAGTGAACCAAGAGCAGTCTATTTCTCATGACACAAAAGGAAATGATGCATCTTCAGGAGACAGAAACTTCACCTTTGAGGTACCTCCATTGGCAGATTTGTCTGAAAAAGAAGTTGGAAAGAATTGGCAAACCTTTTCTCCCGTGCAACACAACAAAATTTCCTTGGTAAAATTTTGTTTTCCAAAAGTGATGCTTTGGGTTATGATAAGAGGGCCTTTTTTGCTCTAATAATTTCCTGATTCTTCTCTTCTCGCTGAAGATTTCTGAGAAATTAAGTGTGGTGCTATTTTTTTTTTTTTTTATTATTTCATACTGGTTTTGCTCTATCTCTTTTGCACTTGCTTTCTCACTTTTTGTGTTGATACAACAAGAAGGTCATGGACGGAACTCTGTCAACTTCTGGCTTAAGCAGAGTGGGAGCCAAGGCTGCTCATGCAAATATTCTGGCATCTGAGAGGGAGAATGTGCATGTACATGGTGGCTCCAAAGGGACTTCTGAGCGTAAAACAAGGCGGGCAGGTCGTAAGAGCACAGGAAAGGAAGCTGCTAAAAGGGGAGTTGCTGCAAAAGAAACTACTTCGGCAAGACAATCAGAAAGAAGTGATAGAAGTAATGTGTCGCTCAGTTCATCTGGAATCGGCAAGCTTGTGCAATCCAATGAGATGCAGCACTATGGGCACATGGAAGGTGGTAATATGAAACCAATTGGTGTTCTTTCTCCTTCAGTATCTAGTCTGCCAGTCTTGAACGCCTTGGTTTCTTCCTCTGCAGTTTTTCATCAGCCTTTTACAGATTTGCAACAAGTCCAATTGCGTGCTCAGATTTTTGTGTATGGAGCTCTAATGTAAGTCTTATAACTCTCGTTCATTTTGGTGTATATTGTATTCCAATGACATGTAGCATTGAGGCTTTTTTCTTTTTCTCTTCTCCTTGGGGGGTGTTGAAAATTAACAATGATCAGTCTTACATATATGGAGCATGTCTTTTGATCATTTAAGCATGTCTTTCTAATTGTTTTGAACAATTTTGCTGCAGTCAAGGAACTGCACCTGATGAGGCATCTATGATATCGGCATGTGGGGGACCTGGTTAGGTTTTCTTATCTATAACTATGTTATCTTGGGACTTTTTATACAGATATAGTCACTATTTTGGGTTGTGTGCAGATGGTGGAAGAACCATATGGGAGAATGCCTGGCGAGCATGTATAGAGAGGGTACATGCTCAAAAATCTCATCTTGTTAGCCCTGAAACTCCTTTGCAGTCACGTATAGGTATCTCTCCTGATTTTATTTGATTGAATTACTTTCATCTGATTCTGTTGTCTATTAATTTTGTGCCTTGATTGAGATGCGCAGGTGCTAAAACTTCTGATCAAATAATCAAACAAAATCCTCTTCAGAGTAAAGTTACATCCTCACCTGCTAGTCGGTCCACCAGCAAGGGTACTCCATCATCAATTGTAAACCCGATGATGCCCCTTTCATCGCCACTGTGGAGTATTGCTACACCTACTGGTGATGCCCTTCAACCTACTGGCATTCCAAGAGGTGCAGTTATGGATTATCAGCAGGCACTTACTCCCTTGCATCCTCCACCAATAAGGAATTTTGTTGGACATAATGGTCCTTGGATGTCCCAATCCCCTTTCCATGGCCCCTGGGGTCCACAGACTTCTGCATTTGATGGCAATGCTCGTTTTCCTGTTCTTCCTACCACAGAAACAGTTAATTTGACTCCTGTAAGAGAAGAATCTTTGCCTCATTCTTCTGGCATGAAACAGGGTACCACAGTTCCTATGGGCCAGAGTGAAAGTCCTGCTAATGTTTTTGCAGGGGCTCCCCTGCTTGACACAAAAAAGGCAACAGTAACACCTGGTCAACTTTCTGCTGATCCAAAGCCTAGAAAAAGGAAAAAGTCTATGGTTTCTGAGGACCCTGCGCAGATTATACTGCATTCTCAAACAGAGTCCCTTTCGGCTACTGTTGCGACTAGTCATGCCTCTACACATGCGGCCATTACAACTCCTGCTACAATTGTTTCCAAGTCTTCCACTGACAAATTCATTACATCTGTCTCTGCTAATAATCTCAAAAAGAGTGACCGATATTCTGATCAGATGTCTACTCTGTCTGAAGAGACCCTTAGTAAACACAAGGAGGCTCAGAAGCAGGCAGAGGATGCTACTGCTCTTGCTGCTGCTGCTGTTAGTCACAGTCAAGAAATATGGAGTCTGTTGGACAAGCATAAAAATTCTGGGTTGTCACCAGATATTGAAACTAAATTGACTTCTGCAGCTGTTGCAATAGCAGCTGCTGCTGCTGTTGCAAAGGCTGCAGCTGCGGCTGCCAATGTTGCTTCAAATGCTGCCTTACAAGCAAAACTGATGGCTGATGAAACATTGGTTTCGAGAGGCTACAGAAATTCTATTCCAACTAATTCAATCTCTTCTTCTGATAGTGTGAAGAAGCTGGGCAAGGCTACTCCTGCATCCATCTTGAGGGGTGAAGATGCTACTAGTTCGAATTCTGTTATTGTTGCTGCAAGGGAAGCTACTAGAAGGAGGGTAGAAGCTACTTCAGCTGCCTCAAAGCGAGCTGAAAACATGGATGCCATTGTTAAAGCTGCTGAGCTGGCAGCTGAAGCGGTATCACAGGCTGGAAGGATTGTTGCTATGGGTGAGCCTTTCCCATTGACTGAATTGATAGAAGCTGGTCCAGATGCATACTGGAAAGTACCCCAAGCATCTTCTGAGCCAGATGGTGCTATCAGAGAATGCATAGACAAAGGTGGTAGTATGGGAGCTTCTGGGTCATCTGTCAGGCATCCAACAGAGGTTCCAGTGGACAGGAGGGAAAAGCAGAGTGATAACCATGGAATGTCGCCTACTCTTAGAGAGATGGCCAGAGAGTCTATGGAAGATCATTCTAGATTGCCAGATGGCAGTTTGGATCCTGCTGCAACAAGTGGAAAGGATAAAAAGGGACGAAAGGGCCGCAAAGCTTTAGATATTGCCAAAACTAAAGGAGTCGCTTCTGAATCTGAGATTGGCATTGGATCCCCTTCCGTGACCACTCAGACTGAGCATGAAAAAGCAGGGGAAACTTCAAAAGATAATAATATAAGGGAGGGTTCCCTTGTTGAGGTTTGTGATTTTTGATTGAAATATAAGTTGAGATTTGTCATCTTTAGTTGAAATATATATCCTTTGCTAAGTTCTAATGCGTATGTTTGCACTTGTAGTTGATGGAAATATGTTGATATAGTAGTGAGTTTGATAAATTTTGCATTTATTTTTCCTAGTTACTGTAGGTAAATGTTGTGGTTGGACATGTTTTATTAATCTTATATTTGTATATGAATTTTATTTCCTTTTTCACAATTTTACGATTTCCTCTTTTATAGGTATTGAGAGATGGAGGTGGCTTGAAAGTAGCATGGTTCCTGGCTGATATACTTGATTTGAAAGATGGCAAAGCTTATTTGTGTTACAATGAAATTCGATCAGATGGTGAGCTATCACACCTATTGTAGCTTATGCTTTGGTTGAATCACCTGAATATTGATATCTAGTATAGCAGATCTGTTGGAGAATCTTGTCCTTAATTTTTTATGCAACTCCTCCTTGATATGTATGAGATTTCACTTTCTTTTTGGAGATTATTGCATGATCATCTCTATCCTGAATGAGGAATTTTGCTTGTATTATGTGTGCCTCTGCTGTTCAGAGATAGAAAATGTGATTAAATGCGCCAGACGGTCTCTTCCTTTTCTAATGTACTTGTCTACATAACTTGTGTGTTGAAACTTTGGGTTTCCTATGTAAATGCATTTTCTTGGTAGAGAAAATTAGAACATTTGTCTCATGCTTGTGTGTTGATGATAGTTTTCTTAATAAACCTGTTTTGGTTGCTTGTCTTACAGATGGTGATAGGCTAAAGGAATGGGTGGAACTTGAAGGTGAGGGAGATAGGGCACCCAGGATACGCAGTGCTCGTCCTATTACAGCTGTGCCATTTGAAGGAACGAGGAAGAGACGCAGGGCAGCCATGGGGGACTATAATTGGTGTGTTGGAGATAAGGTTGATGCATGGATGCAAGATAGGTATATATACATTCTTTTCTATATTTTGCTATGTGTTTCTTGCAGCATATTGGACAGAAATGGTACTGTTGATAATGGGGGCATTAAAAAATCTATATGAGGAAGTAGTGTAGGATAATTTGTCATTTGGTAGCTAAACTAGCAACATGAGTGTGATTTGTCATATTGTTAAAAAATACTGCAACATGATCTGTATGGATGTTTTAAACTCTCACTAGCTGTACTAGAAGGTAGACCACAAAAGACGGATGAAAGTAATAAGTAATATGAGGGTTAAGGAAGTAGATGAAAAAGTTGTTTTTGATGAAATGAGTGGGGCAAGAAGATTCAAAACTAAGACCAACATGATTCTGTTTTTTGGCCTTTCATACAGTTGGCCCTAGGGTTATAGGACATAAGGCTTACTTTGTTGTTTGTTGTTATACTACCTGTACAAGAAACAATGATGAAAAAGATGTGAAAAAATTGTTTTATAAAAGTGTTAGATAATTATTCAACTAATAATTCTCCATTATTGTCATTTGCATAGGTTATCAGTGGAAATTTTTGTCAAATAAATTGTGCTTAGTTATGGACAAAAGTGATCATAAATATCAAGTTAACAACAATCCAGCGTTTAGGAAATTCGCAAAGATTTTACTGCCAAATCCTAAAATTTGTCATTTTGTAATATGACAAGTTGTTGTTTAACTTTTTACTAACTGATGTTGAGCCTTGACTTATAAGCATACAAGACGGCATTTTTAAGCCCTGTTTTTGTGGATGCTCTTTGACCACTTTTGTGAATCCAATGCTGTAGTATTTGCCATCCATTCTTTATTTTCTTCTTGTGTTTAGAGAAGGAAGAGAACCTCATTTGTATAAAATCTTTCAACATTAATTATCAAGAAATTAACCAGTGTTTGAAATTATGCTCGTTTATTTGTCTTTCAGCTGGTTGGAGGGAGTTGTCACTGAGAAGAGCAAGAAAGATGAAACTTCATTTACTGTTCATTTTCCTGGTATGTGTGACCGAGTATAACATTTTATTAACAATCTTGATCGTAATGTGCTCAGTAGTACTCTGTGCAGCCTGTGCTTCTAGGATAATAAAGCTTTTTTCTTTTTTTTAATTTATATTGCAGCTCAAGGAGAAACGTCTGTTGTCAAAGCATGGCTTCTTCGTCCTTCTCTGATGTGGAAGAATGGTAGTTGGGTTGAATGGTCCAGTTCTCGGGATAATAATGGTTCTTCCCAAGAGGTGATATGTTAGCTTCTATACTTGTGATTGATGTTTCTTTGATAATACTTTAGTTGCTTCTTTGAAATAAGTCATTGATATGTTCTTCAGGGTGATACCCCACAGGAAAAGCGACTAAGGTTAGGCAGTCCTGCAGTTGAGGCCAAAGGGAAGGATAAACTTTCAAAAAATGTTGACATTAAGGAGTCTGGAAAACCTGATGACACAAGATTGCTGGATTTATCTGCGAGTGAAAAAATATTTAATATTGGTAAAAGCAACAGAGATGAGAGTAAGCCCCATTCACTCCAAATGACACGTACAGGTTTAAAGAAGGAAGGATCAAGAGTAATTTTTGGTGTTCCTAAGCCAGGAAAGAAGAGAAAGTTTATGGAAGTAAGCAAACATTATGTTGCAGATCAGAGCAGTAAGACTCATGAAACAAGTGATTCAGCTAAGTTTACAAAATATTTGTTGCCTCTAGGATCTGAACCCTGTGGAACAAAAAATAAAATTGAACCAAAGGAAAAGCGAATGGCTGTATCCAAGCCCAAGGTTCTCAAGTCCGGAAAACTGCCTAGTTTTTCTAGTAGAACTATTCCTCAGAAGGACAACTTATCAAACACTATGGTTTCTGAACCTGATGTTGCTGTGGCCTCAGATGTGTCAAAATTCAAGGATTTTGAAAGCCATGCTGAGAATATATCTGGAAAGCATAACATGATGGAGTTTGGATCATTTTCAAGTTCTGAAGGAGCAGCAGGGGGCCCATTCTTATTTTCTTCTGTGGCTTTCTCATCAGATGTCCTCCCCAGGAAAACTTCCACATCAACTGCTAAATCTGAACAGATTATTAGAGGGAAACTTGCACCAGCAGCTGGGAGGTTAGCAAAAATCGAGGAGGAAAAAGTCTTCGATGGCAATTCAACAAGAACAATCTCTGAAGTTGAACCTCGTAGATCTAATCGCAGGATTCAGCCAACATCAAGAGTAAGTAAATAGATATGGTCATTTCTCATTTCATAAGTTGAGATCATTGATGCATTTAATATAGCATTATCAAAATTTCTAGTTTATGAAATCAATTTCTTTTACTCATTATAGTGCTCTGTTTGTGGAAAATTAATTGAAAAATTCTTTGCTTGTACATCGTATGCCTCTATGAACTTTGAGTTATGCTTTGCAAAATTCTTTACCCACAAAAGAAAGGGTGACATATGAGGCGTTAGATTCCTTGTTGCAGACTGCCAGGAGGGAACAAGTTGGCAAGTAGGGGTTTGCTTGGAATATAGGAACATCCTTTCCCCTGGACGAGAATAAGGAAATGAAATTGGCACAGTGTGGTTGGCATAGATGTTATATTAGTAGTGGAGTTTAGAGACTTAAGAAGCAGCATCTTTGTCATATTTCCATTTCATTGTAAATAAGGAAATCAACATTGAGTTATGACAATTAACATATTTGTTAATGGGTTTAGATCCTGCTGCTAGGGTATGTTACTTTGATAGTTTCCAACCGTGTAAAATATTTTGTTGATCGACAATGGGAGCTCAAGAGTTTATGTTTTGCCGTTTTGCTTCTTTAAAGAAGAAACCTATGCTTGGTGCCAACTATATTCAACTAGGATTTGCCGCATCCCTCTATGATTTCTCTTTCGTTGCACCGTCAAGCTTTGTCCTAATCCTAAGAGTTCTTTATCTGGCTGCCTCTTTCTCTTTATTCTATCTAGCTCTACTTGTCTGAGTACAGTGATTATGATAATGTGTGTTATCAAAAAGAAGGAAAACTGGTTATCATCACTAACCACCTGTATTTTCATGCATTCATTTTTATAGATGTATCTGTTTGTGCCCCTTGCATTTTGTTCTAATCTGCTTATGGATCTTGTTTGTTGCCCACAGCTATTGGAAGGTCTACAAAGCTCGATGATCGTCTCGAAAATTCCTTCGGTTTCTCATGACAAAATTCACAAAAATCAAAGCAGGAGTACTAGAGGTGAACTTTAAATTTCATATCCCTTGGTATTCTTGAAGTAATGGTGAACTTTAAATGTTGCTGAATATGCACTGATGCATGATGTAACTATAACTGTCTGACCATAATAGGAAATAACCAAGGTTGAGTGGAGCTGTTTTGCAACCGGAATCCAGTGTAAAGAAATTCAGGGATTATTGGATGATGAACAAGGTATGGCTGGTGTAAATTATGATAGAGAGAGAAAGCTAGGAATGAAAATTTGTTTCTTTGGCTTTTGGAGATGTAGCAGTAGATATTTATACTGATTATTAGTTTTCTTCACAATTATAATCTCTCTCTCTTGGCCACACCATTCTAGCTTGTATATGGAAATCCTCCCATGCAGTTTGGCTTGATATTTGCAGAAGAGCATTGCAAGTGATCAAACCACCCATATATTGTTCTGCTTCCAACTGCTCATAAGCTTACTCAGCATTCTCCTCTCTGCATCGACCCCACTAGTGATGGGGTTTCTTGTAGTTGTGTTGCACCAAAAGAGTGCAAAATAAATGGGAAACATTTTAACTTTTGACGACTTAAATTAATCCGACTGTGGGAAGAAATGGTATGTGATAGAGAAAGCAACGTGCTCAAACGCTTGGATGTTCGTGTGCTGTATTAGTAATATCATGCTAAGCATTCTGATCATTTGCCATGGCAGACAGAAATAATGGGCCTTTCTAACGACGTGGTCAAACCATTTGCAGAGAGGCCAGGGGAGGGGGAAGCGCCGTTGCGGACTTGAATGGAAATAGTGAAGACCAAGTTGATCACGCCGTGCTTTTACGTGCAAAGCGTGAAAATGGTGGGGCACTGTACAGGTCCAGAATCATGATTTACGATCAATGTTTTGAATAAATTGATTATTGACACTTGAATTAAATATAGTCCGCCACATAAAACAAGCTCGAGTATCGTTTTTTGTCCTAACCATAAGCTCGTATACGTAGCAAAAATATATATGAACACTTACAATTTCTTAATCTTCCCTTTCGCGGTACAAAGATTCAATTCTTCCAATGATCCAACCGGAGAAAGTGAAAAGAAACCAGGGCTATAACTAATTGTGTTTTTGCTCAAATGGCAATTTCCTGTATCAAATTTTTTGCCGGCATGATAAAACATGACAATAAAGTTGGCAGGGGCATCGTTATGTTAGATCATTATCGATCAATAAAAGAACGAGTTCTGGTTATGATGAAATCAGCCTGCAGCATCTTTTTTTCCCCCTTAATCAGGAAAAACTTCGTCTTCCTTGGCTCCTAAAACTGGCTCTACTTCCTTTCTTTTCGTCAACCCTTGATTTCTTCTGATTTGTTCTAAGGATCTCCACTCTTGTTATCTACAGTATCACTGAGTGGCTTTTTGCAGATACAAGAATATGGATATTCGTGAAATTCACCACGTCCTGGCCTCATCTCGTCTGGCTCTCCCATGAATCCTCTTTGAACCGCCTTCACCTTTCTGGCAAAGGTATCCCAATCCATCTGATCCCTTTCCATCAACAAAGGACCGAGTCTCTTGGCATTTGGTCTTATGGTCCTCTTGTGCCCCATGTATCTCCTTTAAATCCAACATGCAATCATGAAGAATTAAGGAAAGTCCAAAGAGAAACAACACTATGCTAAGTAATATACAATAAATGCTCAACAATGTAAAATGCAAAGAAATAAAACGATATGCACATACGGAGTCTATAAGTAAGCAGTTTGATACCGAACATTCAACTGAAGATTATCATAAAAGTTGAGGCTTTATATATTCTCAGATGTAACATTTAACATCTAAGCTAACAAATGGGCCCACTAAAGAGGTAAATATTAGCCATCAAAAGCCCCCACAATATGTTGCAGGGATGCATATTAACAAAGGATCAGGTTAAGAGCATCATTATTGGTCATGGTTGATGTCTTTGGAGTCTGGTCCAAATTTCACTTCATCATTACATTTTCAACAAATTAATTTCTGAATTAACTTTGAAGTTAAGATACACATGCAAGACATGGGACTGTATTAGATACAAGTATGGTATAAGAAATCACCAGCGTTCTCACCTTCGACCTGCAAGAATCCTGGCCATATTTCCATTATTGTTGGTGACAAAAACATCACTTTCGTCACAAACAATGTAGTCAATGGCAGCAAGGCGAGAAGAGAACTGAAGAAAAGGTTTCAGCTTATCATTAGCAAACATCTCCTTAGTGTAGAAGTTTGGAAAGAGTTCTCTTAGAGGTCGCAGAGTCTCTTCTCCACCATATATTTCTCCAGATGCAACATAAAGGTATGTGTCATTTGCAAAACCAAGTGCCCGCAGCATCAATCCAACTTCATGAGGAGTAAGTGGACATTTACTTCGGCTCCTCTCTCCAGCAGCACTTAAATCCTGCATGAATACGAGGATAAGTGCAATTTTACTAGATAAATGCAATTGCAGGATGCAAAAGAAAGAAACATCAATACTTATTATGAAAACATGTCTTATGGTGTATATTAAAGCGATAATTGGTTCAGAAGTCATAAAAGATGGCATCTCACTGGTAAAGTTGCCCATCGTTTTCGTATCTCTCCAAGCTCATATCTCTCCTTGTCCCCTCCACCAAAGTAACAACCAGAAAATGCTAGCATATCAGGTTCAAATCTGTAATTGAAAGAGTTTGACTCAGGTAAGGAAAACAGGTATTTGCAGAGTTTAATCATACTTAAAAATGGTTTTTTTATGCATGTGTATGAGCCAATGTGCTGTTATTGAATACACGTAAATTGACCAAAAAAAAGAATACATGTGCGCTCAGATGCTGAAGTGCCGCAGGAGTCATTGATGCAGCAAGTAGTTGCTAGATGCAAAGTCAAACATAACAGCACAATGTATATATAAACTCACTGAAGTTAAGAAGCATTTCCAACATTTTGAGGCTTAGGCACTCAAGGGAAAGGTAATCTATACTGTCACTAGCTTATCTGGTTTGAAGTCTTAGAGATCACCACCTGAGGTATGCTGTGTTTTATTGCAGGTATGTCCCCATGGATTACTAACAAAACCCAATTTCTGGAGGCATATCTCAACAGGTTACCTTGTCAAAGTTCTTTTTGATATGCACATAACTTTCAAAAGTTAAATTCCACCTTTCTAGAATTTGGAACAAACCTCAAGTGGACTGCAATAAAATGTTTTGCCATCTCACGTATTCTCATGACAAGTTTCTGTCCAAGTTCTTGAATAGGTTTTGTAAATCTTAAAGCATGAAAATTAGCCCGGCAACGCAACTTTTGTAGCTCTTCATCTATGTTGCTGGCCAGTCTGTAATCGAACTTTGTCAGTTGCAGGACCTACAAAATTTTCAGTAGTGTTAACTGCCGCATTCCTAGAAAATGTATAATAAAAGTATTCTGCTAACATGGTGCTTGGTTTGGAGAGATCAGAAAAGGATAGCAAGTTAAAACTCTCGCCTTTGAACCACAAAACCAAGAAAGGGTGAGAAAGGTGAAAAGAACAGAAGAAATTTGTCACTTACAAATTCTCTTCTAAGCTACTAATCAGATTCTCCAAAAGTGGAGAAATAAAACATAGTTGAAAAACAACTATAATTCCATTTTCTTTGCTTATTACTTCTTTCCAGCCCAGACAACTAAAAGGAAATTGAAGTTAATAACTACTATCATCTCTCTTCTTGTTTAATCTCTCTCTTATTAACCTGAAGATACCGTAATTCTTGACAATTTGTGGAATTAAATGCATTTAATTTCACAAAAAAATACAAAATTCACAGATCTATATAGACCAATTGAGGGAGTGAAAAAGAAACAGAAAGTTCAGTTGTGAAACTGAAAATTATTTCTACAGGCTACAAACAACGTAAACAGCATTAGTGATAGAGTATCTGAAAGTGGTCTTACATGTCTTCTTTTAAGTATTGGCAGGACTTGATCTAGATAATATTCTGGAGGGGATTTCCTTGGTACACGCATAGTATACGGAGGTTTTTCCATTGATCGCATGAATTTATCAGGAACTCTTTTGACAATAGTAACATCTTTTGCAAGGTAAGAAATGAACCAGTTGACATCAAAAATGTCGACAAAGTCACTGCATGTCAGAAAAAAAAAAACACTCAACAAGGTAGCAGAAAAATAAGATGATACAATTAAGCAGAACTTCTAATAAGCTGATTCAACTTACCTATCATCCTTCCAATAGGAATTATGATCCAACTCAGGTACCACTAGGGTTGCATTCAGAATCCGTGCAACAACTACAGCATCTGCTATCTGTGTGACAGAAGCAAATTATTAATTCTAAACAAAAAGTTTACTCCATGGTCGGTGGAAATAATAGATTCAGTAGGAACACTAAATCTCAAAGGCACAAACTCAATTAATTCAAATCAACTAAAGCAAAGCTTATTGGTTCAATATACATAAAGCAGGAGTAACAGTACTTTGTAGACAGTCATAGAGATGTTATATTTGTCATTGATGCAATATTAATCCAAAAATATAGCATAATGTATAGATAATTCCACTCACTCCTGTTCTTTGTTGATTCAGTCCTCCACTTGCAGCAATAAGCAAATAACCATTTGATGATCGCTCATGTGTAGCATCTAGATATCAAATTATCAATGTAAATGAAGAATCAGTTAAGTGACTGGTTTGGTGAAAAGTAAATGAAAACAATGACAAATGGATTCTTTTCAAAGTAAAAACAGATGATATACAACATCAGGTAATTAGAAACATTTTACTGAAAACTTAAATGCTAAAAAAAGAAAAAGAAAAAAGAAGCATCACCAAAGTGGTCGGAATGAGTTAATTCCACTCCTGGAAGAAATCATCAATAATTTAGTTTTAATCTTCAAAGTTAAATGCCAATATTATCAGCTGACACATAATAAACATAGGCAAATCCAACACTCTAAATTTTAAGCAAAATAAGAAGTCAAGCAAGAAAGAGCTAAACAATTGTAGTAACAGATTAAGTGTATGATGGTATTAAGGACACATTCATTTCAACATTACCAACTACTAATAGAAATACGAGTACCATAGATTTGCATTCAAGTCTAGACACCAAAAAATTATCACAAAGTTACACAATAATGCAATGTACTTTTGCTAACCTCAAAACCAAATAAATTACTGACTGCCATCAAAAGAACTTAAAGCTGCTCCCATCTTCAAAAATCACAAATTAAGGAGAAGCAGATAATTTGGAACTTCCAATAGGAAAAATCAGAACTTTGCTTAACAAGTAAACTAACATAAACATCTAAAACAATATATTTGAGCAGAGAATTACAAATAAAGCTAACATATTTGAGCAGAGTAACAAACAAACCAAATGCATTTTAATAAATAAATAAATAAAACGTACGAGGAAATTCACGACTTCTTTTGCTGCATCCATAGAAGTATTTTGCATATTCTGATTTCCATATATCGATCGGTCCTTTATTAATTACATCCTACAAAGAAAAATAAGAATTAAAAAAAAAAGAAAGAAATTTCAACATTTAAAACACGTCAATAGAACAAAATTTAAGAGTTCTTTTACCAATTTGAAATAGAGACTTCGTTCCACAAGTCGTTGAGAGTACCACTCGAGATCAGACGCCACGTGTCCAGTGAAGAGCGAAATCATGCCTAAGCAGAAGAGCATCAAGCCACAGAGGAGTGACCACGAGATCGGCTTCCTCTGCTGCGCCGCAAAGGATCGCCACCTCCAGAACACATGCTTGTTGCTTAGAACGCTGCCGTTCGGATGCTGTAACAGCGCCAGGTTCGCCGATGTCACGCTAAACCTCCACGCCTTGGCTGCTACGCCCATTACGGACTCAAAAACAGCAACAACGACCCCGCCCTCAACTTCATCACTTATTTACTCAAAATGCCACCCCCCGCTCTTCCCAACGACTACGATCACGAACGAGTAAAGAAGAGATTAAAATCTAAGAATAAAAGAAGATTATAGAAAGATATGGTTGGTTTGACTCCGGTTTATAAGGAAGTCGAAGAACGAAGACAAACGGATTTTAGGCGCTAATTAAGAGTGTGTTTATGGAAATTTGGGTGAAGACGAGGGTCAATTTAGTAATAACATCAAATAATGTATTACTAGTAAGATCTTTTTAGTTAGTTGAGTAGTTAATCATTAATGGATTTGTGGGAAGAATTTAATTTGAATTAAAAATGCAAGAAACATGTTTAATCATTGATTTAATTCCGTACTTCAAATTTCAAAACGCATTTATTTGTTTATTTTAAAAGATTTTGCAAAAAGGTAATAGAATTTTTATTATTTTATTTAAATCTGAGTAATAAAACATTAATGATTTTAGATTAAGTATGAAAATAAATAAAATTTAATTCAAAATAATTTATATAAAATTAACTTTAAATTTAATTAAAAATCTAATATTATTTTTAAATAAAATTAAAAAAATTGTACTATTTTTATCAAATAGAGAATATCCTTTATCAAATAAAAGAAAAATCTCTACTTTGCTTTGCCACTACTTGTAACTTTCGGTGATATTCCCTAAACCAAAGCCAGATGACAAGGATAAAGCCAAAAAAAAAAAAAAAAAGGGTAATTTTCAATGTCAACAATAATATATAAGCACAGTCCCTCTTTCTTTTTCCTTCACAAAATTATGGCTAAGATTGATGACCATTCTTATTTAGTCGCCCGTATATTTGACAACAAGGACTGGGAAAATCCAAGTGAAGAACAATAAGTATGTAACCGACATTCAAAAAAAGAAAAAACAGTACAAAACAAAACTACAAATCCCCAGTCTTATTCAATCTGCTGTGACTCTTTTTCAAGTCATTTTAGGGTCCCCCCCCCCCCCCCTTTAGATACGTTGGACTGTTGGTGGTCCTAGATTTTTTTTCTACTTTTTCTTTGGTTTGGGTACCACAAATTTAATCCATGATCAGCAGAACCTGAGGACGCATATAATTATGAAATTGATTTTTCTCAGCAAAAGCTATGTCCTATTTGATAGATAATTATGAAATTAAAACGACATTTTATCAACTAATGTTGTTGCTATTGTCTTTGTTCACTAAAACTGAAAATAACACTGTATTTGAGGTGCACGTGAGCCGAGTTTTCTAACATTTTTCATGCAATCTGGGACTTTAGCAGGTAAAAGAAATGGACTTGGATCTGTCTCCATCTGCTTTGGTTTATCTGCAAACCATAATTAATTATCCCTATGATCTTTTAACTTGGTTCGTGGACTTTGTAAACCTTCCCACTCCATTTGATTTTTATCTTTTTCTTAATTTCAAATTTAACCCTTCTTAAAGTACGAGCTCTTTATTCTTATAATAAACAAGAACACTCAAAGCCAGAATTAGGGGGAAAGTTGTTCCTATGTCAACCATATCGGTAGCCAAATCATGCATGCAAGTGCTCCCTCACAGAATTTAATTACATTTGTCAACATCAACGTCAACTTACGTAGCTACACATGCAATTTTTTTCTTTTATATGGAAAACTAAAATATTCGAAGCATTAATTTCAAGAACTAATATCACGAAAGACACGAATCAACCAACACTCAGAAGCAATCATAAATTGGGGTTGATCATAATAAACTATAAGTAATATAATTGAAAAAAAATCATAATCTTTTTTATATGTGTGATTATCGAAATTGAATTCTGATCATTGTAATTATGAATTCAGCATTAGAAAATGTGTTATCAAGGGAAAATTGTCAAACCAAGTTAAGAATCATGTAATTTCATGCAGTTTCAATGGCGCTGCTGCAAATTCAAAGGCGATAAGTCCCAATTGCGAGTGAATAAAGGGTTTGCTTTGATGAGTTGATAATATAAAGTGGTGAGTGAAGACAAGTTGATGGAAGGGAAAGCTATTGTTTTGTTGATTATGTCTTAAAATAAGGTTTTAAGTTGCATGATTAAAGGAAGTTTACTCGCATCATGATGTTTTAGACTAATGAAATGAACTTTTTTTGCCCCAGGGCTAGCGGTAAGTGGACTCAATGAGCTAAGGTCCCAGCGGCCCCATAGTTACCATTTTCCTTCTTCTTCTAGTAATTTTTGCTTTAATGAGCTACAGATAAAGGATTATCTCACACTAGAAAAGGGAAGTATAAATTATCAAGTATTTAATGTTTGTGCAGGTGAATCCAAATATTTCTTAAAAAAGAAATAAATATAAAGCCAACACAAACTGAAAACAATGGGTCAAGCTACTTCTGCTGTCGTTTTCTTATTAAAAATCATTTCCATGAACTTTCATGGTAATTGGCACGGTAGAAAACAGATTCCGATTTGTAGTCGTTTGGCAAGTTTGGGCTACCCATTGGGCTTTGACAGGTACGAAAATATAATTGGGTTTGCCAGTGATTTGGGCCATTTTTTGGGTTAAAACGTTGTAGGGAACAAATTGTGATGGTTAGGTCAGGTTTAGATACAGGCTCCTTGTTGTTGGGCAAACCTTTTTAGTTTATTAGTAATTGCCCAGGTAAATCAGTAGTTTTTAAACGACCAAAATCCAGTCTGAGGCTCCTTACCACAAAAATGTTTAGATATTTTATCTATAATTTTATAATTATTCAAACGTAATAAATAATTATATAATAATTCATTATTTATAAGTTTGAATTTTATATAAAATTTTTTATAAATTTCACATAATTTAAAATTGTAATGTGTTAATTATAATTCAATGATCATATGTGACAACTCTGTCTGTAAATGATTAAAATTTTTTTTTTTTTTGAAAAATTGATGAAATGCTGAAATTTTTTGTCATAAGGTCAAATACAGACTTTGAAGTAAATATTTTAAGAATTCATCTTAGTAAAAAATCATGAATTGACTGTGAATAGGCAAATACTGATCAGAGTGAGGTTGCAAAAGGTGATAGGCGTTTCCATTACATGGTGTGAAATTGCTCTAGCCACTTAACATGCCTCACCTCAAAAATCCAATGAACTTAAGTCCTCCCATTTAATTATGGTTTGATTGAATTTTGTACCCTTCTCAAATTGAATGGACATCTTGCCAAGTGGATGACTTTAATCAATCACCAAGTCAGTTTATAATTCCATAATATCCCATTCATCATGACATCATCAATGGCTACTAGTAAATTAGTTTATCTCCTTCCTTGAATATATTACTAATTAATGTATATTATATTTCTTTATACTAGAAACAAGTTATGATTAAAATATTACGTAAAAAATATTTTTATATTTAAGATATTATTTTTATTAAATTTAAGTTGAAATAATGCATTAATTATATTTTTTCCCTAAATTTTAGACTCTTAAATTTACCTAAGGTGTAATGGTTAGCCGGTAGGTTTTAGGTGTTCCAACCATTGACCTAAAAAAGGTGTGATCATATCCATATACCATTCATAAGTTCTAACTAAAGAACCAAGGCAAGGTGGTGTTAATCATCAGCTTTCTTGACGAAGGCCAAAAGAGGAACAAACAAATGGAGATATTTTTTATGTCTACTTGATTTCTATTAAATCAACCATAGAGCTTGTCAAAAAAAAAAAAAAAAAAACCCATATGAAAGGGAAAGCAACAGGGTTTTGGACTCTTTGAAAGAGCTATAGTCAATGACAAAAGAAGTATTATTCATAAAAGTAATAATACTCCCATTACAAGATAACTTCATTGCGATTTTGAAAGCGAAACCATGGAAGACTTTGGCCTTAAATAAACAGTCATCCTCTCTCTCTGACTCTCTGAAATTGTTTTGATTATCCAGGGGCCGGGGGATGATGTAATTTGGTGATCACAACAGAAATTATTGTCAGAAATGGATATGGTGGCCAACAGCAGAGAAGCCTTGGGTTGATGGTTTGCTTCTATAGGTTTTATAATAGCTTTCAAAGCAAAAACAATATTGGTAAGCCCATCCCAAGTTCGTAAAGTCGAAAAGTTCTTCCCAACCAAATTTCAAGCTAAAAATTTGACTCCTGTTATACTCCAATTAACAGCTTCTTCAAGAACATTAAAGACAAAAATTTCCATGATGATCGTTTACTTGCAGCTTATTCATTTTATTCTAACATCTTACTCGTAAATGATTAAAGATTGTAACTTAGAATCGATTGCTTGCTTATATGATGAGGCAGGAGAGACTTGTAAAATTTCTAAGTAAATGCTTAACTTGTTAAATTGTTGAATTCTGATCTCCAGGTTAAACTGCCAAACCCTTTCAAAAGCAACGGTCAAATTGATGGAACATGAAACACGCAACTGAAGATCTTCAGTCACCAAGCATTGTCTTGTATTACAAGTTAGAACAATAGGAAACCTGAATGGAAAGTGATCTGAAAAACAACTAATGCTGAAATCAGCTAATTTGGTCAACCAACAAAATAAACTTAATAAATTTGAACCAATCAAGTTAAACTAAAACTATTAAGTATATACTCTTTTTAATCCCAAAAAAATATTAATTTAAAATTTTGATTAGAAACTGAGGCAGTGGTTAACCCATAATTCTGTGCCTCCAAAGTCAGAATCTCCAATGAAAAGGCAGGCACGGCAGAATCTATGTAACTTTCTCATGATTTTTTCTTGTTCCTCGATCTTATCTTTGCTATGTTTCAATTATTATTATTATTATTATTAATTTTTTTTTAAAAATTATTTATGTAAATTTAAAATTGATTTTTGGGGATTAATCCTAACCTAATCTCCTCATAAAAACCTATCCATTCCTTCAATTTTCGGCTATAATCTCAAAATAACTAACAACGGAAATCATGTTTCAGTTGTTTGGTCACTATTCCTTCCTCTTCCTCTTTCTTTTCATCTGTTTTTTCCCACGTCCTTGTTTTCCCGCCAGAATCACACCGGCACAAATAACTGTCATAACTAACGATCCTCACAACGCCACGTGGCGTAGTTTCATTCGTTTTAAAGACGCCGAGAAGGGTAGCCACGTCAACGGCATGTCGGAACTCAAGAAATACTTCCAACATTTCGGCTACCTCTCGATTCGGGACAACCAAAACGGCAACTTCACTGACGTTTTCGACACTCAATTCGAGACCGCTGTTATTTTGTACCAACAAAAGCTAGGGTTAACGGTAACCGGCAAGCTCGATTCCGACACGATATCAACAATCATGTCCCCGAGGTGCGGCGTTTTGGACACCGCCCCTAAAATCCATGCAACGAAACATTTTGCATATTTTTATGGAAGGCCGAGATGGGTGCGTGGATCGCCTATGACTTTAACGTACGCCTTTTCGCCTTCGAACATGATCAATTACATAAGTTTATCGGAAATTAGAACAGTATTTCAAAGCGCGTTTACGAGGTGGGCATCGGTAATTCCGGTAAACTTTGCAGAGACAGAAGATTATATATCGGCTGATATAAGAATCGGGTTTTTCAGTGGCGACCACGGCGACGGGCAACCGTTTGATGGGGTTTTAGGAGTATTAGCTCATTCATTTTCGCCAGAGAACGGGAGGCTTCACCTTGATGAAGCTGAAACGTGGGCTATTGATTTTAGGAAAGTGAAATCAAAGGTGGCTATTGATTTGGAATCAGTGGCGACGCACGAGATTGGTCACATACTCGGCTTGGCTCATACTCCGGTCAAGGAAGCCGTGATGTATCCGAGCTTGAGCCCTCGGAGTAGAAAAGTGGACCTGAAACTCGACGATGTGGAAGGCGTTCAGTCGTTGTATGGGTCAAATCCTAACTTCAAGTTCGAATCTTTGTTAGAGTCTGAAAATTCTTCTAACAAAGGAATTGGCCTGAAGTGTAGAACATCCAAGTGGACTTCTTCTTTGGTAGTGGCAATTTTTTTTCTTCTTTTGATGATTACATGAGGGCCTTTTTTTTTTTTTTTTCTGTTCTTTTAAGATTTTTCCCCTTTTTTTTTGTAGGATTATTTATTTGTGGAGAAAAAATTATTCACACCCAAAAGAATTAAAACAATACTTTGGTTTTTATGGATATGTATTTGTGAATTTTTTTTTTCATATTGGGTGCAGGGTGGTGTTATATGTTTTTGCTTGCTTTATAGTTTTTTTTTTTTTTTACCTTTGGTGACTTAATTAAATTATATGGTTCAAACTTCTTTAAAAGGTGCCTGGTCAGTAAGTTTTTGGAACATGAGACAATCAAGGAACACAAAACTCTTGACCCTACTGCATTTAGGACTTTGGTGATGAGAGAAATGAGAGCCATGGAGAGCAAAAGGAAAATAAGTACGAATGGTTGATGGAGGATTCCCTTTAATATGTATAGGAATACGAAGGAATTGTTATACTTGGATTTTGCAAGAATGGGATGGAATTGACAGGAAAATATATGAAGGTTTAATTAATAGTATATAGTTTGATTAGTCATTGGAAAAAATGGAAAGGATTATTTATTAGTGTATAATTTAATGATTTTGTACCTTATTCTTATTGATATTACATCCATTATTAAAAAAAATTTCCCTTTTCTTTTTTTTCTTCTTTTATTATCAATTATGGTAAATGAGGATAGAAAAAACTTACATGAAATTTTATAAGTGAAATTCATAAAAGTTTTTATTAGAAATGAATAAATAAAAATTTTTATAAAAATTCAAATCAATAAATTAATAAAATTTAATATAAAAATCAATAATATGTAAAATAATTATTAAAAATATTATTTATAATTCAAATTTGATCGATATTTATTCAATAGTAAAATTTTATTAATATTTTTTAAAATATTTATTTAATAAAAATATCTAAATTTATTAAAAAATTTTAAATTTTATTCGTTTGATCTATATAATAAAATTTTTTAATTTTAATTTATTTATTTTTAATAAAAAATTTTATCAATTTCACTTATAAAATTTTACATAAATCTTTTATAACCAAGGGAACCAGGCAATCCATCAAGGATTCTTAAAGTTTACTTCAATTGGAGACTTGGAGTTGGTTTTACGCTTCAGACCCCAAAAAGATTGTACACTTTGACTAAGGTCCAAAGGTGTAAGGAAGTTGGAACCATATTTTTTCTTTCACTAATTTTACATTTTAAACAACAAAGAAAAAAAATGGTTTTTAACAATTATCAACTCAACTGATTACCCGACCCGCTCCAGTATTTGACCAAATCATATTCTTTCCTTGCGGCTTGCCCCATATGGCAAAAACCCTAAACCCTGTCCTCTCGCGTTGTTAATATTTTCAAAGCTGTCAAGTTTTATTAACAAGTTTCTAAATTCCCTATCTTCTTCAAAAAAATTTTCTTGGTAATGGCTTCAACTTGCAACAGATTTATCAGTAGGTCATCATCCTCCATAAAATCGGCCTTTAGATCTAACGGTCCAAAATCCACATTCTCCAGATCCGCGACCGCTCCCTCCCCCACTCGATCACCTCTCACCTCCCATTCCACCGCTCCTCTTCGCCGTTTCTCTTTCTCCAGGTACAATAAAAAAAATATTTTTTTTCCATTTTCTAAATTATATTTCTCTTTACTTTTTTCGGTAACTATTCGTTTTCTAAATAGGAAATTACTGCTTTTTTAAAAGTTGAACGTATGTTTTTTCATGATCGCAGGTGTCCATCCGAGCTGGGATGTGCGCAGTCACTGTTGCCGCTGCACAGTGTGGTGGCTGCGGCGAGGATGACGTCATGCCTGAGCACAACATCGAGGAGTTGCCGGGCATTTTCTCAGGGTACACTTTGCTGCACCTATCCCGGCCTCTAGTACTGTTTTATCTGTTTTTTTTTTGTGAGTAACTTTTTTTCCTTTTTTTGCTTCTCTGACTATTAATATGAGTATATATCTGTTGGTATTTCATTTTTTTTTTTTAGTTTTGGTTTTGAATTTGTTGTATAATTTTATTGACTTTTTTCCGGGTTCAATTACTTCAGGTATTAAGATGTTGTGAACATGAGAATTCTGAATGATTTTTTGCCTCGTAAATGTAATGTCTGTGTTATAATTGTGGTATAAAGCTTTAGGGCTAAGAGCTGGATCATATTGATTAAAATGAGCAAATAGCCAACTAATTCAAATTAAAAAATAATGATTCCATGAATGTCAAATTTTTATTTTTAATTCTTCAAAATAATTGTTTTTTTAAACACGTTCTGCTTAGAAGTAAGAAGCAAGTAGCAAAATCTCTGTTTCTTTCTCTCTGTCATGAAGCTGAGTATTTGCAGAGACTGTAGACCATGCACGCATAAGATAAGCCAGGAATATTATGAGTTTTTCTGAATGAGTTATGGAAGAGATGTATAACTTGTATCTTCATAGTTGTTTGTTGAATTAGCCTATTAGGCATAGAAACACTTTTCCTTCAAGGGTGTTTGACAAATACCCACCTTGCATCGGATAGGTGAGTCATGCACCCTTAAAAACATGTCTTTCAAATCAGGCATAGAGACACTTTTTCTTCAAGGGTGTTTGACAAATACCCACCTTGCATTGGATAGGTGAGTGAGTCATGCACCCTTAAAAACGTGTCTTTCAAATCAGGCATAGAAACACTTTTTCTTCAAGGGAGTTTGACAAATACCCACCTTGCATTGGATAGGTGAGTGAGTCATGTACCCTTAAAAACGTGTCTTTCAAATCAGGCTTATGAGTTACGAGGAGGACCACAAAGATTGTAGGAAAATATTTTTAAGATGCAAGCTTTCTTGAATTGAAGAGTCTGTTTCCAAATTATACTTCATATGCTACTTGAATTTGAAGAATATTGATTTCATAATCTTTTGGATATCACAAATGATTTCTATCTCAGATCCACAATATTTGGTTCCTGCAGGCACATAAGTTCAATATACTTGAAAGATATGAAGTGGGAATTTGCAGTGACAGGTCCATCTTCATTCTCAAGTATGAAACCACGAGTGCTTTTTTAGTGATCTTGAAAGTACTTAATTGCGTCAGGAATTTAGGATAGAGCCTTATTTTCACATTTCTCTTTTTATAATCTAAATCAGTTCCCTTATTTATACTCTTATTTCTGGAAAAAAAAAAAAAGCCTCTATCAAATCTAATACATGGTGATCCTTTGTACTTGTGGGATCGGAACATTCCATGTTATTCCCGCATTTGTGCACCTTGTGTACTGTTTTCCTCCTGCCTTTCTGGTAATTAGTCTTGCTTATGTTATATAGGAAAAGATATAACTTCAAAATTTACATATTAAAATCTGCCACCCCACTCCCCCCTTCTATTCAGCTTTATGATTTGTGCCTACAATTGCTTCATTCTTTTGACAAACTCTTCTTTTAAGTGTAGTAGACACATCCACCCAGTGAATGCATTCTAATGATTTCCGCAATAGGGCAACAGAGATCAGGATATGGTCCAATCATCTTTGTGGAATATAATATTTTGACTTCAATTTATTGCAATTAGAGTGATTCATTTACGAGTGACTAGAACACAATGGTAATGTAACTGCTCCTTTTCCCAGATGGAATTGATGGTACGTGAGACATGTGGCAGTTTTTGGAGGTGGGCCTGTCATCTATTCTCTATTTGTGACATTGAACACTGGGAAACCACTTTAGATGATCCAAGTATAATGACTTTTTAAGTGTTCTTACATTTAGAAGTTTGTACAAACCTTCCGGAATGTCTCTAAGCTTTTTGTATACGTGCTCAAAACCAAATATCATTAATAGCATTTATAAATTTAACGTGTTTGTTGAGATTGAGCTGCTGCACTTGTTTGTTATTTAGGATTAAGTGCTATTATCTCTGCTTTATTTTCACATTGTAGAAAGGTTTCTGCTAATAACTCTGATTTGAGTGCATTCTCTGTTGTCTTAGAGTTTGGTCTAGCAGTTCCAAGGTGACTTGTTAGAGAGCGTGATAATGGCGAGTGCTCAAATGACTGAAGCAGCAAGGGCCTGTAGATTTTTATTTGAACAAAGTTGTCATTTCTAGCGGCAGTGAAGCTAATTATGATTCTTATAAGTTATGAGATTGTTTTCTCTCAAGTCTGAAATAAGAATTTGAGTAGTCTTCTTTTGACATGTTCTTATATGCTCAAAAGATAAAACCATCACCATCTTCTACAAATTCCAATTTACTTGCTTCCCGTGATTTTCTCTCTCCCCTGCTGATGTGTTTTCATTTTGTTAGTATAATTTTTACTTTAAAGCGAATCAGTGTGCTAATCTTCATCTCCATGTCCAAGGGCAGGTAGAGGATGGTCTTAGAGTTTGTCGATAAACTTGATCAGAGTATCTGCATCTCCAAGCTCAGGCGGCTATTTCATAGCGTTGCTGATAGAATTATTGGAATATTTTGTTGATTGATTCATTTCAACTTTTAGTGTCGCCCATAACGACAAAGCCGAATGCCTTTCTTTTTTTTTAAAAAATTTTTCTGAGGACGACAAAAGCCCAATCTTTTCTTGACCAAGGCAAAGCCCAATCTTCAACCATGACAATCAACATAAGTTAAAAGTGTAAAACAGGTCTCATAAACAGATGCAAAATCTCCCTTTTGACAGTTTCTGTGTCACAACGGTCATTAGCGGCATTTCGTCTTTCTTTGATACAAAACGTAAAATTTTAAACAACAAATTTTCAGTTTCAATCTGCGCTCCCTCAATTCTCAAGCACCTACGGCAGGTTTCGTAGGTGCTTGAGCCCCCCTCCCTCTCCAATCTATGCGACAGAACTTCCATCACGCGTCACCACCAAGGCCTAGTTCTCCCGAGGACAAAAGTTCGGCGTCTTCCTCGAGAAAATTGAGATTTTACAATAACAATATTAATAACACTAGCAATTTTCGGGCATGGCAAATCCAAGTTCCGTTGTTCCCTACAACAATCCTCATGACACCCTGTACATGGACGAGGTTTTGAATTTCCTGGACATTCAGAATCCTACTCTTGGGGACTTTACCACTGAGGAAATACACTTTTCACGTCCCTCTTCAATCCCTCAGTCCAGAGAGCAAATTGATAATACCATTGATCCTTCGGATGATCCAGTCATTAGGGATTTTTATGATGAGACAAATGCTGAGAATTCTCAAAGAGAAACAGATTTGGGAACAGAGAGTTTAAATAATGTGAAGTTAAGTCCAGTTTCAGTTTGGCCAAGTGAACCGATCCCATTTGGTTGTTGCTGTTGCCAAGTTCTGAGAGAAATCGTTCATACTAATGGTGCGTTTCATGTTAAATTAGAGTCAGATCAAATGGGGTTGTCTTTATTTGTGATCAGGATGTTCCCTTAATGATGTATTTCATTTTTTTTTTAATAATGCTAGGCATTGCTGTTACGAGACTTGAGATTCATGGAAGACTTGGAATGATCTGTCATGCTATTCTTAATGATCAAAGTAGTAGTAGTAATGCGGTTACTTCTGGCCATCAGTATCAAATGTTTGAGTAAGTTTCAGATATTTATCTCTCCCCTTTCTTTTTCTTATTCAATTATTTGATCAGAACTTGGTTACAATCTTCATTTTGCTACACTTTGATTAGTTTCTGCAAAAAGAGCATTGAGGATGTGAAGCAGTTTCTGACTCAATATTGCATCGAACGAAACCAAGCCGGATATATCCTGATCAAGGATCCGCTCTCGATTTTCTATGAGGCCATATGCGTGGGGCTTGTCTGGGATGATAATTTGTGTAATGGCGACTTTATCCAACCATGCTCCTCAAATTCAGGTATCTCATTGTGAACATGTGGATTGTTGATGGTTTCCCATTTTTGCAACTCCGTTTTTGTCATATAATCAACAGTTTGGCGGAACTGTTTAATTTTGGTGCAGGGGCATTTCAGATAGATGAAGCAGGGAACAGTAACAACCAAGAGAGACCTGCTAAGCCCTCCTTGGCAATACAGGTTGTAGCTACTGTCTTCAACCCTTGATAATACAGGCTATATATCACTAGAATTTTTCCCATGGGCCTTACTAAATCACTCTAGTCACTATATCTAACTTGGATATTTTCTTATTGGGGGTGAGATGCAGAGAGAGAGAACAAGAAACCTGACCTTGAAAGAGATTGAAAACTATTTTCATCTGCCTATTCAGGAGGCAGCCAAGAAGATGGAATTTTCTGCCACTGTAGTTAAGAAGATATGCCGCAAATATGGTGTGACAAGATGGCCCCATAGAAAGGTCCATTTCTTCATCAATCGATATGGCTTTCTTGGATTCTACTATATATATATACTTTTTTTTTTTGGTTACTGAAGTTACTCCATGTTCTGTTATACAGATTCAAAGCATGGAGAAGAAAATAACCAATTGGGCGTCTAGGTTAACTTCAATTAATGATCCTGAAGAAAGGGGTCGTGCTGAAAATGAAATCCAGAGCCTGCAACGAGAGATAGCCAAATTTGGTGAGGGATCGAGCTAGTTAGCAGGTGACTACTTTTACTATTAGTAATCCTACTACTATTAGATTTGTAATCATTTGACAAATAAGACAAGTCAGTCAATGAAGGGACTTTTTTAGCATTGTTCTTCCCCCTCTCTTACACAGGCTAGCTGTAAATTATGATGTTGAGAATTTTATAATCTCTTTGCGGAAGATTTTTTTTTTCTTTTTTTTTGTAACAAGGTCACAACATTTTGAAATTATTACTCGGTAGATTTTGCTATAGTACTTTCATCAGCTTTAATTTCTGTATATCATGGGATATAGGAGGATGAACCAAATATTATGCAATCTGCTGCTAAGATTGTTGGCCGACAACGTTACAGTTCATCATTTCAACAGGAAAAAATGTGGTTGGCTTGAGTCAAAATATGAGCCGAAAGACTGTCTGACTGCCGCAAGTTCACCGTGGTTTTAGGGCCATTGATGAGTCTTGTTCCAGAGTAATGGCATTGTATAAATTACTTTATGAATTCAAAGACCCTTTCTTTTTCCTGCTTTTGAGCTTATCGTGGATGTCCCTGTTCCCTTCACTCTGACCAACAAAGAAACATTCCTGGATATATCTTCACGTTTATCGGCTAAAGGGCTAACACCTAAAGAAATCAACCAAACTACTTAAATCTTGATTTGTCAAACTATGGTATCAAAGTCTGATTCCAAGTTCTAAAATCTCAAATTCGAGCCTTAATCGTAATACGGAAGACATAAAAATTATGTAATAGCTATTGGGTCAAATGTTGGAATAGCTTTGGTGTTAAAGACATGAAAGATATTAGTTATCATATCCTTATACAAAGAGGTTTGTTTTGAAAACAACATGCAGCTAATAATTCATTGATTCTCTTTATCATGCTTACAAAATATATATAAAAAATTGTATCCCAAATGATTTGAAATAGAAATATAAAACAAGAAAATCAACGAAATTATTTCAAAGTTGGTCCAAGGGTCAAATTATCAAATCTGACCCGGTCAAAGTTAATTTTATATTTGACCATTCATCGACAAGGTAATCAGTTGGACCTTTTAGCAATGTCCCTTCTTTTCTTTTTCACGTAGAGAGGCGCTAAATGCATCCCTATTCTTTTTCTTTATATTTCAAAATTTTTTAATTTTTTTTCATAATTTTTTAAAAATAAATTCTTAAAAAATTATAATTTTTTTCGAAAATAAATTTTCAAAAATCATATAATTTTTCAAAAATCCATTTTTTAAAAGTGAGATAATAAAAATTTTACTTAAAATATTTTTTAAATTTTCATTATCCCACTTTCTGAAAATGAATTTTTTAAAAGTCATTTAATTTTTCAGAAATTTATTTCTAAAAAAAGTTTATAACTACTCAAAAATTTGTGTGAAATAAAAATAAAAATTAAATAATTTTACTTAAAAAAAATTAAAGTACGAAGAAAAAAAGCTTAGGTTCATTTTGCACTTCTCTTCCACATATTTAACAATCTTTTTTGTATTTTACAATCAACGAAAATATAAAAATAATGAAACTGCAATTGAATTGATTTGACTTCAACGATTCATGTTATTATTTTTAACAAATAATATTTAATACTTTTAAATTTAAAATTTAAAATTTTGTATTTTTAAATTATGATTTTTTTAAAATCCTAATTAATTCTCGGTGCACATTTGAAACGAAGGTACGTTTCATAATACTTCATTTGAAACGACCCTTGCAAGTTTCACTATAAGACAGTTGAGTTCAAGATACACATGTTTTAATGCGCATTTGCAATTATCACGCCGCATAAAAAATTGAGATGAATTGATTTAAAATTTTAATAATTATTATATATAAATTTAATAAAATTAATATTTTATATTTTTATATTGATTAAAATTATTTTACATAATTTTTATAAAAATTATAATTTAAATATTTTATATTATATAAATACAAAAATCGTCTAATTTATTCGAGATAATATTTTTTAAAAATTTATAAAAAGATTAAAATGATGAGGTGACTGGTTTGGCACTTCTATTGGCACGTGGTTTTATCATCGTGTCCCGTATGGCTCTTCGACGTCGTCGGCGTGCAACAAACCCCACAGTTTTCCTTGACTAAGCCCTCTTTTTAAACGATAAGCATACGGCAGAAACACTAGTCGTAGATTTGACAGGGCATTGGCATCCATTTTTCTCAGAAAATTGTTGCATTCATTTAGTTTCGTTCACATCAAAAACATACTATTTCACAAAAAATGGTAACATTAATTTTTTTTTTCAAATAAAAATAAAATTCCATATCATACAACTCATATATACATCGGTTTTATTTTAATAATTCAGATAGTAAAATTTTTATTTTAATTATTAAAATTAAAATTTTAATATTTTAACACCATATGTACAACAATTAACAAATGCATCATTATTTTTTTATAATTTTTTAAAATGTTTGATAAATAACTAAAAAAAATCAGAACTTTGGGTTGTGTGTCTTTTGGTGAAGGAATGCTTGTCACCTACTCCTTTTAAGTTCCCAATCTTTCTTTCTGTTGCTCTCTCATGCTTTTTAGAGAGAAGCCACTTGAAAAATAATGAGCTTTGTTTGATCTTTGCTTTGCTTCCGTTTTGTGACAATGGAGAAGCACAAATGCAAGTTCTGTGCCCGAACGTTCTCTAATGGCAGAGCTTTAGGAGGTCACATGAAAGGCCACTTAACCAACCATCCGCTGCCCCCAAAGAGCTTCCAGAACCAACTCCGTGACCGTGTGGAGGCAGCTTCTTCATCATCTTCTTCATCAGGTGAAGAGCAAGAAATACAAGAAGAGAAAAGCAGAGAAGTAGTTGAAGAGAAATCTTTGGTTTACGGGTTAAGAGAGAATCCCAAGAAGAGTTTCAGGTTTGCAGATCCTGAATTCTCTTTTGCGGTAGATTCTGGGTCCGTTGTCCAAGATAGAGAAAGTGAGTCAGAGTCAAGAAACCCAACTCGGAGACGCTCCAAGAGAAATCGGAAGATGGGTATTAATGCAACAGGAACAGAGGAAATCAAGAAACCAAAGTTGTTGAGAAAACCCAGTTTGGTCGAGTCACCGACTGAGCCAGAACCGGTGAGTTCAGTTTCTGATACTCCACCTGAAGAACATGTTGCTATGTGTCTGATGATGCTGTCAAGAGCTGTTTGGAAAAGCAACAACGTGGAACAAAAATCCGCTGAGTTGTTGGAAGAATCAGAAGAGATCAAGCTGAACAACAACAACAGTGAGTTTAGTAAGAAGAAGATTCATGGAAAGCATCGATGTGGGAAATGTAAGAAAACATTTCGATCTTTTGACACATTGGGTGAACATAAAAGGGTTTGCTGTGGAGCAAAAAATGCAGGTAAAGCTGTTAATGACAGCAATATATTTGAGTGCCCATTTTGTTACAGAGTGTTTGGGTCAGGACAAGCACTTGGCGGTCACAAGAGATCTCATTTGCTTGCTGCTGCTTCTTCATCAAATACTGCCACTGCTGCAAATTCTACTAAATTTGAGAACAATTTGATAGATCTAAACTTGCCTGCTCCATTGGAAGATGACGAGTTTAGTGTGTTATCAGATGCATAAATTCAATGATGGGGGCTATCGAGCAGTTATGGTAAGTCACGTGGATCTGACGCCACAACATTCAATGTTTTTATGCATTGTTTTAAACTTTTATTTTTTGGTACTGTAGTTGCTAATATATCTTTCTTCATAGATGAAATCATAAATGTTTTTGTAGCCTCTTTCTCTTTTGATAATTCTTTTTATTCTTCATTGTTGCTGACACACAAATTCATTCTTGAATTCTCCGCAAGTGTTTTTGTCTCAAACACTTAAATAATTGTTATAACTAAAACTTACTATTGCTGAAAATTGTTTCTCTTTTGTTACTGAAATACTCGACTCTAAACTTCTTAGGACAAGTTTTCTTTTTTCCCCTATAAAGTACATTTTTCACTTCTTCCAATGATTTTGTCATGGTATTAGTGGCATACTGAAGCTGCCATTGTTGCGGAATCAGATAGCAATGACTTGGATCAAGTTTCACTTCAAGGGTAACCCATGTCAGAAGAAGCAGAAATACCGAAGCATTTTTTCTGGGGGTTTGGCTTGCTTGTGGACCAAGCACTGTTCTCTGCAAGTACCAAAGCTGTTCAATTCTGTTACCATATCCTGTTTTTTGTTTTCCAGCTGTTCCTTAAACTGTTTATCCCCTGCAAAAACAATGTTTGTTCTTTTATTTCTAGATCCCTTTTGTTCTCTGCTCCAATCTGGAGTATCAATGGTAGGACATTAACCACAAACTTGAACATGAATTGACAAGAATAACCTCAATGGAACTTGGGTTTTACAGTTCTTGGTCTGGGTCTTTGGCAAATCTGTCTTTGAAGTGATTAGTGAGTACTGACTCGGGGGAGATCCAAATCCCTTGAATTTCTGCATGAAAAGATAATGTAAAATTTTTATCTGCCTTGAAATAAACGAAATATCCGGGCAAAAGGAGCTGCCCATCAGTCATGCTACTTTTATCCGAGAATCAGTCAGATATATTAAACGCATCTGATGTGCATTTGGTTCACTGTTTTTCCCTTTTTTTTTTTTTTTAAATTATACTATTCCATTCCATCCGTCCATTAAAAAATGTCTTCCAATTTGATTACGGAAATGAAAAGGGCATTATGGTCAATAAAAATAATGGTTTATAGGTTCCTTTCTTTGACGCATGCATGCTATTTTCTTTCTTCCTAAGGTTTCTACTTAATTTATGCTAACAATTATATGTAGATTAGAAGTTTTATCTACTTAGTAGACAAACATGTAGTTACTGATTTTACTTATCATCTTTTATAAATGAAAAATAATTTTTTATTTTACTTAAACAGATTAAAACTAAAATAAACCAAAAACTCTATATAACTAAACATCAATTTGGTTGAATTGAAACATCTAAATACCAAAGTTTGGATTTGAGCTCTTTCATTTTTATTCAGTCAGATTTAAAATTTTATTTTATTAATAAATTTATTATTTAATTATTAATATTTTAATGCATAATTTTTAAGCTTTTCGAACCCTCAAATCGTAAGGGCTTGATCAAACCTGTAACAAGTCATTCAAAAATTCGACACGTAAACAATCGTCCGTTAGAGGGCAAAGAAGTAAATTGAGATTTAGGATTGGCCCAGTGTGATATGCTCCCCTCTTTATGAAAAGTGGCAGCAAAGTACTGAACCGAGGCTGTAGTCTGAACTGATGAAATGGCAGACTTTTTGCGTCAACTTCTTGATATCTTTTTCTCTCGACGAACTGCCCCACCCCCCCCCCCCCCGGCGGGGATATACCACGTTACTTTATTATAATATTAAAATTAAAAAAAAAACTCAAATAAAATATTTATTATAAAAGATAGAAATGCAAAAGTAAAGGTTGTGCAAAGGATTGTACGTAAGCAGTTCCATCATTTCGTTAGTTATTATTAATACAACAAAGTCCGACCATGAAGACGAGAACCTAAGGCACATGTTATTATAAATACATTTAATTAAATTTAATTAATTCATGTCATTATATTAAAAAAATAGTATTTAGTATATTTAAAATTTAAACCTCAATATTTTTATTTTTTTTAGATTATAATATTTTAAAAGTACTAGTTAACAAAATTCATAATTATATATAAGACGATCAAGAGCAAGACATAATGGGGAGATGCCAAATTTCCAATTTAGTATGAAAGTGGACAAATTAAGTTAGAGGCCTGAACAAGTAGTGATGTGGGCTTTACATGCATGTGGAGATGTTCACATTTTCTCTGCAACATGTTCCATGTTGTATGTTTTGGACTATCATTCAAAATAAGTCCACATTGAGGTGGGTTAATTTCTTTTATTTTTGGTTGTTCTGACTGTTCAAAGCATATGCAAAAGCTTGTGACTTGACCCTTTGTTCTTCAACAAATCCTGCTTTTGTGACTTTACCATCATCCAATTCCAGGCAGTACTTGTTTTTTTTTCTTTGTTTTTCTGCAAAATTTAATGGCATTTTAACCACAAAAGCCATGATTCCATGCCCCAGTTTAGGTTAGAAACAGAGACATGGCTGACCTAGTCTTTGCCATCAGGGTAATGTCTCCCTCACGTGAGGTATGAGATTCTGAAGAAGCTAAACGATCCAGCAACCATTATTCACCTTCCACCTAAACAACCACCCATGCCTTTATCTAGTACTATAGTTATCAATTTTAGACTTTCTAGTTGATCAAAATTGGGAACAATTAAAGCATGTGAATTAATGAAGATTGAAGTGATTATAAACGCAGCAGTAGCCTTTTTATTTGCTCGTCCATCACTAGGCATTTAAAACAAAGCCTAAGATTAATAGCTGAAAGATTATGTCCTTGAAGCCATTGAAATGGAAAGACTATATTACAACTGAGAGCACAAAATAACTCCCTTGATGAACTAGAAAAATTATCTTAGACCCATTGAAATGGAAAGAGCAAGCATGCACTTTATTTTTTATTATAACCAACTTGCCTTGTGGGCTGTGGCTCTGGAAAGTGGCTGCCTCTTCCAAAATAGGTGTGTCCTACAACGAGCCTAATAGGGCTTTCAACTACACATATAGAACCATACAGTCTATAGTCGTTAGGCCACAGATAAAAATTAAAAATGGCTGCCAACTAGCTTTCAATTTTGACGACGAAGGAAGGAAGCTAGGAAAGAGGTGTGCAAAGGCTAGAAAAATTGACATATAAAGAAGATTAAAAAAATAATTGTTTTTCCCAGCGGCCTTTGGCTTAGTGGCATTGTGTCCGGCATTTTGGGAGGATTGCATCAGGTAAATCTTACAGACAGTGGGATCGGATGGGTTCAGGATAGGATAGAGTAGACAAAGGGCTAAAAAAAAAAATGTTTTGGTTGATGAGAGCAGTAATTATTGTATTGTAGCAGCTGAATTTCAAATGATAGGTTTTCTGACAACATAATTTCGTGATTTGACCACGAAAAAACTTAGCAATCCAACAACATGATGTTTTGTTGATTATAAAACTCTTCTCAATCTAGAACCCACTTTCAGGTTCTCATTCTATACCAGGGTAAGAAAATAAAAGAAAAAGCCTCATTATTAACCTATAAATGGATGAAAAAATTTGATACAAATACGCTAATAACAATGGCTGATTGAAAGCTCCTTCAAAGCAAATGCTTACTGATAAAAGTGATATGATATTTAAAGTGCTGAGATCAACTTGAATCACTTCAAAGGCAAGAGAAAAAAAGTTAGCCATTCATTTATATTCTCTGTATGATTACTTGATTAGTGATAACTTTTGTTCTTCCCCACTTTAAATGTTGAAAAATTTCTCAGTGCTTCCATGTGAATTTAAAATGGAAACCAATTAGACAAAGAGAAATGGCAAACAATTTCCAGTATTCAAACCAAAGCTGGATTCTTGAAACCAAAATTGGATGGCTCAAAAATGTCAGAATTGCCAGATGTGAATCATCTGACATGGACTACAGAAAAGCTGGAAATTTGAGGCTCCTTCTCTCATTGCTTCAAATAGCTTGCTAGCATTATGGAAAACTTCAATCTCCTTTTGGTGCTGACACTGTGTTGAAGGTAAATACTTTTATTGTAATTTTAACTTTTTTTTTTACAAGTTTTCTCTTAAATTTGTCATTTTTAACCGGTAATTGTATCTTGGGAAGATGCTTGTCATGTGAATTTTTTCAATCCAATCCTCTTGCGCTTTCTACCTTACAACTCAAGAAATAACTGATCTTCTGAGGTTTTTTCAGTTTATCTGTTCTTCTTCTCTGCTTTTTCTGTTGCTTGTTATATTGTATTTCATTCTTATTGGCATGTCTCTGTTGATGGGAGACTCATACTCCAGAATCAGAAGTTACTAAGCTCTTTTCATCTGCGAAGAGGAAGGACACACTTTATGGTGCCCTTAGCCACTGCTTGCAGCAATTGCCTTCTGAAGGACAAATGCAGGTACGCCATCAACTATACTTTACTATTGTTATTGTTACAGGTTGTTTTATCTTATTTTTCTTAATTAACTTTAATGATGGTCTAGGCAACCGCTTCTGAGGTACAGAGTCTTCTGGTTTCTGGTAGAAAGAAAGAGGCTCTACAGTGCGCTCAAGAAGGTCGATTGTGGGGACCTGCACTTGTTCTCGCATCACAACTTGGTGATCAGGTTTTTTTCTATTTCATGCAATTGCCTGTGACTTAGTCTGATTTTCATGTTTAAGGAGGATTTTAACTGAAGCTGCAATTTCTCTCTCACTCTCTGCATTTTCTTCTGGGTATGGTGGCTTTGGATCGATGCAGTTCTATGTTGATACTATGAAGCAGATGGCACTTCATCAGCTGGTAGCAGGGTCTCCTTTACGGCCATTATGCCTACTAATTGCAGTTGCAGGGCAACCAGCAGAAGTTTTTTCCTCTGGCACCACAGCTGATACTTGATAGAATGGACAGGGTCTTCCTAGGAAGGCTGAAATCAGACCTTTAGGATAGACATTAGGAATGCCTCCATCCTCGTTTATGCCTGGTCCAATGAATAGCAGTTTTGGGGATGAGCTACATGAGGTGTGTCCAATGGACAGTGGTTTTTCCAATCAAATACAATACTCCTTTGTGTTGCTACTAACTGTATATGAGACCGATCTGAGGAACCGGATGGAGTCTGGATTTTCAGTTGAAACAAAATTTTGGGTTACATTAATTGCTTGTGTCAGAGCAAAGAAACAATTTTTTTCAACTTATGGTAATAATAGATGCAAGCAGCACTTAAGGCAGTTCTATTATTAGTATCAGACGAGTGGATAATGGAAATTATGGTAAAAGTTTTACTTACAAAGAGAAGGTAAGTGTTACGTCTGTAGGTGAAATCAAATTCTTCGGTGTGGTAGGATTTTTCCGTTCCTGGGGACTCAACACAAGAAGATAATGTGAGATCCACTATCACCGTATTTTATTTCTTTTTGATAGTACAAAAGACAAAAGAAAAACGAATATGCATTTAAGCAATCCAAACTCCAGCCTTGATTCTGACGCAAAACCCATTTTGGTTGTAACGCCTGGTTGCTCTTCCATTCTAATTCAGCTCAACCCATATTCCCTCCAGAACAAAAATCATTGCTTTGAGGTTTCTCTACTTATATATATATAGAGAGAGAGAAACAGAGGATTAGAAGTCTCTGTTAGCAAAAATGGCAGACAACTCTGATGATTTAGACCGACTTCTCGATAGTATGTTTCTCTCTCTTAAATCTTTGTTTTAGTTCTTTTTTTCCCTTAATTTTCTGTTTCTTAAACCTCTGAAATTTGAACTTTGTTTTTCAGGTGCTTTGGATGATTTCCAGAATCTCAACCTTATACCTTCTGCTCAAAGGTACCCTCTTTCTCCCTCTCTCTCTATACATGTATTTTTATAGGTATATAAAACTTTCATCTTTCTTTTTTTTTTTTTTAATTTCTCTATATCAAGTGTTTCTTTGGGTCCAAAATTTTTCCGCCAAGCTATGGATTCCTTCCTCTTTCTAACTTTTTTCCTCAAAAGCTAGATGTTTGATTAGAAATCTGTGATATTAACTCTGGTGATTTGCCTTGGTTGAGTTTTTATTCCAATTTCTTCCAAGTATTTAGCTTTATATTTGGTTAATAGGGGAGTAGGAGGAGATGATGAAGAAAAGAAGCAAGAATCTGGTTCTTTACCAAGTGGGGTTCAAGGATTAGGTATGGAATTACCTGACTTGAAGAGCAAGAAAAAGGGAAAGCAAAAGGTTTCAAGGGAATCCCATGTCATAGAGGCTCTTGATAAATTGAGAGAACATACCAGAGAGACTGTAAAAGGATTGGAATCAATGTCGAAACCTGGAGGAGATGATTTCGGGAAGGATGCAATAATGGAGGATTGGGTCAAGCAGTTGGAGGATCTTGCAGGGTCTCAGGTATATTTGCTTGAATGTTTTATTGTCCCTTATAAGGTTTTGATATTGTCACTTATAATTTGCTTGGTCTGGTAGTTTTTTTATTTTGGAATGTCAAGTAGTTATTGTACACTTCGGTTTGGTTTTTGCTGTAGTCGTAGTTTTGGCTTATTAGCTTTAAAATTTACCATGGAAGCAGGTGCTTGTTGATCCTTAAGTTGGAATTTGCACGTTATTACATATTAGGAGGTTGTATTCCAATATTCTGTGAACAAAACTTGTAGCATTTTCATCCAATTAATTGAGTTAGATTTCCTGGCTTGAACATTGAATTATCAACTGTTTTTCAGTTGTGACTTGAAAATCAAGACAGTTTGTTTTATCCTCTTCTTTTTTTTTGGGGGGGGGAGGTTGGTTGTGTCTCTCAGGAACACTTTGAATTCACATGACAAGATCAGTAGTAAGATTGCCTTATGCCATGTTATTTGTGCTTGCCTTCTTTGTTCTATGCATTTGAGATGTACATTCTCTGGCTTTCGTCATTGTCCTCTATATCTGCTATAAGTGAACTAGTGAAGTACCTAAAATTCATGAAGCTTTGAAATGAACTTCCACCAGCCCCCTCTTAAGCCAGCTCCAACCCCCCTAGAAACATTCCCTGAAAGAAAGTGCAACATGTGTTTATGCATAGTGCATGAGATTCAATCCGAGATTCAGTCCAAGGGCTTTGGGTATATAAATGACAAAAAATGCAGACAAAAAATGCACTTGCAAAAGCCCTAAGAAAAAGGTTGGTTTTAAGGAGGTCATTGTGTTTTAGTATTGATCACTCTAATGATGAAGTAAAATTTGACATGGTTGGCAAGACTGGCATGTTATATATGTTCAAAATAGATAGGTTTTGATTGGTTATCTTGTCTTATTTGAGTTGCATCTGAAACTTTCAAATTTGTTGAGTGATATAGCCAGTTGTGTTATCTATGTTTATATAGCATTATAAGTTACAGAGTGTTGTATGCATTCTTACACGGACATGCATATGTCTCATACATACATGCAAACATTTATCCTTTAAACAATCAAGGGCATATATTTATTCATGCACATATCTTATCTTCTATTATGTTAGTCATATTTAGTATCATGTGCTAGGAAATATATACTTGATTATTCCATTGTTTTGTCCAGAACATGGATTCCATTGTGGAGACTATGATACAACAACTTTTGTCTAAGGAGATTCTTCATGAACCCACGAAGGAAATTGCAGAGAGATACCCACAGTGGTTAGAAGAGCATAAAGCCAGTTTGAGCAAAGAGGACTATGAACGTTACTCCCACCAATATGAACTGATAAAGGAGCTTAATGGAGTGTATGAAAATGATCCTAATAACTTCACCAGGATTGTTGACCTCATGCAAAAAATGCAAGAATATGGTCAGCCACCAGATGATATTGTGGGAGAGCTTGCGCCTGAATTTGATTTATCCAATCTTGGCCAGCTGTAAGTGCTCATTCTTTTGCGGCAATCTAACATTCAATATTCTGGTTTTTGTCCAACCTACTAGCATGTATCTCCTTCATTTATGAAAATTGTTGTCCCCTTACCTTCAGTGCTGTTTTTGGTGAAAGGCCGTTTGGCAGGATAAAATGACCTAGGAAAACGGTTTTCAAATTCAAACGATCACCATACAGTAACTCAAATCATGAATCAATTGTTTTGTTCAATAATTGTTGGGAATTGTTGATCTGCTGAATATTGGGATGAGGGTGGTGGTGGTTCTGTTGGCCTCAGATTATATGTTACTGTGGTAGAATGGCCTGCCCTAGGTTTGAGGTTTATATCTCCTAGCCAAAAACCGGTAACTGGTCAGTCCTTGATTTTACTTCCCCAGAACTGCAGCAGATACATGAGGATTTTCACCGTTCCGAATTAGTTTGACTGAGATATTACTCATCTTATTAAATGTAATAGATGCTCTTATTCAGAGATTGTTGTTTCCTTTTTTTTTTATGTTAGATAAATTTTTTCTGTTATCAGTTTGTCGTAAGGGGCATTTTCCTTTGTTTCCTTGGCTAACAAACACTTTTACTCTTCCAGATCCCCAGAGACGCTAGAGTCACAGCAAAACTGTTGTATAATGTGAGGCAATATCCTGTTGAAGACTCTGTTACTAATACCTTTCTGGGAAATAAAGTAGCTTTCCTTTAAACTTCAAGTCATTCGATCCTTCAAGAAATTTCATGCTCTATTTTGAGCCTGGTTTCTTGTCAAGATTATGTATGATTATGAGGAAAAAGGCTTATGAGTTATGACCAAGGTTCAGTATGCAATTTGCTTGGTGATTCTTTATTTATTTATTTATTATTTTTAATAAAAGCTCAATTTATTAGGGATAGACATGAACTAGATGACAAAATATTGTATTGACAAAAAAAAAAAGGAAATTGCAAGAATCATGCTTTCCTACAATAACCTTTCATATATAGCAAAGCCTATAATCACAAATATGTATCATCTGTTTAATTGGTAAGTTTCAATACAACTTGTTAAAACCGGAAGGTGGTGAAGATTCACCCAATTTTGGGAAAAATTGGTCTCTTTCAAGTGAGACCTGAAGCCGTGCCATGACCTTAACCATTGAACCCCAAGCAATAGGAGCATAGCAAAATGCATAGCCGAAAACGGCTAAAGCTCTTATAACTCCATTGGGGTACCAAGGACATGACATGACCAAAAGAGACCCAAAAATCCCAACCAAAGGAACGAAAACTGGAATAACTGGCAGCAAAAACGAATTGACTGCCACAGAGGAAAGAGCAATCGAACCAAGGAAATACAATGTCCAGCCTACTAACGGATGAATTGTACAAGGAATAATGACGAAGGGAACTATATAGGCCGCAAGAATTGACCAGATTGCTATAAACTTTAGGCCTGTTTGCATCAAAGATGTGCTTTTGTCTGTGTTCCGGTAGCATAGTTTGGAGATGCTGGGGCGTGCTAGACGTGTCATCACTATGATTCCAAGAAAAACGATCGATTGGATTATTGCAATGGGCATCTCATCTGCATACCTGTATAAGAAATTGAAACTCACGTTAATCATACAAAGCAGCAGCTAGATTATATTTATCTGTCAGTGTTGTACTATTGTTTTTTTTTATCTTACCCTAGAGTTTGACGACGATTTTGATGCCATTGAATGCCTAGGGGCAGGACAGGCCAAGACCACCAATACCATGGCTTCAACCATAGTGCACCAGGGAAGGTGATCACACTGTTAGGTCCACATGGTACTCTCCAGCGAAGTCTAAGATCTGTGGACCAGAAGAAAAATTCAAAGATAATTCGAGGTTAGATTCGCAGCTCAAATCAAAATGCTTGGAATCATTATGGATTTGGCTATCATTTTTTTACTCACAGTAATAAGAAGCATCCATTTGATAGCCCATAGGAAGTCTGTATTGCCCATCTAGTTTGGTGCCATTTAGGGGTGGATAGAACATTGGCTGGTCAAGCAAGTCAGAGAAGTAGCCACCAATAAATCCCTGGTCTGCACCATCAGGGTTTTCTTTACCAGTTTCCAGTTGATGAATCATGTCTTTGAATACCTCTAATGATGGCTGCAGATAATTTTTTTTAGGAACCAAAGTTGTATAACTACTATTGAGGCGCTGTTTCATGAAAATAATTGAAATGAACCATTTCCAGAAATCAATTTTACCTGCAACACAAAGAGGCCAGTATGAAAGACGCAGGGGTTGATAAAGACTGCACAAAACTGCCCACATTGGAACAATTCATCAGTTTTCTGGAGGAAAAGATTGTCAGCATCTAGCATAACCACTCTATCATAGTCCACCAAACTCCAGGCATATAGTTTGTTGAGTGTCAACTTGAATCTCTTGTCAAAATTTTGTTGACCCTTATAAGGGTTATTAATGTTCTCTACCATCACCACTTTTGCTCCATCTTCCTGTTCCCTATAACACAAAAACAGAGTCAATCACATCTGTTTCATCACATTTTTCATTATAATAAGGAACATTGCATCAGTCATTATTATTATTATAAGGAATGGTTGAGAACTCCCTTGGTTAACTGGACCAAGTGTGACTTCCCAAGTTCTAGCCTTGCAGATATATGCTAAAGATTCATTAAAGAATTATCTGACTGGTTACATCTGGACACGTATCATATATTTATACCGAAGATTAGTTATCATAGATGTTGCTGGCATCCTCAGATACACATCATAAGCAAACTCATTTGTTGTGAAAGAGCCAAAAAGAAAAAGATGATATTTCACCAAAAAGATCAAATGATCACTTAAACATATAAAACTTTTTTTTTTGTTTTGACCGGCTACTTTTATCAGCATATAATATTCTAAACATTGATAATTAACTTTTTGTTTCTGTTGACATAAATCTGGTAGCTATTCGTTTTAGCAGCAGGCCATTGAATATCATGTATTTGAACGGTTCAAAGTGAAGGAAACCCCCACGATCTAACAATAATTGCTATTTCAAGAAGGTAGTAGCGTGGTGCACCACCATACAAGCTACTGATCTCACATGCTTTTCGTCTACTATAATACGAAACCTAATGCCACATCATGTGCTTCTTGAAAGTGATGGGGACATGGTGATTAAATAGTTGAATAATATGGTATATATCTACATAATTCCGTTGGATCCACCCGAAATATAAATTAAGGACCACCCTCTGGTTAAACTATAATGGGCGGTGTGTCGTGGGGAAACTCTCTTCTTATCAGTTTCCTCTCTTGTTTATGTGTAGTTAAAAACCTATTTCCATTCTTAAATATATATAATTTTCGTTGCATTATCAATGGTTGAACTAGTATTAAGGTATGATTCAAACATAAATAAAGTAAAATGTCCTAACGTGTTATAAGTTTTGCCCCTGGCCCCAAGCACCCTAATTTTTATCGGTGGTTAACCCTTGCCCCTTGGAACCTACTCTCTCTACTCAAAGAATAACCTTTACATTCCAATAGTGTTTTCTGTATGTGGTTAAACATGCGGCAAGTAGGAGTGATAATGATAGGATTTAAATCGGATTTATTTAAATTTTTTTATATAATGTATAACATTATAAAAATTTAAAATTAGATTCAAATTGAATTTTATCGATTCAGTTTAATTCTATTTATTTATTTTTATTTTTTATTTTTTATTTTAATATATTTAAATATATTTTGATATAAATTTATTATTTTTATTTTATAAAAATTTAAAATATATATAAAAATTAAGAAGAATAAATAATTCAATTAAGTTCAATTTTCTTTATTTTTTGCCTCTCAATCAAAAATAAAATTCGAATTTAATGTATAAATTTAATATTCAAATTTAATTTAAATCAAATTAAATGATACAATTTTAAATTAATTTTTTAATTTTTTTCTCAACTCTAATTGTAAGTAACCTCAACTGCACCATTTGTACAAGAAACAAATAATAAAACTTGACTTAATCGATAAGAACTAAGAGACCAAGCGGGAATCCTATTAGTTACTATCAATGTATCACCTCTTTTCATTTAAAAAAGACCAAACAAATCGTCGTGGAATCAAATTTTTTGACAACCTTAAATTAAAAAAAAAAAAAACCTAAACAAATCTGACAGATTGATTGTCTGTTTCCTTGACCAGGAATATAAAATGTTTTATATAGCACGAAGCTAAAAAATGTTAATAATGCAGTGCAGGCCAGCCAGGCAAATAAAACTACGAAATATGACTGCTGAATCAGCAGAAATAAAACCGATTGGTCTCTGGGGTTTGGCAAATACAAACACATCCGCCATTTTCAAAACTTTCGCTTTTGAGTTTTGACGTTACGTGAAAGATAAAGTGGAAACAAAAAGAAAATAAATAAAGACAAGGAAATTAGATTTTATTTCTTCCATCGTTTGAACCATTCCACCATTTTAGACAACGGCAAATAAAAACAAAACTGTCACTATCACTAATTTTCCGACACTTTTTTCTGCTGAATTGTCTTTTTTTTTTATTTGATTTATTAACTTTAAATAATACATAAAATTATCTTAAATTTTAATTAAATTTGAACAAAATTTTCATACAGCCTAAATTAAATTAAATCGAATTTTGTTCATTCAATTTAATTCGATTCATAAGTTTTTTATAATTATTTTATATATTATTTTAAAAAATGAAATAAATTTAAATATAAAATAATTATTTTTATTTTATAAAAAATTAAAATATATATAAATTAATAAAATTTATAATTCACTCCATTTAGATTTTTTTAAAATTTTTTTATTTTTAACTCAAAATTCAATCTAAATTTATATACATTTAATAACTAAATTTAATCTAAATTAAATAAAAAAATCTAAAACAAATATTTTTTTCTCACCCTTACCAATAAGCCGAGACAACCCTTCCGTTTTTCTCCTTTGGCTTAATAAATATTTTAATTTAATGATTAAAAAAAACACCGTTACAATGTCCAATAACAAAGTTTCATCGAAACCAGGGATCTTCATTTCGCTTGTTTGGCTTATCCAAATCTCCGTTAACATCTGGACTCACCCATATAACTAGTATTTTTTAAAAGCTGATATTATTATTTTTACTAAAGCCTGCCACTGTTTATAGTTTTGAGTTTACAAAAATTAAATAAAACTAATAATAAAGCTTAATTATTAAGTTTTCATTGAAAGAAGACTAAAAGCTTGCTATTATTGAGCAAATTCTAAGTAATTTCCAAAAGGAAAAGATCAAAGTGGTCCTGAAGACTTTTATTTCTTTTTTCAACTTTATTGCAGAATAGTTGTTTGGGAAATTAAAAAAAAAAAATCAAATTGCATTTAAAGAAGCAAAAGAAGAGGCGGTAATGTGATTGGAGACTTACAGGGCACGAACCCAACGGAGGGGAACGTCGAGGGAGGCAATGACGATGAGATCAGCGTCCACCTGAAGCCTAACAAGCGATCTGATCAAGACGCGTATCGCCACGTAGAACTCGTAGTCTCTTGGCGTCCCCATGTACATCATTGTGGCGTAAGCATTCCGGTGCTCCTTATTCTTAACTTTAACTCCTCCACGAAACGCCGTCGTTTGCACCACCGCCAGCAACACTAGCACCACTCTCAAAAATGTAACAACCTCTTTTCGCCTCTCCCCACTCCAACCCATTGATTCGTTTCTCTCACCCTTTTATATATATATATAAAAAAAAAACCCACAAAAAGTATAATCAAGAAGTGCCTTTAGAAATGGAAAACAAGCAGCATTCCATATATTAGGGAACTTCAGTTTTGTTTGATTTTTTTTTTTTTAATTTCTTGAATGGCAACTCCTCAAGCTTTCGAAAGCTATATAAATAGGGGGACAAAAAAGCAAGTAAGATTGAGAGAAGGAAGTGCAAGCGGGTATTTTGGTAATTTTTTTTTAAATTTGATCCAATTTTATATACTAATTTTGGGTGTAACTGAGGAGTAAGTCCACCTATAAGTTTCAGCCTTCACTAGATGAAAAAGTCATGACTTTTGAGAATTGTACAAATTGTACAAATAGTACCAAGCAGATACGAAGAAATTATTTATTTAGGAGAATAAATGAAGAACATAAAAAGATTCTCAACAAAAAAATTCACGTAAGCCTTTTAAAATAATGTATTATTAAAATAGCATTACATGTTCGGAATTTCGCTGACTATTTGTTGTCCAATATTTTAATTCCATTTTTTTTAAAGATTTTTAGGCAAATTCATCGTGGCCAGGCAGACACCGATTCTTTTCTAATCTATTTTTTATAAGAAAATTTTTTTAAAAAAGAACAGTAAAAAATTTGATGGAACAATTCAATAATTGAATTAATTTATATAATATTTTAAAAAAAATATTTAATAAATTAAAATTTAAATCATAACATTTATAATTTTATTTTTAATTCTTATATTATAGTTTTTTTTAAAATAAAAATTAAAAACACAAAAATCAAATGCACCACGTAGTGGGACAAGGGATGGCAAAAATGAGAAGTCAAAGGACTGAGACCAAATTACGCGATTGTCCTGGTTGACACAGTCAGTATAACGTAAACAACAAGAGCAATAAGTAAAAGAAGATTGAGTTTGGTCTTTTCCACGCAATATTAGGGGCTCATGGCTCACTTTTTGACTTAGTGAAGGCATTTGGAGTATAAGAGACGCGTTAAGCAAAGAGACCATATGGACTTTAACATTCTGCCGCTCTTACTGTTCTTTGTCTATCTTTCTAGTAATAGAGAGAGAATAAGATCCAACTTCTTGTTTTGTAAATTTTATCACATGTGATTGTTTCCCCTATTCCTCTCAATTTTTCAAATCCCAAATACAATACGGTATAACAAAAAATTTTAAATTTTGAATTCAAAATTTATCTTAATTGATTTATTCAATTATTTTTAAATGATAATATTTAATAAATTTAAATTTTAAATATTAATATTTACAATAAATTTTTTATCTTCGCGATTACTTATATACAAAAATAAAAATCTAAATCCTCGCAAATTGTATCCTCTAATACAAGAAAAAAATTATAGCGTAACCAAAATTTTTGGAGCATAAATAGAAATCATGTATTAGAATTAAGTTTCTCTCACAACATAGAAATCTAAAATATTTGAAGATTTATGGAGAATCAGATGTAGTGTTTAGATTTAAATTTAAATGAGTATCTAATTTAAAATCATCGTGGGTTGAATTTTGAATTTTAAATATTTTTAATATAATTTTTTAAAAATAATTATATTAATAAATTAAATTAAAATTCACGTTTATTTTTATTATATTTAAGTGATCAAAATACATTTTAATTTAACAAATTTGAGATTCTTTTATCATCACTCTCATATTAATAATCAATCATTTTGGTTAATTATTATCAAGTTTTCCTTTAAAAAAAATCATTTTCCTTCACGGTCGGTATCAAAATAATATTCCACGCTTGTAAGGATTATCCATTGGGTTGCTTATATCATCATCAGCCTAGCTAGCTTACGATTAGAACAACATTAAAAACAATCTCTCGTTATCGATCCTCCACCCTCAGCTTTTCCTTTTAAACTAATATACATATGCTTACGTACGACAGGATTATCTTTTTCAAGAACATTAGATCATATTTGTTTTATAATATTATAATAATATAAGATAAGATAAATTAATATTACGAATAAAATTAGATTAATTAATATTATTTTATTTTATATTTGATATATGCGATAATCAAGATATTAAAATTATACTTTTACAAAATTTATATAATTTAAATTATTAATATAATTTTTAAGAATATAATTGAATATGTAAGTTTAATTTTATAAATTAAAAAAATTTTATCTACTTAGAGAAAATTAAATAATTTTATATCAAAAGAATGTTAATTGTTTTCATAATCTCTATATCTCTCTTTAAATACAAATCATATATAATATAAAATAATTATTATTTTACTATATTAATAATCTTATATATCGAACATAACTTTAATGTACTATTATCCGATACTTTAGTGGATATACTTTGTAAAAGTTTTATTATTATTTTTTTCTTTTAACATTCAAGGCGATAAAGTCCTATATTAAGAGGAAGAGAGGGAAAGTTGGGGTTCGAACTTCAACTTTGATGTCTTCTTTAAGATTATTTTGATCATTAAATTAAGCAGCTGAAAATTATTAGAACCTTTTCATTCAAGGATAAGTGCACAAATTCTGTGATATTGTCCTCTTTATTTCCTCAAATAACGAGGCTATTAAGGAGAGTGGGGAATACTGATCTTACAAAAAAAAAAAAATTTTAGTGTTCTAACTGGGAAAATTGACTAATATGTATATAATTCAAATAAAACGTATAATACTTTTTTTCTTCATATTTAAACGTATAAACTAACAAAGTATGATTATTTGACTACTCTGGTTGTATTGGGGAATTATTATTATTATATATAAAGGAACGTGTCGCTTACGTACTTTAATGACTTTTCTTTAGATCATTTTCATTGTAAATGAAAAAAAAATTCATTTTCACAATTGTCATGAAAATAGGAATAAAGTATTAGGGAAATTATCCTAAAACCATGAAGTTTTTAAATGTTACAAACAGTATAAATTCCTTTTTTTGTTTTTAAAGCTCTAATTACGAGTCTTGAGTATGAATATTGGTATGGGTTTCAATCAGGCAGATCCTAACCAGGCCCAGCCTCAGCCTCTTAATATTGGGTTTAATATGGCTAAAACAACAACCAAACGAGGCCTGTTTGGTTTGGGCAATATGCTCTCTGCCATGCTGAACGCGGCCTTTAAGTTTCTCTTGGGCTAGAATTTTATTTTCCTTTTCTCTGGACTAGAAGCTTTTAATTTTCCTCGTAACTCGAGATTGTAAGCCCTCTCTGCTCTTACGGGCTGGGATTTTCTGGATCAGCCCACCCATTTTGGAAAGTTTGCCTTTTAGTAGTGGTTTTTTTTTTTTTTGTTCTCTTTGAAATCTTTTGAGCGTTCAACCTTGTTTTGGGGTAAGCCAAATCCTAGATTAAGATTTGCTTCACTGGGTGGAGCTATCGATGGCCAGCTTGAAAAGGAGAGGGAGAGAAAGTGAGATGGGCACGTTAAAGGCATCCTTTATTTTGGTTTTCGGCTTTTGCACCCAAAAGAGAAAAGACATCGTAGATATTTTGCTATTTGTGATTTAAGTTCCTCAATGCTCTGAGTTCTGACCAAATAAATTTAATTGATTGCTTTGGTTTATATTTTGATATCTCATTCACAGTTTCTGTTTCATGGAATAACGCGAAAAAAAAAAAAAAAGGAAACGAAACCACTGTAAAAGACATGAATAATTAGATTACTAGGAAGTGAATTTTAACTCTTTTTTTGAAGAGAGCTAATGGACTGTTCATGGAGTAGGCTCATGCGACTGAAGGAAATCAACTGAAGTCAACAACATTTTTTATATATTCATAGTCTTGAAATCATCCCAACTCATGTTTCTTGTTTACTTGAAAAGACAGAATAATGACCATGTCCGACACCTCTTTCATTCTTCAAGGAGATTAAAACAAATAAAGATAAGAAGAGAAAAACCCAGATGTAAATAAATACTCATGAAATTTGGATTTCAAGTTTTAATCTTAAAGTTCTCATGTTCTCACCCGAAATGACCATATTTGCGTCCTAAAGTGAAAGCATGGTGAGAGTATTATGGAAACTATCCTGGTCAGATTGTCCCGCTGAAGACCTTCCCACATGGGTTATCCTCTGGCAAACTAACCGAAGAGCTCGCTGCCATCTGTCGCCATTGACCGGAGCTGCCTGATCAGCATCGAAGGCTATCTGACTCAACTGAAAAAAGAAGAGCCTGCATTCATCAATCGCGTCAATGTAAACACGACGAACAATCCTCAAACTGAAGGAAAGTTTGAGCACAAATGGGCAAATCAAGCCTGCAAATAAGGGAATGAAACTATGGGAGGGAGATAAGAGGCGGATTTTGGCTAATGCTACTAAATGCAGCCCCATGGAATCTTATGAACTGAAAAAAAAAAAAAGAAAATCTATAACGAAGGTAGAATTTTGTTGATTGGGTTCCGTTTAGTCTCTAATGTATGAAAATATGGACAAACTGTAGGACTGAGCCAGTGAAGTGAAAGGCAAGAGAATATATTGAGAGCTACAAACTTTTTAACTTTTCAAAAATGTAGTAAACAACAACGAAAAACTTTAGTTGGCTTTTTCCCTTTTTTATGGGTAAAGATTTCTGTGGCTAATTAAAGGCTTTTCACGTTGCTAATTACATGATTACATGTCAAAGAAAGAAAGGAATAATGATTGAAAAACATCAAATCTGTTTCCATTTTGTACAATATGGATGATGGAAAACTGGTGTTTTTATCAAGAACTAATCATTTCATATCTTGTTGCTGAAGCATAGATCCTTCAAACAAGTATATATGTAACTAAAAACGTTTTTCGAGATTGATAGCTAGACATTTATATATGTCTGTTTCATGCTAATATTAGTTTAGACATGTAAACATGCTAATCATTCAATTGTATTTAGGAAATTTATTTTCAGCTTTTATTACTTTCTCTTTTTTTTTTTATTCATGCAGATACAGGTGTCACTGGCTGAGAGCTTCCGTTTTTGGTTTAAGACTCGTGCGCTGTCCGTGACAGAGGCAGCCACTTGGATGGAATTGTATGCGTATGCATCACGATCTCCTAATTATTTATGTGGGTGCAGGCTAGGAAACTTCCTTGAAGCTTCGGATGGTCCTTCGACGGAATGATGTTTTCAGGTTTTTGTAATAAGCTGAATGACCTGTGCAGATGACATTCATATGAGAGGGGCCAAATCAATCATATATATAATTTGATCTTCTGTCAGCCTACCTCTCTCCATCATGAACCATTGCTCAATTATTTTCATCAGAAAATCAGAGATATTCCCTTTTGCTTTCAGATTAATTAGATCATCAATTCAATATAGTTTTAAACTTGAAACACGATCAAGTTAATTATTTTTACTAAATGACTCAATCATATAATTTTTTGGAAAGTGGAAGTTCGAAGGAAGTAATTTTACTCTTTCAAATTTCAGGATTTATCCTAAATGATAAATAACCCAAATTTTAGCTCTAATTCATCCTTTTTGACAAGAAAGAAGAGAAAAATTCAATAACCCTATCCTTCAATCCCCACGTATCGCCATGCCTATCATACGGTAATCAAGGAAGAAAATTTGCTATGGAAATCGGATCTTTTGATAATGCCATCGAATATAGGCCAGGGAGATGATACTTTTGGGATTTTGGAGAAACAACTCATACATGAGCCCAACAACATGTGGGCTTTAGGCCTTCCGCTGTTTATAAGTCTCGGCTCATCACATCACTTAATTATAGATCCGACTGACAAGAACTCATTGACGAAGCCAAGCCCAAAACGGGTTTGCGATGATGGCGTTGGATTCACATCAGTTGCAAGACATAAATCCCACGGTGCATTGCCTTTTCCAGACAACCGGGCTTGGCTTTAGGCCTTCGGCTGTTTCTAAGTCTCGGGTCATCATATCACTTAATTATAGATCCGACTGACAAGCAATCATGGACGAAGCCAAGCCCAAAACGGGTTTGCTATGATGGGGTTGGATTCACATCAGTTGCAAGACATAAATCCCACGGTACATAGCCTTTTTTCAGACAACCGTGCGCAAATAATAACCCCCACGCTTGCAAGCAAAAACCCCCAAAACCCCAAACCATAGAAACAGAGAACACGCCCCCTTCTTTCTGTCGATTTCAAGTTGAAGAGAGAAAAAAGGATGAAGGAAGACGATGGTAGCGGAGCCCCAAACAGAGAACTGTACGCACTCTTACACCTATCACCGGACGCCTCCGATGAAGAAATCCGCAGAGCTTATCGGCAATGGGCTCAAGTTTATCACCCTGACAAATACCAGGCTCCGCATGTAAGTTTTTTTTTTTTCTTATATATAAATGCTTTCTATTTGAAGTTTTACTTAAGAATTAGTATTGTTTTTTTTTTTTAGATGAAGGAAATTGCTACGGAGAATTTCCAAAGAATATGTGAAGCATATGAAATATTATCGGATGAAAACAAAAGGCAAATATACGATATTTATGGTATGGAGGGTTTGAATTCTGGATTAGAGCTTGGCCCAAAGTTGAATAAAGTGGAAGAGATAAAAGAAAAACTCGAAAAGTTGAAACGGATGAAGGAACAACAAAAGACGTCGGCGCATATTCGACCTTCCGGTACAATACTGGCTAATTTGTCGCTGCCACAGTTTCTAGACGGTGATGGCATTATGGAAGGGTATTGCCCTGTCCTTTCTTTTCCTTAGTTCCTTAATTTGGTTGAATATAGCATCATTAATATAGTAAATTGTATGTTTTTTATAAATTTTCAGAATGGCTATGGCTAGCGAAGTTCAGTCTCAATTATCAAAACGTAATGCTCTTGCAATTGGTGGAAATTTGCAAGTCAAGGAAGATTCCGGTGGTGGGATTGCCTCGGCTGTATTTAAGCATCAGATTTCCTCAGCTTCTTCCATAGAGTTTATAGGATCAGCGGGCTTACACGGTCTTATAGGAGTGCAGACGACACGGTGGGGCATTCAGGGTTTAACTATATTTGTCTACTCAATAAGTTAGTAGTTTTACTCTGTTTCTTCATTCTCTCCTTATTTTTTTCCAGTCAATTATCGGTACACTCAACTGCAACAATGGCCATTGCAAAGTCTTTTCATGATGGTTCGATTAATCTTACCAATTCCTGGACTCGTCAACTCTCTGAGACAGCAAGTGGAAATGTATGCAACTTTTGTTTTTTATTTAAGTTGTTTTATCATTCTCGGCTGAGAAATTTGTGAAATCCTAACTCTTAATTTTAGCTAATCTGTTTGAGGCTTCTAATATCTGTCAGTTGGTTTTTGGTCTTCACCATTTCTACAGATAGAACTTTTGCTAGGTCCAGAGTCATCTATCGGGGTTGGATGGCAAAAGAAAGATCAAAATATGTCTGCTGGTGGAGAAGTGAAGGTAAGTCTATGTTCACTATCTAGACTACTAAATTTATGGCAGAATAACTAACAGAAAGAAAAATTGCAATGGAGCTTCCTTACAGAAAATATCAAATTCCGCATAAAAGTGTAGGGGCTACCTTTGATACCCAAAAGACTTTATTTGCAATTATTATACTTAGATTGTCCTGTTCTTGGACTAGGGTAGACCCTTAAAGGCGCAAAATTAGCTTTTTCCACTTATCAAAATAATCAATAACTATCCCAGAATTTCAAGCGAAATTTTGTTGCTCTTGGTCCGATTGTGAACTAGAGATCTTGACTTTGAATGGAGATCAACTATGTAATTTTGCACAAAAGTTTATAGCATTTGGAGCTATAATCATTTGGCACATTGATTCTGCTATTATGATTTATCAATATTGCTGTTTCAATCTCTTATGGTGATAAGGACAAACGAACAATCATTTGCATATTGTAATGATAACATATCATAGTAGTTGACCTGTAAATTTTCAGATTTTGCATTTCTCATTTCTTTTCTCCACCTTTTATTCAAAACCTCTTGCTTTGATTTAGTTATTTATTTCTGTCAGCATGACCCCAATTGTATTTGAATATAAAATTTTCTTTCATGTTAAGAACTGCAGTTTGGTACACATTCATTTGGGGTATCAGCTCATTATACTCATCGTTTTTCTTCAAAATCCCATGGTCGTATTGCAGGGAGAGTTGGAAGGTATGTTTGCATAACTGATATTGATGATTAATAAGTGAGGCAAGTTAGTTTTTATTCTTTTTCTATGCTTTTTATGCTGATAAATGAGTTTCTATTGCAATTTTTTTTTTGGATTAATATCTATTGCAAAGTTATGTTTCTTCCATTCTGTTTATGAGGTTTACAAATATTGTATATTGCATGATCTGGACTATGAGTTATGTATAGATCGTATCAAAACATTGTAATTAAAGAGGATGCTCAAAAAAAGAAAATAAAAATCCTTTGCATAATTATCATTTTCTTGCATAATATTGTCCAAGAAGCTTGCAGAAACAATTCCCTCTTGTCTTTCAACTGCGACTTCCTTTAGGACTTTTTGATAAGTGTTTATGCTAGTCCTTGTAAAATCAAAGGGCACACATCTCACTATGAGAAGCTGTAAGTATCATGAATGTTTGATAAAGCATTTGGTTAAAACAATTGAAACACAGTCACAAGCATATATAAACTTGTTCATGTTTTCGTAATTTTCTGGAAATTGCTGAGACAAAACTTAAATTTTAACCCAAATGATCAGTTTGTTAATGGAATACTTAACAAGCGATAAAAGTTTATTATTGTAAACATTCCCTTAATTGACCAAGACACCAGGTTGTTTAATGCTGTCATTTAGCTGTGGCACCTTGGACATCAAATTTGCTTCTTCAATGAGCCGCTATTTTTATTAAGTAGTTAGTTAGAACAGTGGTTGCTAATCTCAAGGGTCTGCACTGACTGCTGATTTTTTTTTTTTTTCAGCACTGCACTTGAGGTTGAAGTTGGTGGTGGGAGGAAAGTGTCTGATTTTAGCACTGTTCGCATGTTGTATACAATTGGAATTCGGGTAATTGCATATGTCTTACCATAAAGGGATTGCTCATTATAATGTCATATTTTGGTGAAAAAACCTACTTATTCATGAATATGGCTATGAAGAAATGTATTGTTCCTGCACACAACAATGGGTTATCAGATATCATTTTGTTGGCATTATTGTGTTATACTGACTTGTTTAGTTAGTCCATACTTGATTTATATGTGTGATGATGTTGTCATATAGAGATAAAAACCAAAAATATCTTATATATCTTTTCTTTTGTTGACAGGGTATCTTTTGGAGATTTGAGTTGCACCGTGGAGGCCAAAAGTTAATTATTCCTGTAAGAATATTCATGTCCTCTCACTTGTTTCAAAGGTCATTTATATTTGAGGCATGACATTGTTTTTCTGATTTTCATTTGATGTTTTGATGTGTGGTACTTCTTTCAACAAAGATAGAATCATACAAATAGCTTGACTCAACTTATTATCTCAATTTTGGTGCCATGATTTAATAATAAAACTAATATTGTAGCTAAATCTTATTTTCTACATATATTCTCTACTTGCATCTAATTTCTCATGGCACTTCTTTCAACAAAGATAGAATCATACAAATAGCTTGACTCAACTTATTATCTCAATTTTGGTGCCATGATTTAATAATAAAACTAATATTGTAGCTAAATCTTATTTTCTACATATATTCTCTACTTGCATCTAATTTCTCATGGTAAATTCCTTTACCCATATCTGATTGTTTTCATAGAAATTATGGGACAATTCGCCTATTCTATATATAATGAAGAGATGACAATTAAACAATCAGCCATTCCATTAGAACCCAATTTAATTCATTATTTGATAACAAGTGATAATTTTTTTGGTTTTAGATCAATTCATGTCTTTCTCTTTTATGTATCGATTTTTCAAATAAATATAATACAATTCATTAAACCTAATTGTGGAGTCAATTTCAGTAAATGCATAAACTTACGCAATGTAATCATTTTTTTTTTTTTTTGCATAATTGCTAGTAAAAAGATTGACTGAATGAGATAAACACATTAACAATTTATTTCATTAGTATGCAAAAAATAAAATACATAGCTCTAATGAAGATCTTTATGAAAATTAACTTGTTGGTCCATTGAAACATTAATTCTTTGACACCTTGAACCTTCTCTAATATTGATTTAGGGTCTAGAAAGAGAATTTGTGCTTGTGTAGAATTTCATGGGATATAATATTCTATCCTTGCATTATTGTCAGTTTTCTGAAATGAAATGCTTTTAAGTTACAGCAGAAGCTATGTTATAAAAGTTATGATATTATCATTTAGAAAACTTTTGTCTAATTGTTAACATTTTACTAGAAACTGAAAGATACTGTTGCAAGTGTATATGACTTGAGCTTTCTACATGAAGAATTAGAAAATAATATATCATTGGGAAATCATATCTGTGTTCAGATGATTTGTTATGGCTTAGACACAAAGTCACAAACAGATGCCTACCTATAAACTTCTAGATCCATTTATTGAAGTGTGATAACAGTTAGCTATATGGCGTTGTATGTAAGCATGATTAAGCAAAAGAAATTGTAGACTTAATGCAAGGAAGAATATGGAAATTTAGTTTTGTCCTGTTGGGATTTATGTAATACAGATTGAACTCTCATACTGATTATGGTTCCTGCATTTTAATCTGTTTCTTATGTGTTATATGCAGATTTTGCTTTCCAGGCATTTGAATCCTGTGTTAGCTACTGGGGCATTTATAGTTCCCACATCAATTTACTTTATACTCAAGGTAACCACTTATGCTTCTCCTTGTAGTTTTAATTAATTGGTTACAATTTGAATTTCTTATTGCTCTTTACCTCCCATTTCAGGTCAGATAAACTAGATGGGCTATTTGGATGTTAGCTGCATGGATATACTCTTTAGTTCTTTTATATAAAATCTATTATTTTACTAGTTATTTTGTACCCAATTCAAGCTAAATATCACATGGCTTAGGATAAACTGGATATGTCTCCATATTTTCATGCTTCTTTTTTTTTTTTAATTATATTTATTTGATGATGTAAATAACTATCCTTACATGTGCACTTGCAGAAATTTGTTTTTAAACCATATTACCTTAAGAGGGAAAAGCAGAAGGCCTTAGAAAATATGGAAAGGACTGCCACCCAGGTATGTTTACCCAAATGCATTAGGTATTCATAATATTTAAATGGGTTTTGGCCTCTTTATTACTTTCATAAAGATCCTAGAAATCTTCTGCTGTTGTATATTTATGATGCAACTTCTTTCTGTTTATGTATTTATTTTAGTTGGTCACAGTGTCTCACATGAATGAAAACCAAGATGCAATCTGTGTAATATTTTACATTTACAAAATCATGCTTTGATGAATGAATTTTGTGATGTTTCAGCTGGGAGTGTGGTGAATATAACTTTTAATAATTATGAGATCTAATATTTTGGGCTTGTGCACTTCTTTTATAGGCAGCTGATGAGTATTGTTCAAAAATTTTATGAATGTATTTTACTTGATGTGCATTAAGGTTCGAGAGGCAAGGGAAGCAGCCGCAAAAGCTCAGCAGTTGCTAGAGAATGTGGCCAACAGAAAAAGAAATAAGCAACAGGAAACAGGGGGACTGGTTATTACTAAGGCAATTTATGGAAATCGTAAAGCTTTAAGGGAAGGAGATGAGCTGAGAGAAACTAATGATGAATTAGCCTCACAAGTGTTGGATGTAACATTACCTCTTAATTTCCTTGTTAATGATTCGGGGCAACTTAAGGTTTGTTTCTTTTAAATCCTGTTTGTTGACTATATGTATGTATATGTTATCTGATTTACTGTGATAACTGCCTTGAATTTAACTAGTTAATAACTCGAAAGAATTTTGGAAGACAAAGTTCCTACACTAGTTATTTTTTGGGCATGAAGTAATGGTATGGAAGCTTTCACCAAAAAGAAATCTAAAACATAGGAGAACCCAGGAGGGTACATTTCTTTCAGCATTAAGACCCTTGAAAGGTGTATTAAGTACATAAACAGGGATTTGGATAATTTGACTATTGGTGCATACTTGTTTGTTCATTTGCTACATGTGCATCTGAAAAATCAGCATTCTGCAGTTGATCAATCCCATTAGTAGCATAACCTTGGTTGTTTATCTCTTGACACAGCTTCATGATGGTGTAAAGAAGTCGGGCATTATGGGCTTCTGCGATCCTTGCCCTGGGGAACCTAAGCAATTGCATGTAGAGTATACTTACCGTGGTGGGAGATACGAGGTACTACTACAAATTACTCTTTCTTATTGTTCTAACCCAAAATTATCTTCATAAATGGTAATGAGGGCATTGACAAACTGGAAATTTCTGAATCAGGTGGTTGTGGATGATTATGAGGAGTTGCTAATACCCCAGTTGGCACACAGAATATGATCTCTCAATTTTAGCTTGATTCCTGGTTATAGCAGATAAATTGCAATAGTGATTGCATCTTGTGCTAGGAATATGTTGTTGTGTTGTTCTGAGGCTTTAATACCTTTCAGTGGCATATCTGAGGATGTGACTAACTGTCATCATCTTTATGTCCATGAGAGCCACCTTTTTGAACCTTGAAATCAAGCAAAACACAATCTGCTCACATGAAATCAAACAAAACACAATCTGCTCACATGCCTCATGCGTAATGAGAATGGAGACAGCTTGCAGAGCCTTTAAAGTGTTCTTATTCATGGTTTTTATACTGTGTATATTATTGACCGGAAAATCTCAGTTATCTGGTTGGTGTGAAAATATGGCAAAAGCAGCCTATCTTTCCATTCTGGGAAATAAATCGAATTAGGATCCACAAATGAATTAAAAATTAAACAAGGCTCATATAGATATTGGGTAAGTTGGACTTTGCCATTGCTTGTGATGAATACCCTTTAGCCTTTTGCAGAGTTTGACTTTGCAGAGGACCACTTGTTTTTTTAGGTTTTGGACTTTAAATCTATGCCAATACAGTGTCCCACATCTTCGATTTTGCTGCATGAATATTGAATTGTAGTCAGGCTAATCCTTGGAAATGAAAGGAAAAGAAAGGAACTAACAAACTTTGTTGTTTGCTTATCCTATTCTTATCTCTCATTGAATTCCTCACGGGACAGAATGTGGCAAAAACCTCATGCTATCATTTAGATGGTTATACCCTCCATTAGATAAAACATTCATTAGACAGTCAAAGCTCAACAAATTCGAATCCGCTAATAAGCTTTCTTCAAATTGTTCTTGTCTTAGTCAAAAGCATGGCAGCCATGATTGTGAAGAAAGCATGGATGACAAAAATATACCAGTTTCAAGCTTTTTGGTTTATATATGGTTGTGGATTAAGGCTCTATCATTCGTTTATCAACAAAAAATAATAATTAGACTGATTCTTTTGTAACTATGGTTGCTGCTGCTAGGCAATCATTACAATAACAGGTCACTGTTTTGGTTTGCTTTGGATTCCCCTCCTCACTTTGATCCTTTGCCACTAGGATATGGTTTAGTTCTGGTTTGATAGCTTCCTCGTATTAATTGATCAAGTACAAAGTATTTTCCTTATATATATTTAAGTATTCGAGGATGGAAGACTTTAAAAAGCAAAGAAATGTTTATAATACAATTACAGTATTCTCAAGTTTTATTTGATTTTAATATCTTTTTTAGGCATTGTTAAAATACATTTAAAATTTTATTTTCGAAGAGTTTTGAACTAAAAAAACCAAATATGCAAGTAAAAAGGAAGAAGAAAACTCGAGACTTTGTAAATAGCAAACGGTAGATAGGGCCATTTGTAATTTTTCACAATGGTAGGGCAATGGGGCTACGCTAGGGCTCTCAGGAATCTAACTCAGGTTTCCAAATAAAGCTCTTGGGCCCTTGCTGCATGCCTGAAACTGTACCCAAAGATATTAATAAATATTAATAAAAATAAATCCTGGGACCCAGTTAGCTTTGCCCCACTTTGGCATGCAGAACCTGCTGAAAAGCCAGCTCACACTGCCACGTTAAGTTAAAGGTTTCCGTTTTTTTTTTTTGGGGGGGGGGGGGGGGGTTTGGTCTGTCAATCAATTCCCACAAAAGAACTTATTTTAAAGATTTAACAGTCACATGTAACCAAATATTCGTTTCGTTGATGGTTAAATTTCATGTATCAATGTGAATATAGTTTACATGTGTATTTTTTTTGACTTCATATTTGATTCAAGAGATAGATTGCGATAATGATTTTTTTTTTAACATGAAAAAAAAATGCTTCGTGTTTCTTTTCTGCCCTCAAATCGTATCTAATTTTTATACATTGCTTGACAAATTCCCCTTTTTTAGCACATTAAGCCTCCTCAACTTAATTGACCGCTCTGCCTACCCCTAATGAGAAATTCAAAGATTTTTTTTTGTTATCAGATGCAATTAAGACATACAATTCAATGTGAGAAATTTAGGTGGATGGATTCAATGGTATGCACGATGTTTCCCCGTCATAGGGTACGGTAAAAAAAATAGTCCCAAACAAATTTCACAGCCTAAAGCTAGGACAATCATGACTTCCCTGTTTTCTCTTGCAGCAATAATGGATTACTTGACTCACTTGTCTCATTGCCACAATCATCACAACATATCTTTCATTTCTTTTCCTTTTACGAAAAGAGAAAAGATCTCTCTGCCTTTTGTTTCTTCGAGGATGACAAAATTATTTCCTAGGTAGGTACTTAGAGTGCAATAAGGTGGATTTGGATTTAATTGCACTCTAAGTAAATTACAGTAAATTTTAAATGTTAAAATTAATGAGGTGAATTTTATCAAATATAATATAAAACTTTTACTAAATTTAAAAAGTTTGGTGAGAAAATTTTTTTAATTATAATTATAATAATTTTATCATTATTTTTAATTTTATCATCTACCAAATAGACCTGAGTTTTAAGTACTAAAGAGACAGATAAAAGGCTCACAGAGTGCTCTGTTTATTGAGTTATTCAGGTTTAATGCTGCAGTGACTCAAGTAATTGCAGGTCAGCCAGGGTCCCAATTAAGATTTTAAGAAAAAAAAAATGGTCAAATTTGGAGTTTACCTAGTACATCAACTTTGAATTCGACTGAAGGAGTCCAGCCATGCGAGATTGTGATTGAATTTGACTCTTCATTTTTTACCTTGGGTTCTTTATTTGTTTTGCCTACAATTAAAATCCCATGAATTACACTTTTTCACTATTGAATATATTTGAATTTAAATTTTAATATTTTATAATTATTTTTACCCAAAAAAAATTTATAAATTATACTGTTCAATGAATAATTTAATGTGTGATGGACAGCCATGCAAGATTGGCACCTAGTTAAAACCCTCTGTGTCGTTTCCTCGAGTCTACAAATTACATCATCATTTTGCATTATTAGGAGACATGACAATGTTAAATTTAGAAAAGTGTTAAATGAAGATTACAATTTTGTCTTTACTCAAAGTCTCAATTACATGAAGCCTCTTAACCTTATCCTGTAATACACCCAATATAGCTCTACATATTCTTTAATTCACATGAAAATCATACTTATATCTCAAAAAATCTCTTCCCTCATCTCCACTATGAATAAGTTATAATATAATATTTATAAAAAAAAAATTATTGGTATTATTTAAATTTTAAATTTGTTATATGTTAATTTTTAAAAATAATTGTATTAATCAATTAAATTTAAATTTAAATTCAATTATAATATAGTGATAGTATTTACATATTTATAGTTGTTCAAAAACTTAGATTTATGTATAAGAAAAGTATAGTAGTGCAGCATTAACAAACAAAGAGAGAAAAAAAAACAAGAAAGAGTTCAATATTTTTTGTCTATGGTATGGTATTTTGAAATTTCAAGTGTTTAAAATTCTAGTGGACCGTCAAAGATGTCAGAAGTACTCGTTGAAAGTGAAATTTTGAATAGCTGCAAACAATTTTAGGAGAAAATTTTTTTTCCTTTGATCTAATCCTATTCTAATTCTAATGCGCCGCCCAAGGAATCACTATATCACTTAACAACAGCAAACTTTCATTATGATCCCCTGTTATCACATCCTCACTAAAATTGTAAGCATTGACATGAAATAAATAAATAAATATATATTTATTGATAACACCTTTCTTCAATTTAAATATAATAAATTTAAATATAATAAAATAATATGATATAAAAATAATACGAATAAAAATTATATAATTTAAAATTTTAATGAAAATTATAAATAAATTTAACATAAATTAAAAAATATATATTATATTTTTATATTAATATAAAATATAATATAAATACATAAATTTTTTATATTTTACCTAATACAAATTTATAAATTATCAAATCTTTACTAATTCGTCCCCTAACAACAAACCAACCTACGCTCTCTTCCCCCGACCGACCCTTTATTATGAGGAAGCGCTTAAACAAAGTGATTCGTAAGATTTTTTATTAAATTACTTTTAAAACTTAACTTTGCCAACTTCACCTAGAAAGTTCATCATTGTGTTTGTAAACATCAGCCTTAACCAAAATTGAAATTCTTTTTCTTTCTTTCTTTCTTCCCGTCTCTTATATAAACCAAGCAAAAGACTCTGCTTTTGCTGTGTTCTCTACAATTCTGAAGTCATGGCAAATTCTCTTTGCCTGCTATACCTGCTACTCTTTCCAACATGCTGGCTTACAATTTCAGTGTCAGAAATGGTCCTTCTTCCCTTAACTCATTCACTCTCCAAAGCCCAATTCACCAACCCATATCAACTCCTCAAAACCACCTCAGCTCGCTCCGCCGCCCGTTTCCACCATAGAAACCACCGCCAAAAACAAGTCCCGCTCCCTCTTTCCCCTGGCAGTGACTACACTCTCTCCTTCACTCTCGGCTCCCGTTCTTCCCAAACTATTTCCCTTTACCTTGACACAGGCAGCGACCTTGTTTGGCTTCCTTGTTCTCCATTCGAATGCATTCTCTGCGAATCAAAAGCACCACCACTCTCTCCTCCTCTTAACCTCTCCTCCTCCGCAACCGCTGTCCCATGCAAATCCTCCGCCTGCTCCGCTGCTCACTCCTCCCTTCCTTCCTCCGACCTTTGCGCCATTGCACGTTGTCCCCTCGACTCCATCGAAATCTCGGATTGTAAGTCCTTTCCTTGCCCTCCTTTTTACTATGCATACGGTGACGGTAGCTTAATCGCCCACCTTTTTAAAGACTCCTTAACTCTCCCAAACTCTTTCTCTATTCAAAACTTCACGTTTGGTTGTGCCCACACCACGTTGGGTGAACCCGTTGGTGTAGCCGGGTTTGGTTTTGGCCGGCTCTCTTTGCCAGCTCAGCTTTTCTCTGTGTCTCCTCAACTTGGTAACAGATTCTCCTACTGTTTAGTTTCTCATTCTTTCAATCCTGACAAAGTTAGGCGGCCAAGTCCGCTGATTCTTGGTCGGAACGAGGAAAAAGAAAAGCAGTTTGGTAATGAAAATATTGAGTTTGTGTACACAGACATGCTTTCCAATCCTAAACATCCTTACTTTTATTCCGTTGGGTTGGAGGGAATCTCTGTCGGGAAAAAGAATATTCCGGCGCAGGAGAATTTGAAGAGGGTTGATAGGAAAGGGAGTGGAGGGATGGTGGTGGATTCAGGGACAACTTTTACGATGTTACCAGCGAGTTTGTATGACTCAGTGGTTACTGAGTTCGATCACCGAGTTGGACGACTTCATGAGCGGGCAAGCGAAGTAGAAGACACAACAGGAATGAGTCCATGTTATTACTATGGCAAGGTAGCCAAAGTTCCTTTGATCAGTTTGCATTTTGCGGGAAACGGATCCAGTGTGGTGTTGCCTAGGAGGAATTACTTTTATGAGTTTTTGGATGGTGGTGACGGGGTTAGGAAGAAGAGGAACGTGGGGTGTTTAATGTTGATGAACGGTGGTGATGAGGAGGAGTTGATTGGTGGGCCAGGGGCTACTCTTGGGAATTATCAGCAGCAAGGGTTTGAGGTGGTTTATGATTTGGAGAAAAGGAAGGTTGGGTTTGCAAGAAGAAAGTGTTCTTCTTTGTGGGATAGCTTGAAAAATTAAGTTTGATTTTGGGTACAAATTAAATTTCTAGGCTTTTATTTCATGAAATTATTGGGTTTTCTTTTCTTTAACTTTTGTAGGTTTCATTATCTGCACTTCAATCTTAGCTCTATGGACTCTACCAGTCTTGTATATTTAAAATGTTAATGTAAATTTTGTGTATATTGGAAATTTAAAATAAAAATGTGTTGATCAATGAATAAGAGTTTTTGATGAGATTAAAAATAATAATTATTATAATTATGATTTAAAAAAATTATAAAATTTTTATGTTAAATAAATTATTAAAATTAATATTTAATTATGATGAATTTAATAGCATCATACTGAAAATAATACCGTCATACTGAAAATACCGTGTATTCCAAACTGCCACTAAATCTGTAAACTGATCAGACACCACAGGAAAGTTGCCTGAATCTGCCGAAATATGCTGCCTAAATCCACACATTCCTGCACTCGTTGAAATTGTTTTGAGCTGAGAATTGGTGGGTGAAAAGTGTCAAATCACTGATAAGTTCAATTAAAAAAAAATTTTAAATAATTTTTTATTTGAATTATTTTAAATTATATTTTATTTTAATTTAAAAATTAAATAATTTATTTATTCTTAAATTTTTTAATAAAAAAAAAGTCAAATCCATTTGGTTACTATTTGAGCTTTGGCTGGAAGATCTATCAAGAAGGAAGTGATCCATATCATAGTACATTGGTACCCCCTGAAAAATTTTTAAAATATGGCTGGGGACGCCATAAATACTTCAATGAAGATGTTTTAATTTTTATTGGTTAGATTTCTCTGGAAGGGGCTTGAGATTTTTTTTTTTCCCATATTCAGCTGCTGGTCCTCACTGTGATTTAAATTTGATTGTTAAATTCGGGCCTTCGAATTGAATCAAGTGGACCATATATCGATCCTTATCCAAACCGCAGCTTCAAGAAAAGATTGCCCTTCTCCTCGAGAGATCTGAAGGGCAAGGGCAGTTCAACACAGAGTTGCACGGATATCATGGCAGATGATTTATCTGGTTTTGGTGCTTTTTTATTTAAGTTTTATTTAGATAAATTTTAATTTTGATAATATTAAAAATAATAATTAAAATTAATAAAAATTTTATTATAATTAATATTTAAATTTAATTATACCGTACGCCCACCTGAATCCAAACTTTTTTTGGCTCTCAGTGTCTTAAATTTTAAGACAGAATCACAATTATTGCATGGCAATTAGTTCCGGATAAGTATGTCCAATTGGATGCCTTGGGCTGAGATGAGTGCGCACCCCAAAGTCTGGGGATGCGGACCAGAGGACTGGGTCAACTTAGTCATGCAAACCAGCTGTCCGGCTGTCCCCCACTGAACCCTCACTTCGTGATTCAAGCAGAACAACTCAGCTTCTTCTTGTAAGACCCCATCCTTCTTCCATTTTACTCTGTCCAACCAAGCTTCAAAGCTAAGCCACACTTTATTCCCCATATCATAAATATAATTGTTAGAAGTTGAGTTTTTTTTATGATAAACCCTCAATTTAATAAGACTTTGCTAAACATTTTTTCAAAAAACAAATGCATATGTTTAATAAATTAAAAAAAGTTCAATTTTTTCTTATCCCAAATGATAGATTGATAGGAGAAATACCTATTATAATTTAAGACAAACCTCAAAAAAATAATGTGTATTTCTAATTTATTATTACTTATTGGTTTTAAAGCTTGTGATTACTAAGTACGGCGATGTGGGTAGCTTTTGCGTATTTTGACTTGCTGAGTGATTGCCATCGCTTTTGTTTAAACGTGGCAAAATAAATAGCGACGCCGCCGCGAAACTTTTGTTGGGACAATGACGTCAATTTGACATTGATTCTCGATTTCCGACGACTTGAAAGTGTGCCTGAGAGTGCGGACAAAGACACAGCGAGCTTTCGCCGCACGTGTGCTTATAGTGTCTTTTCTATGGGCCCATTATTCCCAGTGTGGGCCTCCACACTGTTAAAGTTCTCCGCTTTCTGACAGCTCAATCGTGAGCAAGATGTTGCGTGCATGACAATGACACCATGCCGAAAATGCTCATACTCATTAAATATATATTATTTTTTATAAAATTGTCAGAATTTTTGTTTTGTAATTTAAAATTTGAACTATCAGATACTGGTTTTTTGTCGAAGTAGTTTGTCTTCGAAGGTGAAAACAAGGAAAATAGAGATGGGAAAAAATGCCAATAGGAATGGGAGGAACAACCCAAATCCTTAGTGAGAATATCATGTTTGGCTGTCCTGTGTTTGTGATTGTGATCTTTTTACCTTTTAAAAATCAAGAAAATGCGGAAAAAATTAAAGATGATAATAAATAATAAATAAATAAATATTTATTTTATTTATATCATATTTGGATAATTATAAATAAATAATTAAAAAATTTAAATAAAATATTTATTATTCATAATAGATTCAAAATAAATATAAATAACATTTTTTAATATTTAATATTTAAATTCGGTTAAATTTTAATAAATAACAATGAATATTTGAATTTGTAAACCTGTTTTTACTTGTAAAATATTTTGGATATTAAAAAATAAATTTTTTAAGAATAAATTTAAATTTTAAATTAAATTATTATTTATTTTATATTTTGATAAAAAAATTAAATAAATAGATATTTTAACAAATTTAAATATTTAAACGGATAATATTTATTAAAATGGATTAAATTTAGATTATGATATTAAATTTTAACAAATATTTAAATAAAATCAAATATTATAAATATTAAATAAATTTAAATGTAAATATCTAAAAAACAATAGATATTTACTTCCCATTCCCAGAGAAGATGCATGTAACTCATTCTAAAAAGCATTGACTTGGATTCATTAGCTTTTGTCATTTACAATGTAATTCGGAGGGTTATATGAGCTTAAAGGCAATCCCGGAACTGACCCAAATTCAGTGGAATTGGCCAAAACTTGGGCTGAGATTTGGGCTAAGCCCCTTTCCTCACTTCTACTACTGTGCTTCGGCAAGCTATTTCATTCACGAATTTCCTCCATTCAAGACTTCTGTTTCTGGGTGTTTTCCCGCTTTGAGAGGAAACTAAAGATGCCAAAGAATTATGTACCGCAAAAAAAAAAAAAAAAGATACCAAGGAATCAGATGTGAAAAACATGGAATCACTTGCTTTTGGGTTAATTCGCAAATATTAGTACACAAAGTATCAGATTCCATTTCTCAACATTATTCGTTTCACTTATAATTTTTCCAATTCACTCTTCTTTTTTAGGTGACTCCGTTTTTCAATTTTACTATCTTTCTTCTGCTGACTCTCATCCCTTTTTCTTTTCACTTGGAATATTTGCTGTATGGAACAACTTTGTATAATGCTGTTTGTTTCTTTTCATTTTCTTAAATGGGTTTGAAATCTTGGTCATTACTTTTGGTATTGTTTTTAATTATATCCTCAAATAAATTTTGAACAGGAAATAATTTCAACTCTTTTAACTCCTTCCAGAGTTTCACATTAGTGGAACTCAAAGAAACATCTTTTTTTTTTTTTTCTGTACTTTTTGAACAAATCTATCAAAAAACTCATGTAACTTCAAATGTAAATATTCAGTTTTTGTGTTAATTAGTTAAAGACTTCAAGTTCTTGTGAGTAAAGAATAGAGTAGAGGTAGTTTTGTGACACCTGCAAAGAAAGAGAATGTGGAGCATTGATCATTGTTCAATCACATGTTGTAATTGCAGCAGGTGAAAGATAGGTTTTTTTTTTTTATTTGTTTATATATTTTTTTTGAGTTGAATCGACTGTCAATTAGAGTGCATATGCATAAATCAAATGAGAAATATAGGGAAATATTTATAGACAAAGGTGGTGGAGAAAGTGAGGACTCTCCCAATAAAGATACATACCAGTTTCCGAAGGGGATGAATAAGCCTACCCATCCACCAATTGAGGCCCATTTCCTCCTTCCTCCTCAAGGAGAGAGACCAGTTTCTTCAACAAGTTCATCAGGCCTTAAGTCCGTGCTATCATATCCACTCAAGGTTCGTGATTCGTTGAAAAGACTTGGAAAGAGCAAAAGCATGGAACTAATTCTTGAAGGAACTCATGATCCAAAAGATGAACAAATTGTTCAGACTTTCCGGGAATTACTTTTCCTTGAGGATCAGTTACCGGTAAAGCACAATGACTATCATACACTTTTACGGTAAGTTCATGACTATGTTATTATTAATAGAACAATGCATATGAATGTCTTTTAAATATCTCTGTCCTTTTATTATTACCGGGTTTTCCTTGTGGTTTTAGGTTTCTAAGAATGAGAGACTTTGATCCGTCAAAAGCAAAAGAAATGTTTCTGAATTATCTTCAGTGGCGCAAGGACTATAGAGTTGATGCAATCCAAAAGGCAAGTTAAATATTGATAAAGCAAAGGACCACCGGGGTTGCTTGCTGTCTCCGGTTGCATCAGATCATCCGTTTTTCATTCTTTTTCCTTGTTTTGCTGTGTCTGCCCGTGTGTCTGTTTCTCCACAAATCGCATTAATTTCGGACTACTTCTCATACTTTTATGCACAACAGAACATATTATTACACACTTTATTTTAAGTTCTATTTAAATTAAATCTTGCCGATTAAAGCCCTGTCTAATGCTTAATATTCTCCTTGTCCTGTCGTGTAAATCTTCGCCATCCAGGAGTTTAAGTTTGTTGAGCTTGCAGAGGTGAAGAAATGCTATCCTCATGGATTTCATAGTGTAGATCGAAGTGGTAGACCAGTATACATTGAAAGGGTTGGGATGGTAGATCTGAATGCGTTACTACAAGTAACTAGCACAGACAGATTTGTTAAGTATCATGTATCAGAACAAGAGAAAACATTAAATTTGAGATTTCCAGCATGCTCAATTGCAGCCAAGAGGCATATAGCATCCACCACAAGTATCTTAGATGTGAAGGGAGTTGTAAGCATCTCTTTTATTCTTTCCCCCTTTTGTGTATATGTGAAGCGAGAGCCATGAAAACCTTTATATGCTTTTCTTGCTGAAGAGTTTTACTTGTCTATAATCTTGTGATCAATAAGTATTGCATCATAGTATGATAAGCACGAGTCGAGATGGATGGCTTTTACTCACAATATAGCCTATTTACATTGACCATATATGGATGACTATGTTGGACAATTCATAATTGATAATTGATCCGAATTGAGCTATGATTTAATATTTGGTTGGCTCAAAAGGTAAACCTGCCTTGTGGGATATTACATAATTGTTGACTTTTTAATAGTGAGTTCTAAATTTATTTGAACGTTGTGTCTGCCAAGGGAATGTCTAATTTCTCAAAGCCTGCACGATATCTCTTCATGGAAATTCAGAAGATTGATAGCAATTACTACCCAGAGGTCAGTGCAAATTCCATTTTATTTTCATTATTTTTGATTGATAGACTAGGAACAAGAAGATAGTGGGAATGGTTAACTTGTGAAGCCAGGTTCCAAGTAACCATATGTTGACACGTTAGCCAAAGGGTTGGGTCAGGATGCATGCTGCTCATAACTAATTTTTAGGCATTATTAATGATGACCATCGTTAGAGAAAGAGGATACAGTAGGAAATTTCAGCGCCAGAACATTGTTTGAGGCAATTAGTCCTGGTCCTTTTTACCTTTCACTCAGAAGGAAAAAGTAGGCAAATCTTTAGTTCATGTGCTTTCTTTGCAATAGAAATTTTGTTCAGGATGCAGACACGACTTATGCTTCCGATTATACACATGAATAAGTCATAGCTCAGGATTTGTTAGGTTATGTGCACTAACATAAGTTGGGTAATTTTGGCCAAGGACTTGCAGACTCTGAATCGACTCTTCATTATCAATGCTGGATCTGGGTTCCGGGTGCTGTGGAAGGTACTCAAGGCCTTTATGGATGCAAGAACCTTGGCAAAAATTCATGTAAGGACTCTAGCAGTCAATTTCCTTTCTTGTGTATGATGGCATTAAATTAATATATTTACGCGATTTCCTTCTCAAACAAGGGAAATGTTTACTTTGGGAAAGTGACATTGATGTTTCAGGTGCTGGGATCTAACTATCTTGGTAACCTAATTGAAGTTATTGATCCTAGGTAATTTGTCATTCTTATGTCTATATATTCATGAAGAAGTGTTGGCAGTTTACGTGTGTATACATATATATAAATATTTATTTATTTATTTATGCTTATGAGCCACTAAATATGACTTTCATTCAATTCACAGTAATTTGCCGGCATTTCTGGGTGGAAACTGTACATGTGCTGACTATGGAGGTTGCTTGTTAAGTGATAAAGGACCATGGAATAATCCAGAAATTACAGAGATGCTGCAGGTCAATTCCTACTTAGTAGACAGACTATTCCTGGTTAATTTCTGGCTTGTAGAGATAAATATGAACATGATTTCACTCATTAACTACTATGTCATCCTTAATTTTTCATTTATTTCGTTACAGGCAATTTCTGCAACAGAAGAGGCCAATAATGAAGGAAACAGTGACCTAGCTTCAGGAGATGCTTTGTTGCATGATGTGGTAGGCATCCTTAATCTCTATGCTTGAACCTCATTGGTGATACTCCTGTGTTTCATGGTGTATGTGTTGAAGATGTTTATTATTTATCTTTAATAATATGGATGGTGTCTAGTGTCAAAAAGATATCTGTTCCTGGTATACACAATCTTTTCCACGATGTCTAGTGCGAGGATCATTGGCCTGATAGAACGTATCATGTATAAACGTTAATGCTAACTCTAATTAATCAATGTCTTCCATAATGCTGCTTGACATCTTAAAACCTTTGACCTGTAAGCTTTTTGAAACCTTGAGAAAGATATGGTCACTAATTAAATGCTTTTTATAAGCACAGTTCAAGCTTGTTATTAATTTCTGAGCTTCTGCTTGCTCTAGTATGAAAAATTATGAACTGAGATAGGTTTCAACCTATCATGTTTCTTTTTGCACTATAGGAGACACTCAATTTTAATTTAGTGCGTTTTGGTTGCAATAAGTAGCATGAAGCCAGTTCTATTCCTTGGTTGTTTCCGTTTTCTATTGCGTAACATTGCAAATAGCAGAGGATTGAAGGTCATTGACTCAACACTACAGCCCCCTTCCCTTCTTTCTTGTTCCTTTTTATGTAGTCACTTGATCAAGGCTTAATTTGACTCAAAACAGGATTATGGTGAAAAAAAAGAAGACTTGAAATATGGGGAAAGGGCAATGAGTGATAGGCTTGCACCTCAAAAAATCATAGCACTTGAAGCTGCACTTGCAGACACCAATAAAGTAAGTACAATTGCAACTCTCATCTCTGAGACAACAGATAAAATTCAATGCAATTATTTTGATGATCTTCATGGGACAGAAAATTGATGCATTGGAAGTGGCACTTGAGGACACCAAGATGGTGAGCCTCAAAAAAGTTTAATGCTCCCTCGTGGCTGGCATTCTAAATCAAATCATTTTATTATTACTCTTTTCTCTGTTTTTCCTTAACAGGTCCTGAAAGGGCTTGCACAGCATATTAAAGATCTGAGGGTTTGAACTTGCTGACAAGTATGTCTAAGCTGAAATTAGTTAATAATGTTTTTTCTTTGTTTTTCACTGGAAATTCCCTTGAATAATGATGCATCTGGGTTTTATTGCAGAATTGATGTTTAAAGAATAAAGGTACATGATAAAGGTTCATGTGCTCTCCAACAAATTTGGTTGCCAGAAAGCATGTTCCACTCTCTCTATTGGCAATTAAATGTTCGCCAAATCCTTTTTTGAACTTGATAAATACGACCTGAAGTGTTTTTGTTGTTGTTTTCTTCTTCACCGTCCTTTTTTGTACTTGATAAATGTGATTCTGTCATTTATGATATCTCATTCTCTGTTTCACCTTCTTGTTATTGTTTGCCCAGGTGCCCTGGAAGCAGATGATATGCATTTCAACTTGAGAAGCAAACTATCATTTTAGAGGTTCTCTTTTGTGTTCAGACTAACCTGGTGGTTCTTCCCTTGGTGCTTCAGTTCTTGAGCACTGGTCAAGTGGGACCTCAAGGCCACCATATATGATCTATACTGGTTGATTATGAGAACATATAACTGTATCAATGTGGTCTGGAACTCTGGATCCAAAGCTACAAAACTCATTGTGCACATTTCAAACTCTGTGCAACTGTTTCTTTAGAACGCCATTGTTTTGATTGTTGAACTTAAGAGCTGTGGTGCAATAGTAACTGCCAGGAAGGTAAACATGTCTCTTGTTTCATAAGTCATGAAGCAGATTACATTTTCCTTTTCAAATTCTCCCCATTTTCAGGGCCATTACAATGTCATTATCCTGCCATTAATCTAGCACGAGTCTGCCAAAGTAAAACACTGTGATGGTTGGAATCATTGCCTTCCAAACAAGAGGCAGTGACTTGAAAAATCCAACAATTGAACTCTGTTACTATGACCATATTTGACAAAGCAAGTCAGTCATCTATTATTGAATTCAATCTAAAAATGCTTAACCTGTATATAAAAAGTAAAAAAGGAAAAAAAAAAAAAAACCAAAACCTTATCCTGGGAAGATCGGGGGGATAGGGATGATAATGAAGATGTGATAGAGATTGACTGGGAAAAATGCAAATTATGCAAATAAGAGACAATTGAAGAGGGGCTTATCTTGCCTCTGGGACCTAGATGTTGTAAAGAGAGTAGTAGCCTTTTAAAGGCCATCCTCAGGAATCTTTAGCCCAACTACTTCAATGATGCTCATAGAAGCACCCACAAACCAGCAATCACCAATCACCAATCACCTTCATTCTATCTCCTACTAAGATTTTATTATTTGGTCTATCCGAATCTTGGATGGATAGGTCATTGAAGCACAGAATTATTAAATTTTCAAGCCAACTTTTTGCTAATTTCCTATTGTTTTTCTTATAAAAAGTTTGTATTTTCCAACTTTATGCAGACCTAAAAGCTTTTAGCCTTACTCCATTGAATCCCACCTAAGTTTCCTTGCCACAAAGCAAATTGCCTAACTCTTAAGATTTCCATCAGGCCATGGAAAATGACTTTAGTGGCTATGAATTTTGCAAATCTAAAATGGCTTACCAAAGTTTTAATTTTGTAAAAGCTGCAAAAATTGGCAGACGATGACATTCTTTTGCACCTCTTAACAAGTTTTTTTTTTTTTTTTTGTTACTGAGAAAAAATTAAACAAATTACTTCAATTTCATATGTGTTATGTAAGATTTAAAATTTTTTTAATATATAAAAATGTTTAAAAAAAGACAAAAATATAATTTTAACCTTAATCATTTTAAAGAAAATAAAAAAATCACAAGAAAAAATTATGGGCATCTAAAGATTTATGGTACATATTAGAAAGCTGGTGAAAGTTTCAAATGCCAAATAAATTTAGATAATGTATTTAGATTTATTTTTATTTTTTCATGCTTTTACATAATTCATACATCACAAAAACACTTTTAAAACAATTACAATTAATTACTAGTACTAACCATGATTTATCTGAATTGAACTACACATATCTGAATCTCATTTCAAATAATTCAATCATTGAGTCATTCAAATTAATATTGGATTAATACAAATATTTTAAAATATTAAAAATAAAATTATACTTGATACAAATATTTTTCTTAATTATATAAACTAAAATTAATGATAAAGGAATTAGAAAATTCATTATAATTTAGAAAATAAAAAAGCTAATCTTACAATTTTTTATTTTGTTTTAATTTTTTAAAGGCCGATTCCAAAATTAGGAGAGAGATTTGGGAAAGAGATCAGATTCCTTTTCCTATTCCTTTCCATTCTTCTTCGACGCAATGTTCAGTATTCTCTCTCTCTCTCTCTCTCTCTCTCTCTCTCTCTCTCTCTCTCTCTTTGTTTGGAAAAGAACAAAAACATACTAATATTTCAACTGCTCAGAAAAAGACGCCAAACGCCGTCGTTTTAATTTTTGTTTTCCCTCTCGATCTCTCCGCCCAAATCTTTTTTTTTTTTTTTTTTAAAATAAGCCAAACAGATAATTTCTGTTTCCTCCTTCCTTCCGATCCTTTCCGAAGCGATTCCTTGATTAAAAGCCATTGCTTCGAAATGAGCACGGGTGACCTTCTCAGCATCGATCCTTTAGAGCTCAAGTTTCCTTGTAAGTTCTTCTTTTTTGGATCTGTGGTTTCTGTTTTTTCTAGGGTTTTAATGTTTTATTTTTTATTTTTTTTTGTTGTTTTGGTACCGAATAGTTGAGCTGAGGAAGCAGATCTCGTGTTCTCTTCAATTGTCGAATAAAACTGATAATTATGTAGCTTTCAAGGTATTCTTCATCGACGTCGACTTTCCCCCTTCAATGTTGTTGTTTGGCTGCTGAGTAAAATCAGGAATAAAGAATTAACAAAGATTCTGAACCTGAAAAGAAATCAATACCTTATTTGGATTATAATTGTAGATTTCCTTCGAGTTAATTGATTTTGCTTTCAGGTGAAAACAACAAATCCCAAGAAGTACTGTGTTCGTCCCAACACGGGGATCGTCTTGCCTCGATCTACATGCGATGTGATAGGTACATTGAATCAATTATAATTCTGCCAGATGGTTTGCGGTTTCTATCTTTATCATTATTGGCTTCTGGATTTAACTTGTAAAAGAATCTTTGGTTTGGATTTAGTTACCATGCAAGCGCAAAAAGAGGCTCCTCCTGATTTGCAATGCAGGGACAAATTCCTCCTTCAAAGTGTAAAAGCAAATGATGGTGCATCCCCAAAAGACATAACTGCGGAAATGGTATCTAACTATTTATATTACACGGTATTGTTTACTGCTTTAAGGGTTAGGATGTACATTTTATGATTTATCATGGGAATCTTCATTTTCTAGTTCAACAAAGAAGCTGGGCATGTGGTTGAGGAGTGCAAGTTGAGAGTGGTTTATGTTTCTCCACCTCAACTACCTTCACCTGTGCATGAAGGATCAGAAGAAGGGTCTTCACCAAGAGGCTCTGTTTCAGACAACGGGCATGCAAATGCTGCTGAGTTTACTAATGTAATGAGATCTTGCTGCATATGTTGTTGTTATTGCTTCTCTTGTTGTATTTACTTTATTTTTTTAGAATGCTAATAGTATGCATTTTGTTGCTGAATGTAGGCTGCAAGAGCATTCACTGAACAGCTTGAAGCTCAAGATAAATCTTCTGAGGTAAAATCTGAATTCTGTATCTTCTGTGTCTCTGTGTGCTGCTTCATATGCATGATTTATTTTTATTTATCTTGATAGTAGTTATTTATTTTGGTATTCTGGATATGGTAAAGTCCATAATTTCTTGTCAGATATCTGCATTCCGGGAAAAACTGGTAAGAGGGTGGTTTAGAATCAAATTCGTTTCTAATTGTTTAGACCAAAATGTATTGAGCGAGTTTAAAGCTGTAATTCAGTTGGCTGTACTGGGGCGAAATCAAGCAGTTGCATCTTTTTGGTTGAATCAGGGTGCCGTCTAAGATATATTTATAGATATATATATATATATATAAATATATATTTATAATAGAGTCTGCTACATTTACAATTAGGAATAACTTATATTAAGTTCACTAATTGCACAATGATTACAAGAGTTGACCACATGAATAGGGAGATCTATTTTGGAAGAGATGTACCATCAATTTGTCTCTTATTCAAGTTGGGCTCACTAAATGCAGTGTCAATTAAGTTATTTTGCAGCTAGGAGGCACATGCTTTTTCCTTTGAACCCTTCTGGCAAAATTTCCCCTTATGCATGTGCATACATAGCCAGCTTTTGCAGCATTGGGCCTGAATCTCTTTTTTTTTTTTTTTTTTTCTTGTTAATTGACATATCTTGTATGTAACGTTGATACAGTGCAAGTATAATAAGCCTCAATATTCAATAATACTTTCTATAATTGCAGGCAAGAGTTCTTATAGCAAAGCTGACTAATGAAAAAAATCATGCAATTCAACAAAATAACAAGCTTCGCCAAGACCTGGTGAGTGGAATAGGACCGTGACTATATCATATGTATTATAGTGATTATTGTGATTAATGCGTAGAGTAGCATTACCTGTTCTATCCTTCCTTATTTCCTTCACAACTGATGTTCGAATATAAACAACAAAGCTCTTAGGATTTTGCTGAAAAAGTTATTCTGATCCTTTCTATACTTCCCCTGCATTTTTCTTTCATTGTGAACGACCAAGACAGTAAATTCATTGACCCTTTATCTGTGTTTTATCATCTCTTGATAATTGCTTCTAGTTATTGAAATTTTTTAGTTGACATTGATTCTTTTCATTATTTTCCTCTTAGTAGTGTACAAATCTGTTTTCCTTCTACATCTGAGACCTCAGCATGATCCCTACTCTTCCTTATTTCTTAAACAGATGTCATCTTGTTTATAGCTGCTTATGATATGCAATTGAAAACTTCTATCACTGATAGACTTGTGCTTTTGATTTACTTGTCTTCCTCCCTTTTTATTACGTTCTCTTGATCTCTGAGCCATGGAAACTTCTTACATATAATAAATTACAAATGTTTAGGAACTCTTGAGGCGCGAAGGAAGCAAAAGTGGTGGTGGTGTGTCATTCTTGTTTGTCATCTTTATCGGCTTGCTTGGCATAATTATGGGATATATCATGAAGATATCATAAGCGCCTTTCAAGTAGGCTCATCTGACTATTTTTCCTCTACTTCATCTGAGAGAAAAATGATGAAAAGGGAAGAACAATAGATGGTCTTGGTCTGGTGCTTCTGTTAGTTGTTAGCCTTGTGGAATTAGCAAAACTTGTTACGAGTAGATCTTATTGTTCTTAATTTGGTAGCCGCACTTCCATTAACATGCATTCTTTCTGTAACTTGAAAACAGAGTGAATTTATCATCTTCTTTCTTCCCTTTCTTCTGCCCAGCTTTCTTTTGTGGTTCAATTTGATAGTTTCTAAGAATGGTAATACCAGAAACTGTTAATGATCCTACACACATTTAAGTTCGACTTATTGTTACATTAAAAAAAAAAAATGTTTTTCTTGATACATATTGTTCTCAATAAAAAAAAGGATGTAATTAAGTGGACAGATTTCTCCAACATTATACAACAAATAAATTCCTAAACAAATTCTAGAAGAAATGTCATTGCTTGAAACGTAAATCCTCATACAAAACACTATCAAAACAAAAAAATCTGATAAGAAAGAGCTATGTCCTTCGGTGTTTTAGAAGAGATGGAATCATCTATTGCTTTAAGAGGAGTCCCTGTCTCCACTCTACTTTCGAAGCTGGTCAATCTTTCACTAGTACGTTAACGTTTCAGTGGCTGCTCCCTCTGTGTATCGCTCCTTCAACACTAACACTCAGGTCCTGTGAGATACTAAAGTGACAAGATCAAATCTGTGGTCAACAATGGTTTGCTTAGGATTGCAGCGCATAAGATCAAGCTTGTTTAAGAAGAGGAGATGAGGGTTCTCAACTTTGGTAAAAATGTGACTTATTATACGGTGGATGTGGAGTTTGAACGAGGGGTTTCTAGTGATTCTGGCCTTTTGGGTCTCTTTTTTTCTTTTTTTGTCTTTATTATGTTTTTGAATTTCATGTTTTAAGGTCTCATGGAACATCATGTATTGGATCTTTAGCTTTGGTTTCCAGGGGCAACTTGGTTGATTTTACTTTGCTTGATCTACCTCATCTACTCGTGTTTTTCCTTTTGGATTTCAAGCCTATGTCCTTCTCTCTTCTATGGAAATTCCTAATGGTATTAGGGTTTAGGGAAGCAATATTTGATACTGCCATGGATGAGACAGGGTTTTGAGATCAGTGTTGCTGAGGAATGTTATTCCTTTTGTTCCTCTGTTCATCACTCTGCTTCACTTCACCGTAAATAATCATTCAAGAAACTGTAGTATGATCGGGGTACAGTTCATATGTTATCCCACGCATGAATTAAAACATTTGGGTTTTGAATCTCCTGCCCTGGCAATCGGAGCAACCATGTTCTTAGAGGGTTTTCATTTATAAAGAAAAAGGAAAATATCTGAAATCTAAACCAACTGGCTGGGATAAAATTGGAGTAAGATCGATGCAAAGGAATTACAGCATCTTGATCATACAAACAATGTTTAGTCTCCAATCAATTACAATAACATGATACAATTTTGTCCTGGCAATGCTCAATCAGCTTCTAGTTGTTTCTTGAAACAAATTGGGCTCAAACACTTGAACACTTCAAGTGGATGCCAATCCTTTCTCTTTTCACTCTCAGAAAGATCATCTTTCACATTCCAATGAAACCCTAAATCTGCCTTAACAATAACTTTTTTATTGCTTACATCCACTATGTATTCTCTCAATCCTGCAAGTTCAGAGGTGAGAAAAAAAATTAATATTATCTATTTTTTCCCTGCATAAAAAATCAAAATTAAAGAAGTTTGAAGGTCTGGTAGTTTATCCATTTTTAACACACATAAGCTTTGGATTTAAAATAAAATTTAGTTGCAAAAGTTTTAAGATAGCCTATGATGTGGGGTTTAGTTTACCATCAAAGTTCCTACCTTTCATTTTAGACACAACTTGGGAGACTTTCTTTCGACATTGAGCGCAGCCCATGTTTGCAGTCATCACTATGATCTGAAACTGAAGATTAAGGAATGTGATATCTGAATAATGGAATCAAAGTGAACTTCATTTGTCTGTACACGTTTTGGAATTTCGGCCATTCCCATATGAAATTAGCCTTTGATATGAAAATTCAGTTTAAAAACATCACAATCATGGATGAAGCATCAAAAGGAGAGGTTGCAGAAATCTGCCTAGATTAATCATAATCAAATCAAGAAAAGCAAAAGTAGAGAGACAAGCTAAAGCAAGATAACAATGATGCAGAATCGAGAAACTAAAATTATATATGAAGAATGATGAAGCAAGCGAGAAACCCATGGCTACGAACTTGATATAAAGAAAGGGACCCAGAAAACATACCGAAGGGAGTGCCAGATCCTCGAAATGTAAGAGAGTGTTCTTATTTGATGAAACCATTCATATCAATACTCTGCTCTGCTTCTTTAAATTGATTATGATGTGCTTCCTCTTTACCAGTGGCCCTCCAAATGAACTCTCTTCTCTACTCTACCAAATTTCTTGTAATTTTTATGACATCTATTTATCTTCAAACAATCAACCCTTGAGAAGAAGAAAATGATGTATGAACTACAATAAAAATGTGAAGTCGGTATTAAGAAAATGAGTTCAACTTCAGCACCGTCAGCATAATGACATTGGATAATATTTCCAGGCACTCTTCCTCGTGAAAGTTTAACCACCCTAAAATTCCACTTTGAAATTCTTGGAAGGAGCATATTGGTTTGGCATGTTATGGCCACCAAACTTGTGTGATTGTGGTCTTCATGTTCCATAAATTAGTATATAATTACCATTAACGTTAAAATCTTTGTTTTTCTATGACAGATAAGATTAAACTCAAGTCTACATTAGATAAATTTATTATTGATCTAAATGAACAGCGAGAAAGCTAAAAAGGGGAATGGACAAAATGATACTTTAATCTATTTTGAAAGTAAACAGAATAATACTGTGGAGGAATTCTGAAAGCTTCCTGTAGTGGATGACTTCATCTTCAGGCATTTCACTGAGGAAATAGACATTTAGAGTTGAATTTTGTTATTGGATCTGGTCAGTGTTGAGAGGGCTTTTTCAACTAACTTCAGCGTGTAATTTTGGCAAATACACCTAAAGATATGTTATAATTTACACATTCCTGCAATCTACTTGGAACAAAGTCAAAAGAGACGCACATTTATCATATATACAATCATGTACAAAGTTATACCTAATTTTTGAATTAAAATCTACAGATGATAATAAAATCCACAAGTAAAATCTCAAAACGAGTTTCAATTTCTTTCTTTTTTTTTTTTGTTAAACATAAAATCATGGCTTTAAGTGTTAACAATCCACAATTTTATGCAATTCAAATACAGTTGTTATGTTTATGTCAATGATAAAATAAATTTGGTTCGTTGGCCGCCCAAGGATGTCTTCACCTTTTTCTTTTAGTTTCGTTAGACAATTAGGACTTGGATATGTTAAAAAACAAAATTGTTACGTAGGAATGCAGTACAAGTACATTATAGAAATTGCAGAGGCTAATAATAAAAATCAAATAATGCGTAAGGAGGATAAGATGAAGGTTAAGAGAGATTGGTATAAGCCTATTGAGAGGGGAGAGCTCATTGATTTGCCTGGATATGGGCGGAATCAAGGATTAAACAATGATTGAAGATCAATTCTACCAATGATAACTATGAAAGAATAAACCTGCTTCTACAGGTTTTCGAAGCATGCTGTGATTAAAGCGGATGGAAACATCAAATCATTGGGGTCAGAAGGATGGATGTTGCCAACAATTGACAACCACCACATCAAGCCACATTATTTCAACATCCAAGTTAGTAATTTGACGAATAAAATGATAAATTTTCGCATATAAGAATCGAAATTACCTCTTACAAAATATTTTGTGATATTAAATATTGAAAAAATTCAAAATTCAATGCTGCTCTTACAAATATCAAAAGGATTCTTAGCCCCATAAATTCATATTTACAAACATTAAACTACTAAGCTTTACCTTCTACTGCAAGCTCACCTCCTGAAAAACTTTCTATATATTCTTCATAGCCCTACCTGTTTTGCTCTTCTCCATTAACAATGCTCGTTCTCTCTCCTTCTCCCGCATATCCCTCTTCAAACGTTCATCCCTCAACTCTTCTATTATCTTCTTCCTAGTTTTCCTTCTCTCGTACAGCTGCTACACTCTTTCTGACCCATAATTTCCACTCCTCTTCGACATCAACACTCCGCGTCTCCAGGTACCACGGCAACTTAACTCCCTTTCCAGCAATCCCATAACCCAACCTATACTTGTCATCCTCTGGCGCCACAACCATGGGTGCCACTTCCTCTCTCTTCAATTTCTTCCTCTTGAACCCATCTTTCTCAGCAGCTCCTTCCTTCTCCAAACCTTCAATGGGGTCAAAAATCTTAATCCCTTCAAAGAGATTAAAATGACCAGATTTGGGTTCCAATTCAACAACCTCCACAGGCTCAGTAACAGGCTCTGAACCTCCAGCTTTATTTAATGGAGCGAAGAGACGAGCAGCCCGAAGCCTGTCAAGATGGAACTAATCATCCCTTTTTCTCGCCTGTTCACGCTTTAGCTGCTCTTCTTTTGCAGCGGCTTCTTCATCTTTCTGGACTTTCTCTCTGTTCTCGTAGTTATAAACATTCCAACGTTTCTGGGGCAAATTATTTAACTCTCCATGACCTCCCATAGCTACTCAATTCTAAATTTCACCTGAAATCATCAGTGTACAATTTAGTAGGCTATTTAAAAATTGAAATTTAGGGTCACCATCAAGCTATTGTCGACTACACCTAATTGAGAAAGGTTTAAAATTGATAAGAACTGGAATTTCAGATTAAATGCAATGGGGTTATAAAGCAAATTGAATTTCAATAGCAATAGAAATCAGATTGTAAATCAGGGATTTAAAATTATTTTTTTGGGGCAACAATTATACCCAATTCTTGTCTGGCTCTAATAATTCCACAAAGATTCAAATACCGAACAAAGAAGAAAATAATGGATCAATAAATTCCAAGAAAATATGAAAAATAGCGTGCTTACCTTGCTTAACGCTAATTTAAATGAGGTCTCCTTGTCCTTGCTTTGCTAACCAAGGAATCCAATTCACAAAAACTGAAAAGTGGAGAAGGGAAGAAAACTAGGATTTGTTTTGGAGGAAAATTCTCCAAGGAAGGACGTTATTATTAGTAGCATAATAATAATAAATAATAATAGAGGTGCACCGGATCAACCTTACTGGAGGCTTTAAAATGAGGGCGCTTTCGTTGTTTCAAAGAGAATACATGAGCTGCTTTGCTGAAGAAGGCCTGGGCAGCCTAAGACTAAGTGAATTGCTTTGAACCGGAAATCGATTCAAAGAAAGTGATAAAGACCTTTTATTTTATGATACTCAAAAGCCTTTAAAGTTGAATCAAACAGATTATGTGCAGTTTTACAGGCAAGTTATCCTAAATTTAAAGGCAATGCCATATCCCATAAATATTGGATCTAGGAAGAAGCTGACAGGAAGTTATTTGCCTTCAACACTCTGTTAGAAAATGAAGTCACTGAGCTGCACGTTTTTCTCTTTCTCTATGTTTTTACTGACTATATATGCTCGGTCTTCCACATCTGCATTTAGGCAGTTCATCCTATGCCTGCAGTGTCAGCACAAAGACGAGCCATAAAGTTGTGTACATAAGAGGAACAACAAAGAATGTCAATGATGTTAGAAAACATACCAAGCAAAGTGATCTTCACAACAAATGGAACCCCAAATGATTGAAAGTCCAGCTCCTTTCCTGCAGTCAGCAATGACGAGCACATTTGATCAGTTACAAAGGACTTTATAATGGGCTATAAAATTTTCATTAAAGAACAATTGAAGTGGTATAGATAATTTACCAGGTTGCAGTATACATATCGTAGAACTTGTCAAAGGCCTTATCGAAGCAGTAGTGGCAAATCAAAAGATCCTTAATGTCAGTCACCTCGCACGTTGACTTACAGCATTTCACCTATTTTGATTACATGTTTTACATTATTGTCATGACAAGCATTCCAAGTGATACAGTATCTAAAGTGCACAGAAAGGAAAAGTAAATTCTCACCAGTCGCTTGAGTTTATGTGAGTAGTACTGTTTATGAGATGGATGGGTACAGATATGTTCATTCAAATGACCTGCACTGTGTTTCAAGATATCCAAGAGGAAAGATCATAAATTTCCCTTTAGTTTTACAAGATGTGAGGAAGACAAACACATAACAATTGAATTTACCAGTGTGAAAAGTGAGAAGATAGAAGTTATATAGCTTACTTGTCACAAATGACAGTGCTGCAATCAAGACATGTGGCTAAGCCTATTGAGCCGCGGCATACATCACAGCTTGCCCTAGATAAGTTTTTGCCTACCTGATGGCATCTGCAGATAGAAGAGAAGCAAAAAGGAGAACTAAGCTCCCTCAGAATGAAAATTATTTTGACTTCAAACACAGCAAGGATCTTCCTTTTTTCGTCATGAAGTAACATAAAGCAAGAAATCAACAACTTCCAACCAAAGAGACTAACAAATGGTGCAAATCTAGCTCATTTAGTCAAATAAAGATTGAAACTCAACAATCCCAGATTAAAATAAAGGCTTTAGATCTATGAGGCTACCATTGAAAACAAAGAATAAGTGTGAACCCTCCCCCCCCCCCCCCCAAAAAAAAAAAAGAACGAATAAATAAATAAAGGAAAAAACAAGTCTTTACCAAATCCTCCATGCAGGAGTCTAGCTGTCATACCCAAAATTGCCATCATTTCAAGAAAAATTAAGAAAACAATATAGAACAATCCCATGCATAATAATTTTTAACTTTAACCATTTTCTTCTTCAAAATACATAATTTCGATAATACATGAAATTGAGTTGTATAAACCTTCTGTACAGTTCAAGAAGATCTCTGGATATGGAAGTAGGCTTGCTCTGCCTCAGGGCCACCTACATATAAAGAACACTTTACTAAGCAGAAACATGTTTTCACAGTACATAAATGTAAAGGACCAAAGTGCTTCCTTTAGCAGAAAATAAGTAATAATAAACCTGCTCAGGTGTGGTGACCAAGCAATCTTCAGCAAGGTGTCCAGGCCTCTTGCATTTCCAACTAAAACCAGAATCATTCATATTAGACTCAACAGTAATCACAACTAAATAGTAGGAAACTACTTTCAAATGACATGGAAACACCTATGATGATATCTCATGCTCAAAGAAAATTCATTTTCAAATGTTATTCAGAAATACAAAGCTTAAAAAAGAAACTGTACCATTTGTAGGTACAAAGACTAGATCCCTTTTTGGACCAGCGATGGTGGTCGTAATCCCAAGTGTCCTCTGAAAGTTCAGGCAATGGATAGATAGATGCAAGTTCAGATGATGGGAGAGATGGATTTCGGTCACTCAAGGATTTCTGGCAACACAACAAATAGTACAGACTTAATATAGTGAAAACAGTAAAAACAGAGACATCCTTTTGTTACTGCAAGAAAGTTGCAAGAGCGTGAGGACCTCAGTTATTTGAAGACTTTGCAAAAGAGCAGATTTGCACTCCATGCTGCAAATATCGTCATCAGTCTACAATAGCAGACACACATAACATACAAAGTTAGGGAGATTCCAGACAGAAATAACTAAGGGTAGGAGGTGGTAAATTTTGAATTACAAAGTTCATTTATCCCACCTTATCACATATATATTCTCCATATCTACCACAAACTACACAAACAGGTTCTCCTGGAAGAGGAAAACGTTGCTCACTTCTTCTTTTAACCTGATCTACTTCATTCACATCACCTACAATAAACATAGTAAAAACAAGTGTAAAGGCCACATCTGCAACTAATATAATTTACAGCTTCATCAACCATAAGCTATCAATAAATGGAAAAAGAAACCTGGGTCATTCTGCATAAACTAGCCACTAATTCTGCCAACCCAATTTTAAATTTTTTAATATTCTAAGCAAAACATTTACGGTTAATTGAAGGAAATACAAAAACAAACCAGAATCTGGAGGATCTGGAGTTTCTTTATCGTCAGAAGAAGCACTTCCATCACCTGAATTTAAGGGAAAATGATATTCGGTAATTGCGCATACATTCAAAGGAAAATATAGAGTTGCAATTCATCAAAGCTTATAAATTGAATGTTAAAATCAATTGTTTATTAACCGAACCAACAATTGAATCTATGTTAATGTAAGATTTTCATTAATATTGGCTTTTGCTATCAAAAGTAACGTGAATTTAACTTACTTCCATAGTCTACCAAATTTACACTCGAATTGGAAGCTTGCTGCAACAAACAGAAAAAGAATTAAGAACTAAAAGAAGATAATTAAAATTCACATAAAATAAAATAAAAAGCAATCGCCAAATTACCAAAATATCCGTACTGAGTTCCTCGTAACCCTGAGTTGAACTAACTTCTCTCCTGCTCAATCAAGAACCGGATATTAAACAAAAATTTAAAGCAATTTCACAATAAACGAAAATTTATTAAAATTTAAAATGTGAAAAATACATTAAAAACTCGCCTTCTTCTTTGAATGTAATCCTGATGAGACATAGGTCCATCGTTGTCTTCAATTTCATGGCTAACGTGAGGCGGTGACAATGGCTTACGCTCTCTCGAGCGTTTCTTGCACGCGCTTTTGTTGTCAACATGAGATTGTTCTTCGACGGGAGGAGGAGCATTTCCGGTGGCGATATTATATGCTGTGAATAGGAGGAAGGAAAGTTAAACCTATTTGGTTGGGAAGAAAAAGGAGAGAAGGAAAAACAAGAAAAGAAAATTCACCTTTTAGGTTTTGAAGAGCAGAGGAGAGACTTAAATCTTTCTTGTAAGAGAGGGAAGGGTTCTTGTAGAAATTTGATCTCGTTCCCATTTTTCTCTCTCGCTCTTTTCCTTTTTTTTTTTTTTTTTCTTTTCTGTTTTGCCAAGGATTGATTATTAGGGAAAGGAGAGCAGCTCAGAGAATTTAAAACGATGCGTTTTACTTGAATGACAGGCAGCATTGAGAAATGAAGCATTGGTCTTGCGACCCACTGGGCCGTATTGCTTTCTCCAAGTAAAAAGTTCAAGAGTAATTGGGCTGGTTAGAGAAAACATGGGGAGATGGGCCCTTCCTGTTTCCAGCACCTGAAGAGAAACCTCGGGGAAAATTATCCCTGGGCCCGTCAGTTAATACCGTGAGCAGAGACTATAATCTTTTTTGTTGATTTTTTCAGTGAATGAATTGGGGTATGAATTCATGTTGCTGGAGTTTAAGATCTATACAATTCCATCAAACAAGGGAAAAACATTACATCATAACAACTTGCCATAATGTGTAATGCCTCAATCTCACATTGAAATAATCTAAAATTTTACTATGAATATATATATATATAAAGATTTAAATTTAAATTTGTGAAATCTTTTGTAGAACAAAATTTTAATTATTTTTATCAAAATGAATAATACTTCATAAGTTAGCTTTTAGATCAAAGTGGAAAATCCTCGTATACAAGTCTTCACGTCATGATTCATTTGGACTGAGATAATAAACACATTTTTCCTATGTTGTTGAAGTACTGTTCCATGGGATGGGGCTGCACTGTTCCTATTTGGAAGGCTGCAATTTCTAAACTGTAGTTGCAGTTTCTATTTCTAGCTTTAATTATCACTATTTCATAAAAAGTACTTTATGATTTTCATCTGTGCTTGGTGTTTGATTCTGTACTTTATCAGATTATCCGTGTCCAAGTACTGAATCTGCTTGTCAGTTCCTGTCATTCTATGACTGGGTCGGCGTTTGGATTCTCTTATCTGGGCTGAAAAGAACATGCATTGCAAGCTAAAAACTTGAAGTAGTCCATTGGCCCTGCATCACTTTTTGTAAGAGTAATGGGGAAATCTCCACAGATTGCTGATCATCAACCGAAAGCAGTTTTGATATCTCTAATGTCATCAATAATATATGTTATGTCAGTTGTGGGCAGAAGAGAACAAAGTCACTTCTTATCCCAAAACCGAAAGGAAACTGATATAAAGCGGTCTCTTCACTTTTTTTTTTCCTGCTACACACTCAGAAGATATAGCTCACTGTCAACTGTCAAGGGATGTTAACTTTTATTAAATTTCTCTTTGTGGCTTCTGTTCCCTTTCTTTAACTCGTATATGTGCTTGATTTTTTGTTTAAAGTGATCTATCCACCAAAATTTAAGTTTAGTAGTGGACCTGTACTTTTTTCTATGTAGCTATTGCATTAAACTTTCCTGTCAACCTGTAACTACTGAGAGTTTGAGACAAGAAGATGGAATTTCTTTTCCTGCACTCAACTTATCTAGCATCGGGTAGCAATTTGTATAAAGATGGGTTTTTGAGGGTCACTCTCAAACTTTTGTCATGATTGTTAGTTGACACTTGAGAGCAGAGTGGGGTCAGGAAAAAGCAAGCACTGGCAAAGGATTGAAATTTTGGAATGGTAAGAGGATCGGCCATGAGAGAAAATAATAGTAATAGATGGAACAAAACTGTCCCTGACTATAATATCTTTCCAATATCAAAACGTTAGACATCCATGAAAAAAAACTCAAGCAAGAAAATGCATGGTTGACCTTAATGAGTTGATCACACCAAACTGTCAAAGACGGGATAAGGGGAAAGTCTAGGAAAAAAGAAGAGAAGAAATTAAAACCCCTGATTTTGAAGCCACCCAAGATGCTCATCTAAGAGTTCATTGTGGAACCAAAGCTCCACAGAGGTGAATGGTTCAAAGAAAAAGAAAATGGGTCCAGCATGGGACACAAATTATGACAGAAAATGAGACTGCAGCACAGACAGACAAAGAAAGCGATTGGGAGTGTTTGGGTCCTATCTTTTGAATGTCTTTTTGACATGAATGCTTACTTTTGTTTTTCATTTTTGGCATAAAATAAATCAAAGTAATGCGTTTTTTTCACGCCCAACTAAAAAATGAGACGTAAAAACAATGGGGGAAACTTGAAAAGATCGGATTGGATGAGATATAGAGGCAAAGCATCTATAAAAGACAGAAGGGAAAGGTTTTTTGTGACGAAAACCTCAACTTTCCTTGCATACGCACACCAATCAAATCATCTTTTTAACTCTTTAACATTAGCCATTATATTATCAGTCTTGCCAGTAACCTTTGCTGTAATATTGCGGTAAATTTAAACTAGAAATTATTAAATATTTATTTGATGGAAACGTGAAGAAATGGTATGTTTGAAAAGATTACTAGTATTAATCAGTATGGCCAGCTGAAAGGACCATTAGCAAATAGAGTTTGATGGGTGGCGACCCACTCAACATTGCTTTGGCAAACATGATTGACGGCTAGGAGAACCAAAAGCTGGTTCATGTCTCATGAAAAGCATCTATGTTTGTCCAACCAAAATCCCTCGCTCCTAGGAGGCATGTTGATGACAAAAACACTTTCCCCACTAAAAATAAAAACTATATATATCCAAATCACTTTGCCCAGAACTTGATCTATCTTTATCTAGGGCAGGTTCTACCACAATTAAAATGACTTTCGAGGTTGGGCTAGTGCCTAGCACGTGGATTATGAACAATCCTGTAACATTTCCTGTTGATAATGATGAACAATCTGTCATTGAAGGGCTTAGTACTTAATTGAAATTGGTTGTTTTTCTCTCTCAAATTTCATGCTCCGTCAGTATTATAATATCATGTTTGAAACCATAATCCTATTCGAATGTGATGTGAAATTTATATACTCAGAATTATGGAATTCAGTACAAGAAACTCAACTTATCCAAAATGTTTATATGTTTTCAAACAAAGATTGATACCTCAAGCATAAATGACGTGCTCGATGTCTCCAAGTTTTCGTATCGTAATTTGTAGAAGAATGGCCTTGTTTTCTCAAACACTTTCTTGATATCTGTGCGATTAAAAATACTTTTTGGATATAGTTTTGCTTAACACGTTCTTCAATCATGCCGCTTCATGTCCTGATGGTATAATCATCAATCCCACCACCACCTTGTTCAATGTTGGCAGTCGAGAATCGGTTTTCTACTGGATTTTCTATGCAAATTTGACTTCCCAAAAACAGGCTATAACTTTTGTGTTGAATAAAAAAAAATTGTCGAAACTTTGTATTCTAAAAGTCAAGATATATAAAAAAATGTACTGATAAAATATACACGTTTATTTGACTTGGATGGCGCAAGTATTTGTATTAAAGTGATTTTGATCAAACAATCGATCTTGGCATGCACATCCAGAACATCCTCATCAAGTCATCATTGTTAGTTGGAAAGGGAGAGGAAATTGTTTTCTTGAGTCAACTTGGATTGCTTGGTGCTTGGAGGTTGGAAACATTTTGGAGTCAACCCTATATAAAGAAACGAAGTATGGATAGAAGCAAGCAATAAACAATCGTTTATGGCCAATTATAGAACTCAAAAAGTCAATGGCAACCTAAATATTATGGCTCAGTTTCTTTGGTTTGGTGACTATGTTTTAATTTATACTTTACCTGGAGTTTTGGCTGGCATATTGGCATGGACCCAGAACCAAACCTTGGTTTCAGAATATGAAGATACCTTGCTTTCCCATGCAATCCCTTGTCTGTCATGTTTGAAAACAGGAGAACCGGGCGTGTTTTGCATTGGGATCGGAATTAAAACTTTGAGATTGGATCAAACAACCGCCAAAAAGGTGAAAAAGGAAGATATTGAATAGGGAAAAAGAACCCATTTGGCTTAATTAAAAGTGCATGCATGGATTAAAAAGAATGGATGGTTAACAGTAGCTAGAATTTCTGCGGCAAATTGAATGATCGAAGAAACTCTACTAGCTACAACCAAAACCAGCTGGAATGGAGCTTTACATTCAGCCCCTTTTATTCAATCTACATTAATTTTATTCTTTTGTTTGATTCTGAAAAGATTGTTTCTTCACAACAAAGAAAGGTAATAAAATATAATTTAAAATTTAACTCAATACATTCAGCCCCTTTTATTCAATCTACATTAATTTAACTCAATTAATACACATGAATTTAAAACTTGCTCAATTACTTATTCTAAGTTAAAAACTAATTAAACGTAAATTAAGAACCCTCTTGAGAACATTAACTTTTTTAACCTCCTTGGAACAATGACTTGAGTAATAATCAATGCAAGACAATAGGATAACCTTTTTCAATTCTTTTTTAATTCAATGATACCATGGACTACTAATACAACCTCATATCATCCGTACACGTGGCATGATTTTGATAAGAATCTCTCATGAAAAGGACCCCACGGCTAAAGGGACCAGTCCTGATCACTTCATCACAGACACAGAGTTCATAGACGTACTAATTTTTTAAATGGCTCACAGCTAGCCGTACAATTGGGTTGGGCCTGAAGACTGTCTGGGCCTTTAGATTAAAATAGAATTATGTTTAATTACTATTATTAGTAATTTCTACATTCGGAGATTAATATAATTAAAATTTTCCTTCATCAAATCCATCTACCATCTCTCTTACGTTTAGTTTTTATTGTAATATTCATAAATTATAGTTTAGTTATAGATTAGACCAGCTAGTAAACTTAGTAGAGTAAAAAAATTAATTGATAATTTATATATTTATATCATATAAAATATTAATAATTCATATATTTATATTATATTTTATATAAAAATTACGTATCATAATTTGTATCAATATAAAAACATAAATTTTTTTTATTTTGTTAAATTTATTTATTATTTTTTTTAAAATTTTAAATCACGTTATTTTTATATCTTTTATTCATATTATTTTTATGTCGTATTAATTTATTGTGTTTGAGATCATCATATCTATTTAAAACCATAATTTATGTTTATTTATTTGTTTTAAAAAAATGAGCAAGGATATAAGCTATGATTAATCTTTGTCGCGGTCCATACTCAGCATGTTCTCATGAATTTAACATCATATTTTATCTCCATAAACTACATATAATATTCACATGAATTTTAATATTCAATCATTTATGCATTCACATAAAAAAGAAATAGATTAAACTAGACGCCTCCAATATGAAAATGAGTTAAATTAATCAAGAAAGGTGTTCAATCAAAAATGACCCATGTGACTTGATTAGTAGATGTCCAATAACTAATCAACAAAAAAAAAAAAAAAATGGAATGGCAAATTCAATGTACTAAAAGACAAGTATTTGTTTAAGAGACTTTGAACAAAATATAGTTAATCTTAGGTGTCTTCGTGTTTATTGTCTATTTGTCTTCCAAGGTTGCAGCAAATGTTTTTTACCCTTTGTTTATAACAGGTCAGGTCAGCTAATCAAGGTTGTTTTCTGTTTAGGTTTATGTCTAGGAAGCTCTCCCAGGGAAAGGTAGGGGAAGGAACCAAGTAGCTTTGTGGCGATAACTTGGTAAGGGTAAATGTACCAGGTTCCAATAAATTTGATAATTCGTATATTCATATTATTTTTGTATTTTTTTTATTATATCATTATATATCATGTCAAAGTTCCAGCTAAAGACATATCTACCTGTATTTCTTCATGGCACTGTAACAAACAGGCTACTACTTGGTAAGAGGTGATATGGAATGTTCACACCCATCTCTGCATTAACTGCCTATTTAATCAAATAGAGAATCTGACACAGCAAAAATGCTTTTAAGTAATGGAAAAAGATAACTTTCTATTAAATGAAGATTAGGATAAGATTTAAGCAAAAGGGTAGCTCTAATAATATTGATTCTGGAAATAATATTCAGAGCACTGAATCTAGGGATGCCATTATCTGATATTCCAAAGACTAATTCCCAATCTAAGCAGATTATAACTACCCATCAGTGAAGCAAATAATGGTTGACTTAAATTAACTAATTGAAAAGGGATCCTAAACAAGAGATTGGCAGTTCCATCAGAGCCTCAGAAAGAGAACAAATGAACAATCACTGACAACAAATATATTTGAAGATTAGATCACCCTAATTTATTTGACTTATGGTAGGAACTGCTGGAACTACTCCATTAGTAAGTGAGAAAACATGGTAAGGAAACTAAATGTAACACCTCATAATCATCGACAAGATACTGAAAGAACATTGGATAAGAAAATCGTGACTTACCCAACAAATGATTGGCAGTATGCTATAGTGAACCCCCTATGGAACACCTTTACTATTGAGCTCATCACAGGGTAGAACATAAAATCACACATAATTTGAAGGCAACACCACAACAATAAACACAAAAAGAAAACGGGTTTCAGGCCATATGGTTGGACAATATAACCTGTGATAAGACTAGGTAGAGTGAAGAAGTAAGGAGATGTAAATGATATGAACTCTATTATGACAGATTTTGCATGTAAAGCTAGATAGATTTCAAAGCATCACCCATCTTTAATCATTAACATAACAAATATTTCAGTATTTTTTTTTTCTTGATAGGAGTGGAAATTTATGGGATGCCAAAGGGAAACTCCAACAGATATTTACCTGATCTATCTAAGAACATCTACTTAAACACCTAAAAACTTCAAAGAAGCAGCTTGTTGATGGTAAAACACAGGAGACATTCAAATGGATGTTGCTTTATCAAGGAATCACTATATCCCCCCAAGAAATCTTTCTATTCATAAATATTTAACACTAAGATGGAATGGTATATTCTCAGGGCAGTTAAAGGCCAAGGGCACCCCACCTTAGGCACATTTTCCTGATTCCTTGCTTGCTTTAGCACTTCTTCAATCTGATCACCTTTTCAACTAAATCTAAACATCATCAAGAAAAATCACTACTCTAACTATGCACAAGAAAATAGTTTTTTTAATCATTTGTTATCAATGAACCAGTTCTAAACTGGGCAATAGCTCCAGACGACACGCAAAGGCATAGACGTCTCATATTAAAATATGCATTATATGCAACATAGTAGAAAAGTAGGAATTTGGATTCAAACATCAAACTAACATACAATTTGAGAACTTATCAACAGCACCCCAGAAACATAAAACTAAATTCTGGTAATCTGTATTTGCAATTTTAGTTTGCATTTGTTGTCAAATATTCAACAAATCACCACCTTAACCAGAAGAAAATACAGCTTCTCACCAAAAAAAAAAAAAAAACAACAGACATCAGACTACCATAGCAGAAATATCAATATGCCCCTAACAGACTTTTGACTTTTCCAGTCAGATGTTTTCTTCTACGGGCAATTGCGTCTGTGCTAGAAAAACAAGCAGAGAAGACTTACAAGCAAGACAATTCACTAGTATTAAGTCATAAAAGCAGCAGATTTTAGTAATTATTGACTTAATTCATAATTCAGGATAGAGTTGATGGATTGCGAGTTGCTAAAGAAACCAACCTCCCCTGCCTGCCCGATGCTGCTCCTCAGCACCTCCAAGCTGAAGCTGAGACAAGATCCCTCTGTTGCCAGCAAAGCACAAGTGAAGCCTGGCGCTTCTCAACATGAAACCCACTCACTTTGGCCCTCTTTAATACACATTCTGCTTGAGTTTCAGTGAAGTTACTGAATGTTAAAGGGGTGAAACCAGCTGAGGAAAAAAGTGTCCTCCAAAGAGGCATTTTCTCAGGTGCATGCCAACGCCCCAACACAGTACTTTCAATTCTTGGCACAAGAAGGAACCTCTCAATCTTGTTCACAGCATCAGAAGTCACATTAACGGCATCAAGTGATTCTAATAGGTTTATATATAACTGAAACGCATGGATTATATGTTGTGGGAATGGCAGATCATTTCTATCACACCCTTGGTCTAAAGTCACCACAATTTTTGGCGAAAGCTGCTTCACAAAGCGCAGAAGGTTGGGCAAAGCAGAGGGCTGTTTGGAAGAAGACCAAATGGGAAAATTCACCGCAACTGCCTCAATTTCATTTGACCGAAACATTGGCAGAGAATACGGGGTTTGATCTAAAGAATCAAAATTAAGCACCTCTAGCTCAAAACTTAAACCAATTTCATTAGCAAATTGCATAAGATTTTCACGCATAAGCCCAAGCTCAACAAGATGATGCGTTGAAGGTGAAGCAAAGGCAGTAATTCTCAATGAAGGAGCTCCTCTGCTCCTCATGGGAAGCTCCTGCATAAAGGAAGCCCATTGAGCACCAAATCCAATATCAAAGTCCACAATGTGAATCCGATCAGCATCATCAAGAGCTTCAAGGAGGGCCTGGTTGCAGGTAAAATTAACGAATTGGATAAAGGGAGAGACTTCAGAGAAGACCTTATAAGCCCCCATTTTGAAGATAACATCGAAAGGGGTGGGGCTCCTTGGAGGCGGGGGAAAGACTGGGTTATTCATGAGAAGCAATTGCAAAGCCTCCTTGAAGTAGAAAGCAGCCCTTTGAAGGGGCTTACCTACTGGAGACAGCTGGTGATTGAGCCGCGCCAATATCCCTTGCGCGTGTGAAAAATTACCAGTTCCTACCAACTCTGCAGCCTTGTAAATAAGGTCGAACAATGTGGCTTGTTGTTGCTGGTATAACTGGTACTGATGTTGTTGCTGTTGTTGAGCCATCTCCTCTTCTGGACCCAACACTTTCTGTTTTGCCACCATCAGCGGCTTCTGTTGAGGAACAAACTGAACTCCCTGAGGAAACCCCATATGTTGTTGCTGCTGCTTTCTCATAAACAACTCATGTCCGGCATCAGAAAATGGGAGATTTGGGATCTGAGAAGAAAGTTCTAAGTTACCAGGATTGAGGCGCTTTGGTAAAGGCTGAAGAAGGTGCTGTTCTTGAGGTAATGGCAAGAAAAAGTTTGGATTTTGAGGATGTTGGGGCTGACCCATCAAAACCTGTGGATTCAAAATCTGAGGTTTCTCTTCTTGGCTTTCAAGATATTGATCTTGCTGCTGATGTTGATAAAGCACAGGCAAAGAAACAGGAAGACCAATACTGTTTCCGGGAGAAGTAAACATTGGATTTTGAATACTAGTATTCAACCCAACAGGAGCACCAAGAACCTTGTGATTGTTAACCGCATCAACTAAAGAACAACTTGGCATGACTGAACCAATCTTTCCATTCCCATTTTTGTTGGAATTTGGCACAAACCCAGAACCAGGAAAACCACCCAAATTAGGAGCAGCACTTGAAACTACATTTCCAGGACCAGAACTAACAAGGCAAGGAATTGGGTCAAACCCTGGACCCTGATCAACGACCCCCGACCCTGCATTGCCTTCAAAATCTAGACACTGATTAGGACCAGTACTCCCACACTGAAGCAGCTGTTTGAGACCAAAAGAATAGCCATCCACGTCACCAGCGATCCATCGCAGAAGCGAATGGTCTTGGCTTGGTAACACGGCTGATTCAGAAAGCATAGTCTCCCAATCTTCCAATCCAAGATTGCATCTTTGAGCACCTCCAGGCCCTGGAACAAGGTCAAGTTCACTCGGGATCGGTTGAAGCTCCGTGGCCCATTCTTCTTTGTTGTTGTTTGGAAGTGGAATCTCAGGTGGTGCTATGGTTGCCGCCGTGGTGTTGGTGTTGTCGATGGAATTACCTCCGCCGCCTGCAGCGGCGGCTCCGCCGTTGAAAGAAGAAGAGAGAGTGGATGCTGATGTGGGCGGGCTTTGGCTTCTTCTCATATGAAGAACAGAAGTTGGTTCTTGCTCGCTGTTGTAGTAGAAGCTGTTCGCAAAGCTAAAACTATTAGCTTCTTGCTGCTTTATCCACTTGTCCTGTTGACAAATCGAAGCAAAACCCGCGCGTTCTACCGCCCCTTCAGCCTGTAACTGAAAGTGCATTTGTATTGTATACAAACGAAAAGATAAAGACGCTGTTCTTCGCGAGGATCAGAGATAAGGGAAAGAAATTTTTTTTTTTTTTGCTACAAAGCAAGACCAAAAGAAATTATATATATGGTTTCCTTGAAGATTAATCAAACCCACTTCATCTTTCTTTGCATGCCATGAAATCAATCTCCCAACTTCAATAAAAAAAGACCCATTTCATCAAAATAGCTCCTTTTGCTGTCCTTCACCCAGTTCTTTCTCTTCCTCTTAAGCTCCATCCTTTTATTTCCCCTACTCAATCTTAGAACAACTCCATTTTTTTAATTCCATCTCTCATTTTTTTTTACAATTTTTTTTCTTTCATCCCTCTCTCTGGGTGGAGTTTATGGCCTTATTGTTGATGTTGCCGTTTCTTGTTGTTTGCTGCTAACTATGTAGTTTCACTTGTTATTCTTTTTTTTTTTTTTTCCGTTTTTGTTGTTGTTCTCCTTCTACCCTTGTTTCGTAGCAGCACTCTGTACCCTTCTATGTTCTGCCATGAATGCGTTCATCATTTAAAAAGAAAGAGGCAGAGTGAGCTTCGCACCCCACAAATACTCTTCAGATCTTAATTTTATTATAAAAATATTCTTAAATGAAATTATTTCACTACCCTTTTAACAAATTACCTTTCAGTTTTTTTATTCCTATTTCTATTTCTCTTCATTTATTTATATTTTGAAAATCTTTAAAAAATTTTAGATTTATATTTTCTAAAATCTTTAAAATTTTTAATTTTGTATTTATGATTTAAATGCTTTAGCAATTTATAATTTCTAAAATTTTATTAGCATTTTTTAGAAGCTTCAAGATTTTATATTTTCAATAATTTTTAAAAATTTAAAAATTTGTAATCATATATTCATTCACAAACTTTCATAAATGTAAATTTTAAAAATTTATGAAAATATAAAATTGGAACCAATTATTTCACGTACAAGATTTTATTAAAATTTTGCAAAATCAAAAATAATTTAATTAAATTCAAATAAAATCAAAAACAAAAATAAAAATAAAAAATTTAATGATTTAATTAACTCCGAAACTTAATAACATTAAATTGAATTTTAAAGTTTATGATTTGAGATATTAGAGTGATTAGACTTTTAAGAAGGAAATGGTATGAGAGGCAGGAAAATAGTGTGAGAGAAGTGTGAGGGTATTTAAGGTAAATGAAATTTAAGATTATACAAGTGTGATGAGTAAAAATTAATTTTTAACTTTTAAATTCGGAATGTTAATGGGATATAATGAAAATTTTTTGGGTGCAAATACAGGCTCCCAAAAAGTAATAAAGTGCTCATCCTCTTCCCCATCTCTCTCTCTCTCTCTCTCTCTCTAGCCCGTAGCCCGTATATATATATATATATATATATATAGATATCCATCTCGTGTCCCTATCGTGGTAATATTGAATTGTCTTTCCCTTATTTTAGGAGGTATATGGTCCTTAAAAAAAATAATAATAATACTAGTGCTACTCCTGCCCTAAAAAAAAAGGGTGAGTGGTAACTGCAAGCCCCATCTGAGTGCTCCATTTTCCTCACCATCCGGGCATTTTCTCCCCGTATTTACATTACAGCCCCTCCATGTCTCAACTTCTTTGTTTTTGGGCAAATTAACAAATACATTAGGGTTTAATTAATCACTCTTCTTGAATTTAAAATTTAATTTAATTAATTTATATAATTATTTTTAAAATATAATATTAAATTATTTTTAATTTTAATATTTATAATTTCTTTTTTATTCTTAAATTAGGACATGTTTTATAAAAAAAAAATTCACTTTGCTTTCATTTATAGCCATTGTGACTAAATTGTTTTTTTTTTTTATCAAGAACATTTTGTTTCATTAATGACTGATGTAGAGTGTAGACTTCACATTTAAAAAAAAAAAAAGAGCTAAATTTATTTACTGGTAGTACTAATAATAAAAATGATTAAAAATATAAAAGTTATTAACAAATGTTTTATAGATATTTTATAAATTATTATATTAAATAATATTTTTAATATTTTGAAATTTATAAAATAAACTATCAACTACTTCATTTAATATAAAAATATTTTTATAAATAATAATTTAATTAACTTAAAAGTGGTTTAAATTTATTTATTAGTAAAATTTTTAAAAAATGCCATGAAATTAAAAGAAATGAAAACTCCTGCTAGTATCAGTCTATAATATGGACTTTTCATTCTGCAACGTGGCAGTAAATGCAGGGCGCCCAAATCAATGAAAGATTTACACTTATTTTTTTCACTTAGACAGACTAGGAGCCTGCTGTAGTAAAAGTGAAAAAGCCAAAAAGTTAATGTTCCGAGTGCCCCTGAATTGCCCACATGTTTTATCTTTATTACCTATCAAGGGGGTCATTTTGCGCTACTATTTTTTTTTTTTTCTTTCTTTGGGTCATCTGCTGATTTACTATCTATACAGCTAATTTTGTGGAGAAGGGGAAAGAAGAAGATGTTGACTTGACACTTTGAAAGAGAAGGTGTTCACTTGGCGTACATCCTTACTTTTTTTTCTTTTTTTTTTTTTAGTTTATTTCTATTTTAAAAATTTTTATTAAATACATTTTGTAAAAAAGTCATAAGTGTTTTGTAAAATTTTGTAAAATTTTTTATTCTATTGATTTTAATTTGCAATAGACCAATATAAACGCATTTTTTAAAAAAACTATATAGATGCATTTTCTAAAAAAACTGAAATCATGCAGGATTTTTTTTTTTTAAATGAGATCAAATTGGAGAAGAACTTAAAGTGTTTTGTCCCTTTTTTTATTTTTTTCATTTTCTTTGTCTTTTAAAGATTTCACTTTTTTAAAGGTTTCTTTTTTTAATTTTTAATTTTATTATTTTATTAGATAAATTTTATAATAAAAATATCAATTGAAATAAAAATGATCAAATAATATGTATTCAGTAAGTTTTCAAATCGTTATAATTTAATTAGTGCATTTTTTTAAAATTAAGATAATTTAGATTGAATTTTTTTTAATCAAACTCAAGTAAAAGCAAGATTTTAAGTATTATGTCTCGATTTTGATATATATAATAATAATTTTTATTTTTATTTAATTTTATTAAAAATTTTATTTAATATCTTAATTTAATAAATTTATGTACCATTCCATTTGATTTTTTTTATTTTTTTGTTTTTTTAAATTTTATTTATTAGATAAATTTTGTAAAAAAAATAATGAATTTAGAAATGACAAAAAAAACCTATATCAGATGAGTTTCAATTCACTATGATCTAATTAATGCAGTTTTTTTTAACAATGGGAATAAGTTTTATTTGTTTGAATAATTTAAATCAAGTTGAGATTGGATTTGGAGTGTTGTATCTAATTCTCTTTGAGATATATAAAAATATATATTTAATTTATATTTATATATGTATATATATTAATAAAAATATTATTTAATATTTTAATTTAATAAAAAAACTACATTTATATATAATTAAATTATAATTTATATTGAAAAATAAATATCGTTATGTTTGTCTGGTGAAAAAAAAAAAAAAACTTGTCCCATAGCAAAATGCGCGTCTAATTAAAAAAAAAACATTTTTCACAAAAAAAAAAAGTTAATAATAAATTCTTCTTCACTCATCGAACTCGGCTTCATATATTACATATAATACTGAAAAAAAAGTAATATTTAACATCAAATCCTTTATAAACTGAGGTTATATTATGATAATAGAAAAAATTATAAATTTAAATATTTGAATTTTTAATATACTAAATGCCATAATTTTTAAAATTATTACATAAATTAATTAAATTAAAAATCGGACAAAGTGTATTCTTGCTAAATTCACATTTATTACAAAACCAAGAGGGTATCTTCTTCCACGTGCTTTGAAATTTCACATTAATATTCATACTATTTTAATGATTAGTGTAGAAATGGATAGCACGTAACAGGAATGAAGAGTTGAAATTATTGTGATAATTTTTAATGGTTAGTGTATCGTATATGATTATATTTAGCATTGTCTCGTTTTTTTTTTTTTTTTTAAAAGCAACAAGACAAAGACAAATCACGTATTTTTAGCTGAACTCATGTGCTTTTATCTTAGGATGTAAGCTGAAAGGGAGTGAATTTCCTTCTGTCATTTTCATATACTAATATTTTCCTTTGTTTATGTATTTTTCTTATATTTACTTTATACAGTAAAATCATTTAACCCCGTTCTTGTTATCTTTTAATTCAAATTTTTTATGAAATTATAAGTAAATAAAAAATATTAAATAATTAATTAAAATATAATTAAATAAATTTAATATAGAATTAAATTAAATCCAAAACCTTGAAATTTTAAGAAATTTTTTAACCAAAATATCAGTGCTAATTCAAGTGTTATAGAAGCTAAAATATCACCAACTTCATTTTTGCAACTCCGAAAAGAATGCTTGCGGCCGACCCTCACCGCGATTTCGAAACACGCTCCAATCATTTTCATTTTTCAGGATTACGGCCCCACTTTGAGGAGGAGTGGCTGACCGTGGCCTAACAGCGCGTTGGTCTTTGCAGGTCATTGCCTCAAGTCTTATTTGTGCGAATGGCGGCGAGGTGAGGGACAGAGAGGCATTGTGGTTTCCGTTGTTTGATTGATTTACAGGTAGCTCTGTTTGCGTTTTTTTTTATCAGACTCCGGCTGGAAAGCCCGGTTAGTAAAAAGCAGCGAAGGAGAGCTGCTTCTTTGCTGGGAAAAAAGTGTAAGCTTTTTATTATTTTATGTCGGGTTAATATCTGATTTGATTTTTGAATTATGTTATTTTTACAGATTTGGTAGATATAAATAAATTATAATTAGATGTTTGAATTTTATTTTTTTAAGTATTTTATATTATTAATTAACATAATTGATTAAAAATTAATTGATATAAAATATTAATTATTAAACAAAATGATACATTTCATGATAT